AAACAAACACTGGGCCAAGAAAAGTAAACATGTAGTTATAAAACAAACTCTGTTCCGTGAAAAGTTAACATGCATTTATAAAACAAACTGTTATACTCAAAACTAAACACAAGTCTGCGAAGAATAAACGTCGGTTTAAACAATAAACGGTGACTCGTCAAATATAAACTATAATCAAAAAAATACACACAAAAAGAGAACAACTAAACGATTTTTGAAAATTAAACGAAAAAATGAAAAAAATACACGGTAAGGGTCCACCAGTGTTTTTACCATACAAAATCCATTAAGGGCAGAATTATTTTTATAATAAGTGGGCTCCCAACTTTGACCATATCAAAATAAAAAAAATAAAAAATTGCTTAGTTAAAGAAGGAAAAAATCGGTACATGGGGAAAACATTATAAGGAGCCCTTTATCATTCACTGTGTATATATATAGAAATGTATATTGTATATCTATATTCAAACACGAATGACTAGACCAACATGGAACATTTTGTGATTTCAAAAAGGTGCAATGATGCAATTTTGAATAGTTTGGTTAATGTGGAGGTACATTTGGTCTATTTTTAGAACCAATGGGTTATATAAAGGAATTTATTGTAGTCACATTAGCAGATTAAAAATTGCTTTTATAGTTTTCTGTAGAGACTCAATGTGTGTCTGTCTGAAGTGTCATGGCTGACAGCAATAGTGGGGATATGGTAACAGACCTGGTTAGGGAATGAATAATTTACCCAGCAGGTTTACCACTACTCAATAAGCCTGAAGCTATAATGTACAGTTCAGCTGTATAGAAAACATTGGTGTTGTATAATTATTTGTTTGAGTAATTCCAGAACAAAATATTTCATTTACTATTTTCTCCCCAGTGGAATTGTGATAAACTGGTTTGTTGATTCAAGCTGTTCCTGAGAGTGTTGGGTAACAGTGCTAGCTAGCAAATGCATTCCTGTTCATACGTGAACCAGAGCCTTGAATTGTCATGACTGATCCAAATCCTAATCTTTCATTTCTGTAATTTCCACCATCTCTGCTACCCTTCTGCCTTCTAACCCTACCATTTGCCCCCACATTCTTTCCCCTCCTCCCCACCTTTCAATGTACCTTTCCCATTCCNCCCATCGAATTTCTATTCTTTCCTCATTCTTTCCCTCTACCCAATAGTATATTCCACCAAAACATTCCCCACCCCATCAGTACTTATGTTGGCCTTTACCCCACCCCTAATGTACACCCTCTCCTTTTTCACCCCTCCCGACCCGTACTACTGTTAACCATTCCCTAACCCCACCTGCCCATCCCCTCTATAAACATCAGCATTGCTTTAGGTTATATTTCCGACTACACACCATCAATAATGTACAGGTTGATTTTGGTTGTTACATTAGGCTGATTGGACAGGATTATAACACCCAGACCTGTGTGACAATTATGACTAAAGCACTAAAATAAGTCACTAAAACTCAGACAATTTCCTTCTTAAGGCTATATGCTACCTTAAGGCTATATGCTACCTTCAGCTGTGAATTATACCTCTGTTCCAAAAGAGGTCACACATGTAAAAATGTCTTTCGTACTTGGTCATTTTGACTTGTATTAATTGTTGTTGATGATGATACAAATATACGAATGAAACCTGCTTTAACTGACATCAAAATTGACTGAATCCTTTGATGGAGTAAGGGATTATGTCAGTAAACTTGGAAGTCTTTGAAAGACAAAAAAAATGTGATATCTGTGCATGCACTTGAATTCAACGAGTTTGTTCTTGTATCAGTAAAGCTTATTCAAAATGATAGTGCATTTCTTAGTATGCGTTCATTTTTGTTTTCTTTCTAAAGACAGGATATCTCAAATCTATATTTCCAATACTTCATAAAAGAAAGAAATGAAAGAAATGAAATACATATATTTTAGAAATTGGTCAAATAGTTTCTGTATTTGTTCTTGTAGACCTCCAGAGCACAATCCGTTCTATACAAGTATCGACAGTATGCCAGAGATCCGAGCTCCACGCAGAAAGTCTGTCTCATTGGTCAGCGACCTGGTAAGCTCTTCTGTCTCAGTTTATCTCCTCCAATCAGAAAATCAGATTGCAACGTCACTATATATCTTTAACATACTGGAATATTTTCTTAACAAATGAAATGTTAGCCCAGAGCTACTTAATAATGCAGTATCTTTATCTGAATAGTGATGAATTTTATGATTTTGTACTGAATAATTTTGGAAGGGAAACAGGATTAAAAAGGTTAAAATTTAACTTGATATGAATTTTTAAAAAATGATTAAAAAAATTAAATTAATACCCTACACCGATTCCTCCTCGCTAACAGGTTATTAAGGTAAATGAATGTGTTGTTTGTACTGTTGTCTAGACATTTTATTTACACTTATTTATTACTTGTATCATACAACTGCAATGTTCTAGTTCCTGAAATAAACATTTTACGAAATGAGAATGAAACAGACCAAAATATATCTGATCAAATTTCTGTATAGTGAGGATTTTGATTCACACACAAAAAAAAAATAACAGGTAAAAATCCTGTGTTTTTTCTGTTCAATTAACCGAATTAATATTCATAATTTACAATTTTCACAATTATTCTCCATATTGTGACAAAAAATATCATTGTGTTTGGGTGAATTTTGTCTTTTCAATATATGAAAATGATTCAGACATAGAATTAGACAAAGTTGGTGTATGACATATGAGAAATAAATTATATTTGTGGTAGATTTTTATATAAACTGACTTTGACTTCTTGAAAAGAATGATCAGATTCAATTTTTCCTAACTTTGATATTGACTGTTGTATTGGATTCACACTTCTGATTGTAAAGTTTTCATTATTTCTTGTTTGTCTAACTGACTTCTGAAAAAAATATTTGTGTACCTGGTAGTTTTAAAGTTGTGTAAAACCACATTGAAATTCATATCTCTGGGGTTTTTTTCATCTCCGAGTATAGTTTAAATAATTATACCAATCAAACAAAATTTGGGGAAATCTAATTCTGACATTTTTTTCTTGAGAAGTTACAGACAGATCATTAAACAAGTGTTGTAGCTTGAACTAGTTTGAAATTTGAAAAAATCAAGAAAAAATCAAGTTAATTCCTTACCTGGGGGAAAAAGAAAAGAAAAAGAAACACACTAGGTTATCTCCCTTCTCAAATAGTACTCATACAGGTTGAAATTCTCATGAGATTAAGACATTTTCAAACGTAAAAAATATTGTATTAATATTCATTGTGAAGTATATTAGATGTAAATATTGACTAGTGATGAACACTTAAGTATGTGGCTCATTGATCTCTTGTGTAATTAAACTATATACATCTGTATATTAAGATTATGATGGAAATTAATATTTAATTCACTGTCAGTAGAAGAGTCTATGCTGGGCTCTCAGTGATGTTACTGTTGTACGTAGTTCTATACCAGATCTGATGATGTTTGTAATTGAATAATGTTAATTCCTTCACCCCTACGTATTTAAACTGGACTTGCCCTGTCTTTCATTTGGTAAGGTTCAAATGTGTCTTTAGGGGTGAATTGGTTAACAACATATATTGAAAATATAAACAAAATCTTTTTTGACTTTAATGATATTGAAATATGACCTACGGTAGAGAAATTGTATTTCTGAGTTTTAATGAAAGAAGGGATGGGAAATGGTACCAGGTAATTAGGCACTAATAACTTCCCCGGTTACTACAAGATGATGGGGTTAGGGAAGGGAGGTTTTAAGTACAAGGAAGGAGCCTTCTGTCCGAATGTAAATAGTATCACAATGACTAAGCTTGTCCAGGTGGTATCCATGTTTTCTGTAGTGTACTAGTCTAGCGAATCTGACTTAGAGATGTTTTTTGTGAAATTCAATACCTAGTAAAAGTATATTATTAGCTTGTATGATTGAGTGCAGACCTAAAGGTCAAGGTAACTCGAGATATCTCCACTCTGTGTGTAAGCTTAGAGCACTGTAGTAACTCTATACAGTCTTTACTGTCTGTACTGTGACATCCTCACGTAGATAAATAGTCTAAACCTCAGCCAAATCACCTAAAAGAAAATTTAATTAAAACTATAAGTTTTGTCCTCAAATAAGCTTCTTTCCATAGCTGTGATCAATATTCCTAATATCAGAGTTTTCAAGGGACTTTTCTTCCCCCACCCTGTGAAGTTCTGCAAAGAAAGCTTTTAGCATAGAAAAAAAAATCCATCTACCGCTTCTGTGATTTGAAGTTCAAAGGTCATGAAGAACATGACCTACATGTACATGACCTATTAACAATTGTACATTCAGGTCACATAGGAAGTAGAAAGTTTGTCTCAGACCAGGTTTTATTTTGTGTGTGTTTTATATTATGAACAAGAATTTATTTTCCAAATTAACCCACAGATTTTTTTCTGCACCTCTTTACAACGTGGATATTATATAAATTCCTTTAAACAGCATCCAATCTATAGAATATCAAATTTATAAATATAGAGACACTTACAACTTTGATCTCGGAGGATAACTTACAATTTAGATCTCGGAGGATAACTTACAATTTAGATCTCAGAGGATAACTTACAATTTAGATCTCGGAGGATAACTTACAATTTAGATCTCGGAGGATAACTTACAATTTAGATCTCAGAGGATAACTTACAACTTTGATCTCGGAGAATAACTTACAACTTTGATATCGGAGGATAACTTACAATTTAGATCTCGGAGGATAACTTAAAATTTAGATCTGGGAGGATAACTTACAATTTTGACCTCGGAGGATAACTTACAATTTAGATCTCGGAGGATAACTTACAATTTTGACCTCGGAGGATAACTTACAATTTTGATCTTGGAGGATAACTTACAATTTAGATCTGGGAGGATAACTTACAATTTTGACCTCGGAGGATAACTTACAATTTAGATCTCGGAGGATAACTTACAATTTTGATCTCGGAGGATAACTTACAATTCAGATCTCGGAGGATAACTTATAATTTAGATCTCTGAGGATATCTTACAATTTTGACCTTGGAGGATAACTTACAATTTAGATCTCGGAGGATAACTTACAATTTAGATCGCTCAGGACATTTAATTCCTTATTTTCAAACTAGGGGGAGAAAGGCTTAGAGAAGAATGTAGGTGGATTTTTTTTTAAACTTATGGGCAGGTATAGCCAGTCTAAAATAGTGATGCCATACAAATCTTCTGGTTTGTTAGAATATTTCTTTCTCACAAGATAAAAAGTACACGCATGTCAGTTTGGTATAGTCGTTGCTTGTGTTGTACTTTAGTGTTAGTATTTAGCTACATGTGTATTATGTCGTCGTCGTCGTCGTCGTTGTTGTTGTTGTTGTCGTTCATACAGTGAAACCTGTGTAATCTGACACTTTCAGTTTCTCTAACTAGAAAATTTGAACCCTGTATTTGGATTCTGAGCTTTCCATATAAGTTCTTCTTTAAGTTGTTTGATATCTTTTCTATCTCCAGGCTGTGACATTTGATGATCCATTATACTGTACTTTTTCAAGTATTTCATTATTTGAATTTAAAAGTAATTTTCCAGTGCACAAAAGATACAGAGAATCAATATGTGTTTTTATTGTGTAAGATTTTAATTGGTATATATTCTATTCATCTTGGATATGACAATGAAGTTGTATCTGAATGTCCTGCAAGGTTTTTTTTATGAATTAGACAGTATAAATGTTTGAATTTTGTAGATTTCCAGACTGGTAAATTGTGAATTCATACCTGCAGTATCTAACCTCAATGCATACACTTTATTATTGTTGACACATATCACTGAATGATATAACTGTTTTGTTGTGTGTTAATTTTCATGTTGTTAGTTTTTCATGCTTCTAACGTATACATAACATATCTTTTTGTGCGTAATTATTTTTAGCTCACCTGGCCCAAAGGGTCAAGTGAGCTTATGCTGTGGTGCGGCATCCGTCGTCCGTCTGTCGTCCGGCGTCAATATTTTACTTTAAACGACTTCTTCTCAATAACCAAAAGGCCCAGGGTACTGATATTGGGCCTGTAGTATGCTGGGATGAAGGGCTAACAAGTTTGTTCAAATAAATGACCTTGATCAATTTTCAAGGTCACAGGGGTCAAATGTCTTAAAATCTTCAAACGACTTCTTCTCAATAAGCAAGAGGCCAAGCGTACTAATTAATGGGCCTGTAGCATGCTGGGATGAAGGACTGCCAAGTTTGTCCAAATAAATGACCTTGACCCACTTTCAAGGTCACAGGGGTCAAATGTCTTAAAATCTTCAAACAACTTTATCTCAATAACCAAAAGGCCCAGGGTACTGAAATTGGGCCTGTAGCATGCTGGGATGAAGGACTACCAAGTTTTTCAAATGAATGACCTTGACCAACTTTCAACCTAATGCCCTTGTTCGACATTCAAGGTCACAGGCATCATATGTTCAAATCTTTTAATAGGTTCTTATGAATCAAACACTGATATTCTGCCTGTAGATTTAGTTTAGTCCACTTTTCAGATTACAAGTGTGAGATTAATACTAGGTGAGCGATGCAGGCCCATTGGGCCTCTTGTTATAGATTTGTTTTGTTATGGGGTAACCATTTGGTTTATAAAGCTTGATTGGATTTTTTGGTAACAATATTCAGAGAATGAATTTTTTAGTTTTTCCTGATTATAGAACTATACAATATTCAAATCAATGTTAAAAGTAGTCGTGATCACAACCTTTCACCCCAGTATGTATTTTTAGAAGAGATCTTTCAACACAGTATATAATTAAGAAACGATCTTCATTTTATTTTAAAAATAAATCTTAATACTCTTAATGTCATGTGTAATGTTACAGGGAAAAGTTATATTAAGCAGAATGTGATATTAACAGGAACTTTTATTTTTCTCTGAAAATTGATAATTTTCGATGAGGTAAAAAATGTATGTTGCATACTACATTGATATCACCAATATGACATGTTTAATGAAAACATGATATTATCTGAAATGTGACATCAACCAATGTGACAATAAGTGTAAATCACTTGTCACCAACATGATATTAAGTGTATATTTTTTAACCATATTTCATCATTAAAATGACATATTGCTATGGGAACAAAAATGTTTCCCATATCAATTTTCAAAATCTTGGACAGCACAATTTGAAATTGATTTCATTAAGTACTAGAAATTGATCCTGTATAATAGCTGTGATTTAAATTGACATATAAATTATGAAGTATTTTGGAGTAATTTAGGATAATTTTGTATCCCAAACAAATTGATTATACCATTGATGTTGAATATTTTATCAGAAAATGCATTTATTTAAAACTTTTCAAAAATGTGATCATTTATTAGGTTCAAATTATATTGATTATGATTGTGATAAAAAAAAATACACAAAAACAACAACAGGGAGTAGGAACAGTTGGAATATTTTATGTGAATAATTTCTTTTAAAAAGTGGTGAATTAATGTTTGGTTTTAATTCATGTGTTTGAAATGATGATAATTGATTAAAAAAAATCATATTCTCTAATGCTTATAGGATTTGTGTAATCTGAGTCTTTGAATATCATTCAATATTATATGATGTGTCAGAACCATTAGTATTTTGTCAGTTTGACACTAGTGCACCGTGAATGCTTAGTACAAGCTGTTAAAAGAGTAAATGTATTATATAATTATGTCTTTACCTGTGTAAATATATTACTAAGATGATTTGCAGTCTTAGGAGTGCTAACAGATAATATTTACAGCTATAATTATAAATGTCAGCTATTGGTAAGGTTTATTTATAGGCAATTATGCATGTATGTCTGAAAGTTGTTATGTAAATTTTCATTGATAATTGATAAAATTGTATTTTAACTTAAAATGACTCGGTAGATGTTGATATTTGAAATTTCCACAGAACGGGAATTGTAGCTAAGGACATCTTGGGGCAGGGAGGTTTTCGACAATGAATTCATGTATAAAAAAAATTATAATAATTAAATGGGTGAATGTTTTGACCACATTCTTTATACTTTTTCTAGCTGATGTCGTAGATGTGTGCAAATCTAACAAAATTCATTCAGTTCAATTCAAAATAAATTTCAAATTGATATTTACTCATTGCTTATTTCTTGTGCATTTTCCCTAGCAACTGATTGTTTAGAATGGTTTAGATGATGACTTTCCTGTATACAAATTTAAGTTACATCGCAGCTGTGGGGAAAAGAAAAGAGGATTTACACAAAAAAAAAAATGCTTCAAATAAGTACTTTTTAAAGGCATTTTAATACATTAACTTCTTTAATTTTCAACAAATAAAGGGAGTCTTCAGTAGAAAAAAATTACTTGAAATTATTTATTTTCTGCTAGATATTATTCATGGGACGTTTTACCATGTGTAATCTTGTAATTTTCCAGACCATGCAGGTGAAGAACAGAAATGCGGGAGTTCCATCGGCAATGGTGGCCCGTCAGTCTCTGAAGGACGAAGAACTGGTCAGTAATATTATATTCCTTTCCCGCTCAGAACTGGTCAGTAATATTATACTCCTTCCCCGCGCAGAACTGGTCAGTAATATTATACTCCTTACCCGCTCAGAACTGGTCAGTAATATTATATTCCTTTCCCCCTCAGAACTGGTCAGTAATATTATACTCCTTACCCGCTCAGAACTGGTCAGTAATATTATACTCCTTCCCCGCTCAGAACTGGTCAGTAATATTATACTTCTTCCCCGCTCAGAACTGGTCAGTAATACTATACTCCTTCCCCCCTCAGAACTGGTCAGTAATATTATACTCCTTCCCCGCTCAGAACTGATCAGTAATATTATACTCCTTTCCCGCTCAGAGCTGGTCAGTAATATTATACTCCTTTCCCGCTCAGAACTGGTCAGTAATATTATTCTCCTTCCCCGCTCAGAACTAGTCAGTAATATTATACTCCTTTCCCGCTCAGAGCTGGTCAGTAATATTATTCTCCTTCCCCGCTCAGAACTAGTCAGTAATATTATACTCCTTCCCCGCTCAGAACTGGTCAGTAATACTATACTCCTTCCCCGCTCAGAACTGATCAGTAATATTATACTCCTTCCCGCTCAAAGTTTGTCTCTCACGTTTTCCATCCGTTCGCCAATCTCTGTTCCTCCATTTTGCTAGCTTTTACATTTCAATCAGTCCTGGACCTCCAGTTGTCTAACTATACCTTTCCTTTCCGTGTGTGCCTCTCTGTTTCTGTTTATCTCCGTTTGCCTCCAACTTTGTAACATGATTCATAACGTTTTCTGTTAAATTGTTTTTACGGGTCTGTACTTTAGAAACCAGTGATTGAGTGAATCTTACTTAATTTAGCAGTACCATGCAGTTACTGCATCTAAATCCCATATTTAACGCGGAAAATCACCATTCGGACAGCCCAAATGCAAATACTAGCATTGTTTATGCCAAAGGAAGTCTTAAATTATGCATCTATTTAATGCCAAAAAACACAGCAATACTTTGTTTCATTTGATTTATATTATTTAAAAGAATTAAGTATTCCTTCTTGGTTTTGATGGTATTGGCAGCAGGATAGCTATTGTCAGGATTTCCTTAGCTCAGAATGCTGATAAATACTGTGGGTGTAAATACCCCCCAGATGATTATTCTACTTTCGAAACTGTGACAAGGTGCTCTATTTTGCTTCCAATTGGAGATATATCTTAGTGTAAGTTTCTTGAATATTTATAGAAAAATGTGTAGTAGGACTAATATTTCCTTTTTGTGTAATAATGTCTTTAACGAAAATGCATATAAACAAATATTTATCACGTTATTTTTTTCAGAAAATGCATGTTTACAAGAAGACCCTGCAGGCGCTGATCTACCCAATCTCCAGCACGACGCCCCATAACTTCGTGGTGTGGACCGCCACATCTCCGACATACTGTTTTGAGTGTGAGGGTTTACTTTGGGGCATGGTGCGGCAGGGTGTGCGCTGTACAGAGTGTGGGGTCAAATGTCACGAGAAGTGCAAAGACCTCCTTAATGCTGACTGTTTGCAAAGTAAGTAGATCAAGGGTGAAGGTCAAGATGAGGTCAAATGTGAAGGTCAGCTTAAAAGTAAAGTTTGAACGGGCAATTTCTAAAACAGAATGTTCATTAATTATGCAAATCAACTTCCAATACCATTTCTTTAATTTCTAAAACAAAAGTTTCAAATGCCCAGTGTAAACTATGAAGCTACAAGTCAGCAGCAGATGGGCATCAGCAAAATTATGAGAAGTGAAGCTTTAACTCAGGGTTAACATTTTCGTTAATGAAATATAATAGTTGCCTTTTGAGTAAGCTATCACTGTAGTTAGTTTTGTGAACAACTATTTTCATAACTTTCTTTTTTTCTACCTTCAAGGAGCTGCAGAGAAAAGCTCTAAGCATGGAGCTGAAGACAAAACTCATAACATTATAATGGCCATGAAGGATAGGATGAAGATCCGGGAACGCAACAAGCCGGAAATATTTGATCTAATTAGGTAAGAAATACCTCTAAAGTCATCAGCAGGTTTGGTTCCTGTGTTCATGATATAGGTAACATCTTCAAACTAAACGTTAGTAACAGGTAGTAGGAAAAGCTAAAGTGATGAGTTTGTTAATTAGTAAATAAATCATTTTACAGATATTACTTACATCATAGTTAAATTTTATTTCCAAATTTTATTTCATAATATTTTAATAGCTTATGTAAGGAGCTCAACATGAATTCAAACTTTGGAAAACTAACATGTTTAAAATATTTGCAAAAAATATATTTGTATGATTTATTTCAAATTTTGACAGTATGCATGTATATATAAAGTATTCATGTTTATCTGTAATCACTTTTTAGCGCCATTTTTGTTGAATTTCTGATTTCTGTTACGACAATAAAAAATAATCAGGTACAAACTTTGAAGAAAAAAATAAATTCAAAATTGTTTTTCTTTCAAACATCTGTAAAGCACCGTCTTTGTCATCTATTGAATTTCACTTAAGTGGCCTGAACTTTAGCACTTTGTTGAGAGTTATGCAAGTATGCAATCATTGATGACGCTCTTGTTATTCTGAATTCTGAACGACCACTTAGTTATCATCTATGGGAGATAACTCTGACAAAAATCACATTATATTGATATAGTCGGGTAGCATATACATGTGTATCCCTAAGTAGACTTTTTTCAACTCCCAAGTTTTTCCAGAGTAATGCAGTTAAACAGTATGATTAAACCTCTTTTTTATTGAAAAAATCGGCATCTGCCTTGAATATGGTTACAAAAATGAGAAATTCTGTCTTAGTTAAAGTTGTCTGTATATTATGATATTGATTCAGCTGTTATTGTTGAGGAGTTAAGAAAAGAGGACAAATCTTAAATGCAAAACACTTTCATAGTTGAAATGCAAGCAATTTGTTTGTGTAATTTTACAGATTTTCACAAAAAATGGAAAACATATTTCACCTGTTGCAAGCTAATGCTCGCTTATAAGCCCAACCCCTTTTCTGATAAAACCCTTTATCGATATTTATAGACTCAAAGTATTGAGATAGTAGGTTTGGAGTCAAATTGACACAATATTCCATTTCTCAAGACTACAAAAAAATATACCATCATAGCTTGTCACAGGTGAAATAAAGTACCGTAATTTGGGTGTTGTACTTTACCTAATCCTTGAACAAATGACGTCAACGATTTCTACACTGTTTATCAAGGGAAGTGTTCGGGGTAGACAAAAAATCTCATAGCGGACACATGAAGGCGGTCAAACAAAGTGTTTTAGATGGAACGTCCAAATGGTCAGCAAAAATAGCTATAACTGGTAAGTCGTCGGTGTCCAGTCACTGACCGCATGTCCAGCATGTTGTGTGTCCACCCAAAGATGTTTGTTGTTTTTTCCACTTGTTCATTTTGGGCAAATAATAAAAGGTCAAGATTTTATTGTCTAGAAATAAATTGTGTTCTGAAAGAAAAGAACAATAATAAAAACGCATTGAAGAACAATTTCTGGTTTCAATTATATCTCATTTCGTTTGAACTTTAAGCTCCGATTGTCTCCCCTTTCAGTTCAAACATAACACTGGTAGTAAAATTTATTCTTGGTACTTACAGTAAATTCTGAAAGTGTACACCTCATTATTTTTTGCCCAAAATAACATGTATGCATGTTGTTCAGGATACAAGTTACCAACTTAAATGGCTTAATTAGGATACATTATGATAACAAGATATATATTTTCAATAATATTTCTATTTGTAATTTATAACGTAAAAAACTACCTCGAGTTACTACTTCAAAATTACCATCATCATTAAGTGGGTCGAAAAATATGTAATTTGAAAATGTTAACTAACATATCTAATTAAGTAAATTAAGTTGGTCACATTTGTATCTTGGTGTGTGACGGGTGTCACCTGTCAACTATTATTTATGTGGATAAAATCATTGTAGATGCTGTCTTTTTAAACTGTTTTCGTTGATGATTTTTAATTTCAGAAATGTTTTCAAAGTTCCCAATGGTTTACATTCCGGCCATATAAGGCAATCCCAACAACACGTATTACACGGCACTCACGAGTGGTCAGCCAAAGTGTCCATCACAGGTAGTTCTGACCACTTGACCGCTAGGCTTTGCGTCAAGGGTCAACAAACTTTTTATACCTGTATTTAGTGTGCTTTCCAGAGTCGTTCACCAGTCTCATGCCACTAGCTTGGTTTTGGAATTTTACGTTAGTAAAATAAGCCTTTGCACCCAAAATTCTCGACTAACAACAGCAGTAGTTTAATACAACCATCTTGAATTTTTAGATCTTTTCATTTCTTCCTTGTCGTCCCAGAAACACCATCTACAAAACCATCCTTCTTAACTGACAGTTGTCATTTTTGCCATCACCAGTCTTAACCTTTTAAGTTACAACTTCAAGTGTCCCTGAAAAAAGGTGTCTTACTTTAGTTGATAGAAAACAAATTAAGTTCATATAGGCATCATGATTTCAATAAAAATCAAAGATAAACATGATTTCTGTATTCTGATTGGTCAGTGAGTTGATCATAAAAAAAATACTGAAAATGTTTAAATGTCTTGAGTATTAGCTTATAGTAACAGGTATTTCTTCACTTTTGGTTTGCAAAGGATTATAGATTATCATTTTAAAGAATTGCAGGGATTTCCATATAGGAGCCAAAGAGAGAGTTATTTCTCTTATTGTTCTCGTTTACTCAAGAGTGACTTTCGACAAACTCTTTTCAATTTCCATTTCTGGTGCTGATAAACTTCTACCTGTGTCATACTAACCAATCACAGCAAAGCAGATTGCTTATGAAGAACCTGAACGAATTGTCTGATTTCATTGTCATTTTGTTCCCTTAAGCGTAGCCAAATTGACGGTGATTTTGCTACCAACTAATATACCGTTTCACATTTCGTTTACATACTCGTTACCAATCATGTTTCTGATGAAGTGACAGTACATATTGTACTAGTCATCAGAAAGTCAAACATAAAACACCTCACTGGCTGTGCTACATGAACCTGTATATATATATATATATATATATATATATATATATATATATATATATGCATTGTTGGCATTGACTATACACCAAAGGGAGGTAATTCATGATTTCTCATTTGAATCTTTTAATTAACATTGAGTCTGAGATAACTAACTTTAGATTATAGATTAATTTCATAACAGTTTTGAAAACTAACTTTTAGATAGATATTATTACTAATAAGTTTATATCGATGATTTTATATAAACAAAATACCAAATTTACAGAATAAAATAAAAAAGATGCATGTCATTCGATCAGTTATGCATGTTATATTGTGATCGTATTTTATTTGGTCCACATTGGTACATTCTGGAAATACTTGGCGTCAGTAATTTTAATGTCTAATGTATCTCATTCTCTGAATTTAAGAAAAATTATAAATTGTTAGACATTTCATGTGACGAATTATTCTAGAACATTAATGGGACATTTATATTAATTTATATACATGTAAATAAATAATTCCTGTTAGCATTATATTGATATCAAGAAATATTTATTAAATGAAATATTCTTCGAGGAGTAAGTTTACACGTGGAGGGTTCTGGAACAATCCTTAGCATTAATTAATATTTTCACTCAATATAAGCAATGCTTTCTTTATGGGATAAGAAAATCTTCTTCTAGTACAGACATTTGAGAAGCTGAAGTCACAATAGGGGTAAATTTGTGTTAGTGTGCTATGTACTAAACAGGAATTTTCTGATTTACTGGTTATATTTTTAGTTATTTATAGATTTGACCCATCCCTCCACATCCCATTCCCCCACCGGTTTATCTATAGACCTGCATGTCGTTATTTTCTGTTGTAAATGTGAATAGTAAATATTGAATACAAGTGTTAATGTTCATTAATAAATCATTGAAACATACCTGAAAGCAAACAAAGATAAAATCTCTATTTACTTTTACATTGCCTCTGCATTATATATGATTCAGTCAAATTACAGATCATGCCTTTCATAATACTATGAATGTAAGTGGTGTTCATGACTTGCTTTTGTCACCATTTTGTACACTTGTCAATATGATGCTTGGCAGTCTGCTGCCGATTTCAATAAGATTGGCTTTAAATCAACCACTCAGGCGACTTGGATTGTTGGAGTGCTATTCCATCAATATAGTTGTAATTGTCATAATAGTATATACAGCAACCATGCACATTTAGTATGATTCATGCACTTTGCGCACAATACCATATGAATAGGACAATTACAAAAACAGTGTCGAGTGTCTGTACTTGTTTCAGTATTGGTACCTGAATATTGATTGAATGTTATTGTTATGTATGTTATTGTTATGTATGTTATTGTTATATGTATCTGTGATCCACAAAACCTGATGGCTACCTGTCTCTTCCATGATGTTCTCTCATAGAAGAAGTGATTTCATCGTCCACTCTCACCTCCCTATACCCGACCATTTCTCCAATCTTTACTCTAAATTGCCCCATCAGTTCATTTCAATCCCTCATCTAACATGTTCACCTACCATTTGCTATATCTGTCCAGAAATAAGACAATGCCTCGTAATAAGCCCACCCAGATCTATAGCAGTTGATTCGAAATATTCTGCCCTGTGAACATTGGCCTTCTTTCCCTATCATCGCCCCTCCCCCTCCCTCTCTCTGTACACTCCCCATGCATCTCTACTCCCTTATGACATATTCACCCCTACAGGAACTAACTGTTGATGTTTACCTGTGTTCTGCCTACAGTGATATGTGCCCAAGGACTTATCGGCAAGGATAAGACTGGGACTAGTGATCCGTATGTAACAGTCCAGGTGGGCAAGGTAAAGAAACGGACAAAAACCGTGCCACAAGACCTCAACCCAGTCTGGAACGAGAAGTTCTATTTGTGAGTAGTCTCCCTTGTTACCAATTATCTCCCTTTATTGAAAAAGTTTCATTACTTACTTTTTGACCCTTATATCATTATGAGTCGTCTCCCATATATCTTTATGATATCTTTAATCATCAGAAGCAATAAGTGACTAAAGTCATAGAATTTATTTGAATAAAATTTTGATACTAGATCAAGATCAAGATTCTAAGAAGTTATTTGTTTCAAAGCTCTACATAAATCACAAAATATATGATTAAAAAGGTGTATTGCTGATGGTATCAATATATCTGTTTCAAGATGTGAATTCAGTTTTTCTTCCTTGTGAAAATAAAGAAAAATCAAAAGGCCAAAAATATATATATGTATACAATCGTAAGACATAAAAATGAATAAACACCCAAAAAAACTTTGATATAAAAATATCCAAATGCAAAAAAGAAAGAAATGTTTAAAAAAAAAAAAAAAAACAACAACATATAAACAAACTGCTTCATTTCCTCTCTAGTGAGGCTAAAAAAGGTTTATTTCATTTATCCCTGAACCCACTATCATTTAATATAGGATAACTTATAATATGACATGATTGTGTCTTTTCAGTGAGTGCCACAACTCCTCCGACAGAATCAAAGTCCGAGTATGGTAAGTTAATCGTGGCTTAGTCCTTCTATGAGTTTGTGGAACACCAACTTGACTTGGTAAAAAATAAATGTGTTCTCATAAGATTCCACAGTGACACCTGTCTAAAATGAACACTACAAGGACCAACATCTCCTGTCGGAATAGAGAAGTTTCCAGATAACAGAGTTTCTAAAGATATAGATATAAATATGTAGATTGCTCCAGACAATACAGGGTTCAAGTTAGACAGGTGATATTGTATTATTGGGTAATATTGAATTCATTGTTCTAAACTTTTATTTCATTTGTGGCCCATTTGACATTGGTATTAATAATATATTCAAGAAATCGGAGGTTTATATTATAAATACACATTATGGTATATATTAATAATGGTAAACAGAAACTAACTAATGCATATAAAGTTCAAATTTAATTCAGCATGTTTCTCTGTTTTGAAATATCACATATTACTTACAGTGTACATCAAGAATTGAAACGTAGGTGATAGCATCAAATCGGTTGGCAGCACACTGAAATACTTTTTAGGAGAAAAGAGTTTCAGCTGATCTTGGAAGAACTGTTATAGACATAAACTGAAGCAATATGATTCTAAAGTAAGGCTATTATAGACTGAATAAAGGGACACTATCCAATTACCTCCCTGACAGATTTACATAAAAATGTATTTGTAAGTTATTTTGTCATACCCGAGGTAACAGGGAGATATTATTTTGGATTTTTTTTGTACAATTATTTGGTAATGAAGAAATATTTCTGTTATTAAAAATTAATGACATAAAAAAAGCAAGCAATTATGCTCTTCGAAATGGTTTTCATTAATATTCATGACTCAATCATAGTTTTGCAAAGTTGGACCAGAACATGGACGCACATGACAAGCCAATAAGTGTATTTGGAATTTGATTTTAATTGATTTCATTAGAGTACCATTGCTTAATAGATCTGTTAAATAATTCTTTATTGAAGCAGAAACAATAAAGGCATGAATTTCCCTTGAAAGTCCAACTGTAAAATGGCATTTCTGAAAAAATAGTTATAACATAAAATTTCAAGAGTAGAAGAGTAGATCATAAATGAAGTCACCATGTTAATTACCTGCACTATTTTTGGGGGGGGGGGGGGATAAACAAATTTCATATGCCCGACTATTGACTATAAAAGTGTATTTTTAATTAGCTTAGATGAAGCCATATTCTCCCATCTGGACGTAGCCACAAGCTCCTGAAATGCATCAGCTTTATTTCTTTGTCCTAACAGGATGGTTCAACCTTTGACCAGTGTTTCTGGAATTTCTCAAAGGGAGGCAACTACATGGTTTCATTTTTTAATTTTTTTTGCAATTTTTGAAATTAAAATTTAATTTTCTTCAACAATGTTATATGACCATCAAATTCTAGGGATGAAGACAACGATTTGAAATCCAAGTTAAGACAGAAATTAACTCGGGAATCAGATGACTTTCTCGGCCAAACGATAATTGAGGTGCGCACGCTGAGTGGTGAAATGGATGTATGGTACAACCTAGGTGAGTAACCATGGCAACCGTATCGGCCATGACAGGTGTCATCAGTCTGCGTGGTATCTTCAGTGTTGATATATATATGTATTATATTTTCCGTCCTAGTGTGTTATTCTGTTTTTAGCCGTGTTTCCCTGAGCTGGCAGCTGTTTTGAGTGTCCAGTCGTCCGCCCTGCATCGTAGCCTCCGTTTGATCATTCCGTCGTCCTGACGTGATTCGTTGGTTGTTGATTGCCTTGCGTTCATTTCTGGCAGTGCTTTGTGTGTGTTACAGGGATGAGGATGATGATATAAAATCTAAGCTGCGACAAACATTCACCCGAGAATCAGATGATTTTCTTGGCCAGACTATCATTGATGTGACCACTTTGAGTGGCGAAATGGACGTTTGGTATAACCTAGGTTAGTTTGTAACAGGTATCTGCCTGGACACCACCCGTCGGTCATCTGTGGTCATCTGTTAATCACCAAGCAGCCTAACGCAGTATAATAGTGCATCCACATGACTTCATTTTCCTTCTGTACACTTCAATGTATATATTACATATTTTTTTTATAATGTAGTCATTTCTACGTGTACTTACGTTTCAATATTCACTGTTTATTTCCTCGAGTACCATTCTTTGTTAATACAAAGTGTCTTTCTCACCTCATTAAACTTTGTTCCTTGATTTGAAATTAATTATAATTTTGTCTGGTGTATATACCCATAGATTAGACAAATTTCCTCCTTATCATATAAAAGAGTTAGCACCCATAACAGCATTAGTTTCCTCCCTTGCATATAGATACGCTCTTTTGTAAAAGAAAAATATAATATGAGAAAAATGTTTTCAACATAACAATTCTCTAACCAGACTCATAGCACTTTAACCTGTAAAAAATCATTCTTTATTTGTACAAATAAAAAGAAGTCAAAATTGTTGATCAAGAAATACAATCAGCAAAGCATAGCAGTGGAACGTTCAATATGAAAGGAAATTAATATCTCAAAATTAGCAAGTACAGTATTTACTTTAATAAGCACCTTGTTTCTTGTAAGTGCTTTTCTCTTTTGCTCTGGTCTGTGTTTCCCACGCTTTTATCATTGATTTTCTTGAGAAAAAAAAGTTAAATTCTATTTTTTTTAAGAATTTTGAAGGTTGCAGTCATTCTATTTTTTCCTAATCGCTAAGTGTCCTGGGTGCTTATTTGGTCAATATGGTACAAACCATATATTTTCCATCAAGGGAGACAACTTCCATCAAGGGAGACAACTTGTGTTTGGGAAAAGAAAACTCTTTAGTATGGATTGCAGAATTATTAATCAACATTGAAATAAAAAAAGTTCATCAGGTGATTTGAGAACCTTTTTTTCTTGACATTGGTTAGAAATGTTTTAATGAACAAATCTAACAGCACAAATATTGCTGAAATGTTTAAATTTAAAAAGAAATCAAAATATCATTTCTGAAAACATGTCAATTGTTTTGAAAAGTAATTATTTACAAATTGTAGGGTTTACTTACTACGAAATATAAAGAATACTTTCAAGTTTATGAATGTCATTATTTTTTTGTTAAATTTATTAATGTTTGCATATATATTAATAAACGTTCTTCTTGCACTATTGAATTTCACCATATGTTAAAAAAAATACCTTCAATCTTTTTCTAATTTGAAAGTAGTTAATAGCTGAGAGCATATCAGTACTACTACAAATAAAATCAGATGATCAGTAAATCTCTAACCTTCTTGTGTAGATAAAGAATACTGTTGAGCGACATTTTTCATCACTAAATCATGCTTTTTACCTGTAAATGTATTTTGGAATCCATGCTAATAGAGAAGTGTCATTAATATTTTGTTTTTGTCTGTGCTAATCATTAACTGTTCAAACAAGAATAATGTCACATTGCTGTGTTATAAAGAACATAGATATATCACTGTGACCTGATTCAAAGAGGTTAACAAGTGTGTAAGAAAGAATAGCTATATCATAGGTCACTGTGGCCTAATTCAGATAGGTCAACTTATGTGAATTAGGTCACTGTGACCTAATTCAAGGTCATCTTGTGTGTTGTATAGAAAAGCTGTATTATAGGTCACTGACCTAATTCAGATAGGTCAACTTTTGTGTTATAGGTCACTGTGACCTAATTCAAGGTCATCTTGTGTGTTGTTTAGAAAAGCTGTATTATATAGGTCACTGTGACCTAATTCAGGAAGGTCAACTTTTGTGTTATAGGTCACTGACCTGATTAAAGGAGGTGAACTTTTTTGTCATAAAGAATAGCTCTGCATGTAGGTCACCGTCAAAAGTGGGACCTGGTTTAAGCAGATCAACTTCATTTTATTATAGAGAAAAGCTCTATATTATGGATCACTAACCTAGTTCAGAACGGTCACGTCACTTGTGGTGTGAGGTTTTCCATTGGTGTTCAGTTGTCGGAGGGTTATAAAATTAGGCTACTGAATCCATTGAAAACCAGCATAAATATGTGTAGGTTTTAGTTCAGGTAATAGATAACAGAGGTTACTTAAAGGATAAATGCAAAAATATTGCATAACATTATCATTCATTTTGAATATACATGCAGCAACTTGTTGGTCTTTGAAAAAGTAGCATAAAACAAATTGATTTTTCAATTTTATTTTTTAATACAGTTTCTCCTATCACCTGAATTGACCAGCTTCAAATTTCGATAAATTTTAATAAATAAACTTTTTTCTGATACTCTAAAAAAATGACCATACACCGGAGAATTACTGCTTCTCCAAAAAAAGCATGTTCCCTATCTTTGGGCTGTTTAGACTGTACTGAGGTGGTATACCTTGCTAGACTTGTGCTAGTCTGACATTGTGGCTTTTGCGATTGGAGATGATTTAGGCGACCAGCTTAATTTTGTATTACCATATACGTGATGGTCTGTGTCGTTATACTTAGCATAGGTTTGGGTAGCATATCATATCACGGGATGTCTGTTGCACAGCTGTGAAGATTCATGCTTCAATGGGCATTGGTGTTGTCATGACAGTGTTTAGTCTGGAATGTGTGTACTTATAGTGCCTGTCGGGAATGCATTTGTGGAATAATAAAATATTTATTTCAGCATTTTGAACAAGTTTTGTTTACTCCTGTGTATTGTGCTATTGAATGCAGTATTTGTTCTAATCAATGCCCTCTTTGCATAAACACAAATATACTCCCATTGACGTAAAAATTCTACCATAAATATTTCAAAAGAATACCAGATAATGATCTGTTTGAAGCCAGAATTGACAAGGTTTGTGTAATTTTTTGAGCCATAATCGTCATTTTTTTTTTCTGGATGGATAAGTCTTGCTACTGAATACCCCACTTTACAATAATACTCTGAAACAGGGCATTGATAAGAATAGATATGGTATTTGATTTTAGGTATGTGTGAATTACGGTAACTGTTGATTTTCTTTGACAAAATATCAATTTTTTCATCATTTGTTTAAAATTTTCTTCCTTGCCAACTGTTTCATTTTATCAAACCTATAACCTTTGAATCATTTAAAAAGAAAAATACTGTAAAAAATGAAAAAGGATATTTACCGTAAATAACAGCATGGCCTTATTTGTCTGGCATGAAAATGTTCATAATTATACAAGAAATAAATCATTCAACAATTTTTATGACAACATTCAAAATAAACCCAAAATTTTCCCTTCTATTTTTAGATCAATTGTTTCTTAAAAGCTTTCAATGCATATCAATTGTCTGAATCTATTCATAAAAAATAATTGATGTTTTCTTTCAATCTTGCAAATGTTGTCATAATAGTTGCTGTCTGTGAGCATTGAATTTGTGACACAAAATATTTAAACTTGAATTGTGACATGTTGTTCAATTCTGTTTAGTTGTGTGAATAGTTTGAATTCATAATCTAATATGATTTCCTTCATTAAAGACAATTCAGTTCTGTTTATATTCTACATTCTACATTTTAGCATTATAACAGTGTGTGTTCATTAATATCTGATAATATTTCACCATTTCCATCTTGAAAAATTAATATGACTTTAACTTAGAACTTCAGTGACATTGAATAATAATTTAACAAGTTGATGTTAATTCCAGGAAAACCTTAAGTCTGAGGTCCAAAAACAATACTGGAAAAAATATTTAAAAAAAAAATAGTTTGTCCTTTGAACAGAGCAAGGAAACTGATTGCATTTATTCTGGTCTGTTTAGTGGTCATGTAGCAGTCAGTTCTATCTGAAGTCGATATAAGGTGGAACATCGTTAGTTCTAACACTGGTTTTAATTTTAAGAAAATAAGAAGAAAAGTAGATTTTAATTTCTTGCTTTCATTCGAAGTGTATAATTTTAGATTGCACACTTCATAAAGTTTTTCCGGATTTTCTGGATTTTGCAATTTTAGTCTCTTTTTTTTTTTTTTTTCCTTCTTCTTCTTCTTCTTCTTCTTCTTCTTCTCAAATTCAACAATTTCTCTAATAAGTATGTATATTTGTATGTGAACTAATGCGTTCCACTTTAATTTATTCTTCAATTTATTTGAAATCTGAATTCTTAGTTAAACTGATCTTGTTACTACTATTTTGTTAAGTGACTACAGACTAAGGGTTCATTGGAGTGATGCTGTCACTAACTTCGCTGCTAGAATCACAGTACCTTGCACACTGAACATGTGTAGGAATTTTAGAATTTCACTTTTGATATATTGTTTCTTGTTAGTGTATGCTAGAGAGCACTCAAACAATTTAAATATTTAGTTTTATGTTTTAGAGTAATTGTTGATTCTTATACAGTTGCTGTTTATGAATTGTATGTCAATGATGACTGGACATGTTTATGACTGAAAAACATTGCTTACAAATACCTTGCGACCCTCCTCCCTCCAACCCCAGCCCTCCCTACCCCCACAAAAGAAAAAAACAATAAAAAAACCAATTTACAAACTTACAACATAAAAACTGCAAAGGACATTAAAAATACATGGAATTTATTAAAATTGAATTGTTTTCTGAATTGAGGTCAAGTTAGAATTGACCTACGAATTCCAAGATGTCTTAAACATAAGGTATCACATCTATCATATGGTATCACATCTATCATAGGGTATCAGATCTACTATAGGGTATCACATCTATCATAGGGTATCACATCTACTCTAGGGTATCACATCTACCATAGGGTATCACATCCACTATAGGGTATCACATCTCCTATAGGGTATCACACCTACTATAGGGTATCGCATCTACTATAGGGTATCGCATCTACTATAGGGTACCACATCTATCATAGGCTATCACATCTATCATAGGGTATCACATCTATCATAGGGTATCACATCTATCATAGGGTATCGCATCTATCATATGGTATCACATCTATCATAGGGTATCAGATCTACAATAGGGTATCACATCTACTATAGGGTATCACATCTACTATAGGGTATCACATCTACTATAGGGTATCACATCTACTATAGGGTATCACATCAACTATAGGGTACCACATCTATCATAGGGTATCACATCTATCATAGGGTATCACATCTTCTATAGGGTATCACATGTATCATAGGGCATCACATCAACTATAGGGTACCACATCTACTATAGGGAATAACATCTATCATAGGGTGTCACATCTACTATAGGTTATCTCATCTTCTATAGGGTATCACACCTACTATAGGGTATCCCATCTATCATAGGGTGTCACATCTACTATAGGGAATCACATCTATCATAAGGTATCACATCTATTATAGGGTATCACATCGATCATAGGGTATCACGTCTACTATAGGGTATAACATCTACTACAGGGTATCACATCTACATCATAGGGTATCACGTCTACTATAGGGTATAACATCTACTATAGGGGATCACATCTATCATAGGGAATCACGTCTACTATAGGGTATCTCATCTACTATAGGGCATCACATCCACTATATGGTATCACATCTACTATAGGGTATCACATCTACTATAGGGTATCACATCTATCATAGGGTTACACATCTATCATAGGGTATCACATCTACTATAGGGTATCACATCTATCATAGGGTATCACATCTACTATAGGGTATCACATCTATCATAGGGTATCACATCTATCATAGGGTATCAAATCTTCTATAGGGTTTCACATCTATCATAGGGTATCACATCTACTAAAGGGTATCACATCTATCATAGGGTATCACATCTATCATAGGGTATCTTATCTATCATAGGGTATCTCATCTACTATAGGGCATCACATCTATCATAGGGTATCACATCTACTAAAGGGTATCACATCTATCATAGGGTATCACATCTACTATAGGGAATCACATCTATCATAGGGTATCACATCTATCATAGGGTACATAGGGTATCACATCTATCATAGGGTATCACATATCTATCATAGGGTATCACATTTATCACATCTGTCATAGGGTATCACATCGACTATAGGGCATCACATCTATCATAGGGTATCACATCTACTATAGGGTATCACATATATCATAGGGTATCACATATCTATCATAGGGTATCACATTTATCACATCTATCATAGGGTATCACATCTATGATATTGTATCACATCTACAATAGGGTATCACATCTACCATAGGGTATCACATCTATCATAGGGTATCACATCTATCATAGGGTATCACATCTATCATAGGGTATCACATCTACTATAGGGTATCACATCTACTATAGTGTATCACATCTATCATAGGGTATATCACATCTACTAAAGGGTATCACATCTACTATAGGGTATCACATCTATCATAGGGTATCACATCTACTAAAGGGTATCACATCTACTATAGGGTATCGCATCTATCATAGGGTATCACATCTATCATAGGGTATCACATCTATCATAGGGTATCGCATCTATCATAGGGTATCACATCTACTATAGGGTATCACATCTATCATAGGGTATTACATCTACTATAGGGTATCACATATATCATAGGGTATCACATATATCATAGGGTACATAGGGTATCACATCTTTCATAGGGTATCACATTTATCACATCTATTATAGGGTATCACATCTATCATAAGGTATCACATCTATGATATTGTATCACATCTACAATAGGGTACCACATCTACCATAGGGTATCACATCTACCATAGGGTACCACATCTATCAAAGGTTATGACATCTACCATAGGGTACCACATCTATCATAGGGTATCACATCTACAATAGGGTAACACATCTGCAATAGGGTACTACATCTATCATAGGTTATCACATCTACAATAGGGTATCACATCTACAATAGGGTACCACATCTATCATAGGGTATCACATCTATCATAGGATATCACATCTATCATAGGATATCACATCTATCATAAGGTACCACATCTATTATAGGGTATCACATCTATCACATCTCAGTTATTTAAGAAAGAAGGGTTCAGTTTTGCAGAGGTTGAGGTCAAAGGTCAGAGATATTTCAAAGGGAAAAAAATAAGGTTCATGAATTTGAAATAGATAGATCAGGGTCAAATTACAGTCAGTAACACGTCAACCTGAGACACACTTTCAATTACCATTGACCTACTGATCTAAGAGACTGAGGTTACATCCTAATAGTTGACCAATATCCAACTTCACACTAACTGACCAGTCATTGTCTCCCCCTCACACCGATTTACTATTGTTGACCAATGGTCACACCTGACAGACTGACCATAGCTGACCAATGACCACACCTGACAGACTGACCATATTTGACCACTGTCAACTCCTCACTCTAACTGACCATCATGCCCATACTTACAGAGAAGAGGACGGACAAGTCAGCAGTGTCGGGCGCCATCAGACTACACATCAGTGTGGAAATCAAAGGAGAGGAAAAGGTGGCTCCTTACCATGTCCAGTATACGTGTCTACACGAGGTAAGTATCCCAACTCCTTCCCATGTCCAGTATACGTGTCTATACGAGGTAAGTATCCCCACTCCTTACCACGTCCAGTGTACATGTCTACACTAGGTAAGCATCCCCACTCCTTAAAATGTCCAGTCTCCGTGTCTACATGAGGTAAGTATCCCCACCTACACATCAGTGTGGAAATCAAAGGAGAGGAAAAGGCGGCTCCTTACCATGTCCAGTATACGTGTCTACAATACGTATCTACATGAGGTAAGTATCCCCACTCCTTACCATGTCCAGTGTACATGTCTACACTAGGTAAGTATCCCCACTCCTTAAAATGTCCAGTGTACGTGTCTACATGAGGTAAGTATCCCCACTCCTTACCATGTCCTGTATACGTGTCTACATGAGGTAAGTATCCCCACTCCTTACCATGTCCTGTATACGTGTCTACATGAGGTAAGTATCCCCACTCCTTACCATGTCCTGTATACATGTCTACACGAGGTAAGTATCCCCACTCCTTACCATGTCCTGTATACGTGTCTACACGAGGTAAGTATCCCCACTCCTTACCATGTCCTGTATACATGTCTACACGAGGTAAGTATCCCCACTCCTTACCATGTCCTGTATACGTGTCTACACGAGGTAAGTATCCCCACTCCTTACCATGTCCTGTATACATGTCTACACGAGGTAAGTATCCCCACTCCTTACCATGTCCTGTATACGTGTCTACACGAGGTAAGTATCCCCACTCCTTACCATGTCCTGTATACATGTCTACACGAGGTAAGTATCCCCACTCCTTACCATGTCCTGTATACGTGTCTACACGAGGTAAGTATCCCCACTCCTTACCATGTCCTGTATACATGTCTACACGAGGTAAGTATCCCCACTCCTTACCATGTCCTGTATACGTGTCTACACGAGGTAAGTATCCCCACTCCTTACCATGTCCTGTATACATGTCTACACGAGGTAAGTATCCCCACTCCTTACCATGTCCTGTATACATGTCTACACGAGGTAAGTATCCCCACTCCTTACCATGTCCTGTATACGTGTCTACACGAGGTAAGTATCCCCACTCCTTACCATGTCCTGTATACGTGTCTACACGAGGTAAGTATCCCCACTCCTTACCATGTCCTGTATACGTGTCTACACGAGGTAAGTATCCCCACTCCTTACCATGTCCTGTATACGTGTCTACACGAGGTAAGTATCCCCACTCCTTACCATGTCCTGTATACGTGTCTACACGAGGTAAGTATCCCCACTCCTTACCATGTCCTGTATACGTGTCTACACGAGGTAAGTATCCCCACTCCTTACCATGTCCTGTATACGTGTCTACACGAGGTAAGTATCCCCACTCCTTACCATGTCCTGTATACGTGTCTACATGAAGTAAGTATCCCCACTCCTTACCATGTCCTGTATACGTGTCTACATGAAGTAAGTATCCCCACTCCTTACCATGTCCTGTATCCGTGTCTACACTAGGTAAGTATCCCCACTCCTTACCATGTCCTGTATACGTGTCTACACGAGGTAAGTATCCCCAACCCTTACCATGTCCTGTATACATGTCTACACGAGGTAAGTATCCCCACTCCTTACCATCTCCAGTATACATGTCTACATGAAGTAAGTATCCCCACTCCTTACCTGTATACGTGTCTATACGAGGTAAGTATCCACACTCCTTACCATCTCCAGTATAAATGTATACATGAAGTAAGTATCACCCCTCCTTACAATGTCCTGTATACGTGTCAACACGAGGTAAGTATCACCACTAATTACCATGTCCTGTACACATGTCTGCACTAGGTAAGTATCACCACTCCTTACCATGTGTATCACATATATCATAGGGTACATAGGGTATCACATCTACAATAGGGTACCACATCTATTATAGGGTATCACATCTATAATAGATGTGGTACCCTATTGTAGATGTGATACCCTATGTACCCTATGATATATGTGATACACATGGTAAGGAGTGGTGGGGATAGAAACTTGACCAACGGATGTTTGGGGATATAGACACTTGACCAACAGATGCTAGTGGATAGAATCTTGACCAGCAGATGTTTGGGATTGACACGTACACTAGACCAACAGATGTTAGTGGATAGAAACTACACCAATAGATGTACGGGAATATAAACTTGTTCAGCAGGTGTTAGGGGATAGAAACTTGACCAATAGTTGTTAGGAGATGCTAACTTGACCAACAAGTGTTAGAGGAGAACTACCTCATGTAAAAACATTTACTAGACATTGCAAGGAGTGGGGATACATACCTCGTGTAGACATATACATGTCTACACTAGGGAAGTATCCCCACTCATTACCCTATAGGGTATCACATATCTATCATAGGGTATCACGTCTACTATAGGGTATTACATCTATCATAGGGCACATAGGGTATCACATATCTATCATAGGGTATCTTATCTATCATAGGGTATCTCATCTACTATAGATGTGATGCCCTATAGTAGATGATGGTAAGGAGTGGGGATCCTTACCTAGTTAAACAGGACATGGAAAGGGTTGGGGATACTTACCCCATGTAGACACGTACACTGGACATGGTAAGCAGTGGGGATGCTTACCTAGTGTAGACGCGGATACAGGACATGGTAAGAATTGGGGATACTTACCTTACCTAGTGTAGACGCGGATACAGGACATGGTATGGAGTGGGGATCCTTACCTAGTTTAGACATGTGTACAGGACATGTTAAGGAGTGTGGATACTTACTTCATGGCGACATGTATACAGGACATTGTAAGGGGTGGGGATACTTACCTAGTGCAGACATGTGTACAGGAAATGGTAAGGAGTGGGGCTACTTACCTCATGTAGATACGTATTGTAGACACGTATACTGGAAATGGTAAGGAGTGGGTATACTTACCTCATGTAAACACGTATTGTAGACACGTATACAATACAGGACATGGTACGGAGTGGGGATACTTGCCTCGTGTAGACATGTATACAGAGTGGATAGAATCTTGACCAGCAGATGTTTGGGATTGACACGTACACTAGACCAACAGATGTTAGGGGATAGACTCGGAACCAACAGATGTTAAGGAATAGAAAATTGACCAACCGATGTAAGTGGATAGAAACTAGACCAATAGATGTTCGGGAATATAAACTTGTTCAGCAGGTGTTAGGGGATAGAAACTTGACCAATAGTTGTTAGGAGATGCTATCATTTAAAACAAGTGTTAGAGGAGAACTACCTCATGTAAAAACATTTACTAGACATTGCAAGGAGTGGGGATACTAACCTCGTATAGACACGTATACAGTGTAGACAGGTATACAGGACATGTATACTGGAGATGGTAGGGAGTGGGGATACTTGCCTCGTGTAGACATGTGTACATGACATGGTAAGGATTGGGGATTCTTACTTCATGTCGACATGTATAGAGGCCATGGTAAGGAGTGGCGATGCTTACTTCGTGTAGACATGTATCAAGGACATGGTAATGAGCGGGGATACTTACCTCATGCAGACATGTATACAGGAAATGGTAAGGAGTGGGTATACTTACTTCATGTAGACATGTATGCAGGACATGGTAATGAGTGGGGGTACTTACCTAGTGTAGACATGTATATGTCTACACGAGGTAAGTATCCCCAACCCTTACCATGTCCTGTATACATGTCTACACGAGGTAAGTATCCCCAATCCTTACCATGTCCTGTATACATGTCTACACGAGGTAAGTATCCCCACTCCTTACCATGTCCTGTATACATGTCGACATGAAGTAAGTATCCCCAATCCTTACCATGTCCTGTATACATGTCTACATGAAGTAAGTATCCCCTCTCCTTACCATGTCCTGTACACATGTCTACACGAGGTAAGTATCCCCACTCCTTACCATCTCCAGTATACATGTCTACATGAAGTAAGTATCCCCGCTCCTTAACATGTCCTGTACACATGTCTGCACTAGGTAAGTATCCCCACTCATTACCATGTCATGTATACATGTCTACACTAGGTAAGTATCCCCGCTCCTTAACATGTCCTGTACACATGTCTGCACTAGGTAAGTATCCCCACTCATTACCATGTCCTGTATACATGTCTACGCGAGGTAAGTAGCCCCACTCCTTACCATGTCCTGTATGCGTGTCTACATGAGGTAAGTATCCCCACTCCTTACCATCTCCAGTATACATGTCTACATGAAGTAAGTATCCCCACTCCTTAACATGTCCTGTACACATGTCTACACTAGGTAAGTATCCCCACTCATTACCATGTCCTGTAATGTCCTGTATACGTGTCTACACGAGGTAAGTATCCCCACTCCTTACCATGTCCAGTATACGTGTCTACACGAGGTAAGTATCCCCACTCCTTACCTTGTCCTGTATACATGTCTACACTAGATAAGTATCCCCACTCATTACCATGTCCTGTATACATGTCTACACGAGGTACGTATCCCCACTTCTTACCATGTCCAGTATACGTGTCTACACGAGGTAAGTAACCCCACTCCTTACCTTGTCCTGTATGCATGTCTACACTAGATAAGTATCCCCACTGATTACCATGTCCTGTATACATGTCTACACGAGGCAAGTATCCCCACTCCTTACCATGTCGAGTATACGTGTCTACACGAGGTAAGTAACCCCACTCCTTACCTTGTCCTGTATGCATGTCTACACTAGATAAGTATCCCCACGCATTACCATGTCCTGTATACATGTCTACATTAGGTAAGTATCCCCACTCCTTACCATGTCCTGTACACATGTCTACACTAGGTAAGTATCCCCGCTCCTTAACATGTCCTGTACACATGTCTACACTAGGTAAGTATCCCCGCTCCTTAACATGTCCTGTACACATGTCTACACTAGGTAAGTATCCCCACTCATTACCATGTCCTGTAATGTCCTGTATACGTGTCTACACGAGGTAAGTATCCCCAACCCTTACCATGTCCTGTATACATGTCTACATGAAGTAAGTATCCCCACTCCTTACCATGTCCTGTATGCGTGTCTACATGAGGTAAGTATCCCCACTCCATACCATGTCCAGTATACGTGTCTACAAGAGGTAAGTATCCCCACTCCTTGCAATGTCCAGTAAATGTTTTTACATGAGGTAAATATCCTCTAACACTTGTTGGTCAAGTTAGCATCTCCTAACAACTGTTGGTCAAGTTTCTATACCCAGCATTTGTTGGTCAAGTTTCTACAACCAAACATCTGTTGGTCAATTTTCTATTCCTTAACATCTGTTGGTTAAGAGTCTATCCCCTAACATCTGTTGGTCTAGTGTACGTGTCAATCCCAAACATCTGCTGGTCAAGTTTCTATCCCCTAACACCTGCTGATCAAGTTTATATTCCCGAACATCTATTGGTCTAGTTTCTATCCACTAACATCTGTTGGTCAAGTTTCTATCCCCTAACACCTGCTGAACAAGTTTATATTCCCGAACATCTATTGGTCTAGTTTCTATCCACTAACATCTGTTGGTCAAGTTTCTATCCACTAACATCTGCTGGTCAAGATTCTATCCACTAGCATCTGTTGGTCAAGTTTCTATCCCCAAACATCTGTTGGTCAAATTTCTATACCCAAACATGTGTTGGTCAAGTTTCTATTCCCTAACAACTATTGGTCAAGTTTCTATCCCCTAACAACTGTTGGTCAAGTTTCTATCTCCGAACATCTATTTCTATTTATACATATTTTATTGACAAAAGAAGTCAACAGGATTGGACATCAGGCATTGCCTATATAAGTCCTCTCCTTACAGCTACATCTGGTGGTGAACACATTGTTTACATATATTAAAGACATTTACATTATAGATACACAAAGGGGAATCATATCGTCCAAAGCAGATTATATAATAGTGATGTGTAAAGATAGTTACTATTATAATTAAGGACTAGTAATAAACAAGTTTTGCAAAAAGATATATTTACCTTAGGTTATCTCCGAACATCTGTTGGTCAAGTGTCTATATCCCCAAACATCCGTTGGTCAAGTTTCTATCCCCAAACATCCGTTGGTCAAGTTTCTATCCCCAAACATCCGTTGGTCAAGTTTCTATCCCTTAACAACTGTTGGTTCCTTCCGTGTGGCCAACATGACACATTTTCCCGAACGTTCTGGTACCTCTCTTAGATTTACTTACAAACATTTAATGTCTTGTAACATTCGTTTGATGTCTGTTTTCTTATTTCAGAATCTCTTCCACTATTTATGTGAGTTGGCAGCTGGAGCAGTCAAACTGCCTGATGCCAAAGGGGTAAGTGTTGTGTGATAAAGGGGTAAGTGTTGTGTGGTAAAGGGGTAAGTGTTGTGTGGTAAAGGGGTAAGTGTTGTGTGATACAGGGGTAAGTGTTGTGTGATAAAGGGGTAAGTGTTGTGTGATAAAGGGGTAAGTGTTGTGTGGTAAAGGGGTAAGTGTTGTGTGATACAGGGGTAAGTGTTGTGTGATAAAGAGGTAAGTGTTGTGTGATAAAGGGGTAAGTGTTGTGTGATACAGGGGTAAGTGTTGTGCGGTAAAAGGGTAAGTATTGTGTGATAAAGGGGTAAGTGTTGTGTGATACAGGGGTAAGTGTTGTGTGATAAAGGGGTAAGTGTTGTGTGATACAGGGGTAAGTGTTGTGTGGTAAAGGGGTAAGTGTTGTGTGGTACAGGGATAAGTGTTGTGTGATAAAGGGGTAAGTGTTGTGTGATACAGGGGTAAGTGTTGTGTGGTACAGGGATAAGTATTGTGTGGTAAAGGGGTAAGTGGTGTGATACAGGGGTAAGTGTTGTGTGATACAGGGGTAAGTGTTGTGTGGTTAAGGGGTAAGTGTTGTGTGGTAAAGGGATAAGTATTGTAAGGTAAAGGATTGAAAGGTCCAAAGGTGGTTATCAAAATTATAAAATATATTGTTAACTCATTCGTCCCTGAGGAGAGGGTTAACATTACAACTATATAGAGGAAAATCACACTTTTCAGTATATTATGTTTATTTTCAGTTTAAAATGATTCAAACTGGGTTGGAATTAATTAAATGGGATGGTTATTTAATGGTATGATGATTAAGACCCTGACCCCTTCCCAGGGTGACCCTGACCCCTTCCCAGGGTGCAGGGGTTGGGTTGCAAATTAGGGAAATTGATAAAATTATGTAAAAATAAATCGTAACTATTCACTAGCATTTTGTCAGTAAATTATCAGTATCCACATCCACATGACAGTGCTATGTATACATAAGTATTTGCCACAGCAGCAAACTTGGCTGATCATTAAGGCCCAGGTGCCTCTTGTTCCTATTTACCCCCTGATTTTTGTTTTACGATAAGTGTGTTCATGCATTGATGGATATAAAAACAGCAAAAAACAAAAGGTCTGGCAGTATTTATTGACAGGTGTATTGCAGTCAGGAACGTATTGAAAGTGAGATGATTTGTATTTTTGAAAGGACGAAGCCTGGAAAGTGTACTTTGTAGAGCCGTCCCAAGAAATAGTAGACGAGTTTGCCATGCGATATGGGATAGAATCTATATATCAGGCAATGACGTAAGTTCTCACTGTTAAACTTATACCAATCTTTACATATCAATGATACATAATCGTAGAGCACAAAAAAATCATCAATAAAGCAAATTGGTTTGTTCTTAGTCATGAATAAGTTTCTGTATTTAAAAAATAAATGTAGGCATTTTCTATTTTAGTAAGATACTTCTTTTGAAGTAATATTTCCTATCTTGTTGACGCTCTATTCAGAGCAGCCTCACTCTATCCCACTGATTTATCTGTTGTCAAAATAATGCGACCAAGTGGAGAGTCATATGCTGCGATGTTTAGGTTGTGATGTTTTACGGTACTTTAAAGTGATCCTTGAGTGGGACTATTACCGCTGTAATGATAAATTTGCCCATATTACAGGGGGCTGAAATCAAACCGCAGCAAAAAATCCCAGTCCTCTGGGAAGATACGAAATAGATGAGAAGAAGAAAGTATTCAAGGTTTTACGCATCATATTTATATTTGACAGAGTTAATAATTGTTGTACTTTTAACAATCAACTTTTACTTTCAGACATTTTTCATGTTTGTCTACAAAATACATGTGTCCTGGAGTGCCAGCAGTAATGAGCACACTCCTCGCAAACATCAACGCATTCTACGCACACACCACCGCCTCCACAGCGGTCTCCGCCAGTGACCGATTCGCCGCTTCCAATTTCGGGGTAAAGATTATCTTCAAACATTCTTTGAATCTATGCAGAGGGACGCTGAGTGCATTTCAGATTTTGAGCAATATTTATTGGATTTCATTTTCACCTTTTTCTTTTTTTAGATAAAGTTGAAATAAAGTTGATTTTGATTAATTTGAATGAATATAACATAAGTTTAAAAATTAACATCAATAACATTGTAATTATATTATCAGAATTTTTGAAATGTACAGTTATACAAAATGTTTTCAATCCAAGGTGTGAAAAAATTGAAATCTCAGCTACAATATATTTGTTAAAATATCCAGTATGCAGGCTTAAAAACATCGTCGGATTGTTTGAAAAAAGATCATGTTTTAACAGTTGTTGTTTTTCAGGAAGAGAATTTATGGTGATGTTTTTTGTGTGCTTTCAGAAAGAAAAGTTTGTGAAGCTGTTGGACCAGTTACATAACTCGTTGAGAATTGATTTATCCATGTACAGAGTAAGTTGTATTACAAGTGTTACATCTATTGTGGTCTGGGATGCTGTCTTATAAGGATTCCAAGTATAGAGTACAGTCAAACCTGTGTTATCAGACCACTCTCTGAAAGTCTGAAAGGTGGTCTCTTAATAGAGGTGGTATCTTAATACAGGTGGTCTCTTAACACAGGTGGTCTCTTAATACAGGCTCAGTTCACAAAGAAATCACTACAATTAGGCATCATTACAAGTGGCCTCTTAACACAGGTGGTGTCTTAATGGAGGTGGTTGCATAAGCAGGTTTGACAGTGTAGAACTTTATTGAGAGAAAAAAATATCAAATTTTGGTAATTTTATTTAACTTTTCCTTAGATAATATTTATTGGAAAAGACCCAAAATAAAGAGTATGCTGTTTGACTTTAGTCAAACAGGTATTTGATTTTACAATAAAAATATTCAAAAATTTTGTAATTATTTTACGGATAAAAAAAGAAACTATGATCAACATCCCTATGTCACAAAACTAACAGTATATTTGTTGATTTTTATCGGACAGAATAATTTCCCAGCGTCAGATCGGGCTCGGTTACAGGATCTCAAGTCGACGGTAGATCTGCTCACCAGTATAACATTCTTTAGGATGAAGGTAAGATATCGGGCAACCAGTGCTGTCTCATACAGTCACATGACGCTCAAATGTAAAAATAGTATTGACCACGCAAAATGTATTGTTGTCTATGAATTTGTTATAAAAATCATACACTAACAATTTCATGTTCTTTATATTTTCTCCTTCATTTGAGTTTTTCCTCTTTGTTGTTTTTGTACAGAAATACCTGTACCTAGCATACATTTGGTGAACAACAATGTATTCCACCTATTTTCAAATCAAGATGATATGTCACTTCTGACCTCCATAATTACAGAAAAATGATACAACGATAAGAAAAACTCTACAGTAAAAAGAGTGTTTTTTTTGTCAAAATCCCCCAAGGTACAAGTAATTCATTTGATGTATTTTTCAGGAATTTTTTTATATTTTAGGACAATTAGCAGTAAAAATACAATTTTAAAAAGTTGAAAATATAAAAAAAATGTACATTTGGTTCAGTAGTATTTTTATTAAAAATTCTTTTGTAAGGAAAGTACACCTCCTATTCTTTGTTAAAACAATTACATCTCCTATTCCTGTGTCATATTGTTTTGTATGCAGTTTTATCAATCAAACTTCATTAATTTAACAATATACAAAAAAAAAAACTTAGTTTAAAGTTAAAATATTTATTGAAATATCACTGATTAATTTTTTTACTTGAATGTGGGTGGCTTCATGGTATTGATGAAGTTTGATATAAAGAAGTCCTGGGCAAGTTGTTCAAAAGCTTAAAGTATCTTAAAAATGTGTCCAGTTGATTTTGATAATAATTAAATATCATGTATATACATTATAATGTATATCCCTTTAAATGCCTTTAGTTTAAATATCTATGAATATTATTGTTGATAAAAATACTCCTGTATGGGGCCCACCTCCCTCCCCGATCTTGTTCAATTAGATATTGAATTTATAACTAATTGCATTTGACTTCAAAACAGAAATGATATTCCCTTAGCTAGGAGATATGCTCTTTAGAATTCTAGAGCTGTGTGATAACTTGCCAATTCAGATTTTGAACAACTTGGTTAGAATTTCATATTACAATCTTTCATTTTGTTTCTCATTTATGATTTATTTTTCTATTTCATTTTGCTGTCCTGCTGATAATGTAAAATCTTTAATTATTTTAATTCAAATCATTGTCTCTTTGATTGTCACCGTATGTATCTGCAAAAGTTTGGAATATTTTTTCAGTTACAAACAGGAGAAGAACAGAATCCTGCATATCCTACTTAATCTGGGATTCTGATATTTACGAAGTTCTAAAACAAAGGTCTAACTTATTTTTTACAAATATTGCATCATTTTACAGAAGTGACCAAGTTGTTGGGGGGAAAATAGAGAGAAATAAACCGCTTAAAGATACTTTTCCCCTGCAACAAACAATAGAAAATTTCGCTGTAGTTTTTCATGCTCAAACACAGTATATATTGATTAGAGGTGGCTGAAACATCTAGTTACTATTGGCATCCTTTGTATATTTCTATAAGTCAGAGGTACAGGATTTTATACAAATCTATTTTCATTAAATTTGCTTTTTCGCTCTGGGATAACTTGACCAATGAAATAAAAGGATGCAAGAATTGTAACAATTGGTAAAATATTTCAAAAATTGAAAAAAAAACCTAGATTAAATAGGATATTTATGGTACTGTTTCAATTGTGATGTGGGGGTCATAGGTCAAATGACTTACTCAGTGTAATTGAACGGTTTGTCTTTAGATTGTGATGACTGTTTGTCTCCGTGAGAAATATTCACGTTGCTGAAGTTTTCAGATCTTTCTTGTAGATGTAAGTGTATGTTATTCATCACAGGTAAATTGAATGACACCGGTTTGTGGGGAATTGAGGAACTTTTTGACAATGACGAATAAATCACATGCTGTGAATGGTTTAATTACTTTAATGGTTTAATTACTTTAATGGTTTAAGCATGAATTTTCAAAACTGGATCGCCTTTTTTATTAATCTTTTCTATTAATTTTTAAACTATTTTTATTAACTATTAAAGTTTTGTATTTTGAAGGTTTTGCTTATTAAAACACTCCTTTATTCAAACAAACTTTTTTTTTTTTTTTTTACATTTATTTCAGCAGATCTTAGTTTAGATTTATTTCAATTAATTGATCTCTGATTTAGATATGGCCCATTTTCCAGAAGAAAAAAAATATGCTATACAAAAATATGGATTAATAGATATGTTGGCTATAAAAAGTCACAGGGGCAGGAAAAATAACTTCCTTTTCTAGTATTTTAAAATGTCATATTTGGATATGCTTCAGTAATTAAAATCTAGATTTGTGTTAATGTGTTACAATATGTAACTCTTGCTTTTGATTTGCTTTGTGTGTGTATTTTCATATTTATATTTCTGTTGACAAGTCATTGCAAAATTTGGGTAAATATTATCTAAAGACATATTTTTGAAATTGAGGGTCACAATTTACTTAAAGCAAGATTTTTAAGGAGAATAAATTCAAATAGAGGTTGTTTAAAATAATGTGAATAATTCAAGAAGGTATTGTTTAAAGGGAGCTAATCTAAAGGGAGTTAATTCAAAGGACTTGGTTCAAATGGTAATGGTTTCAAGGGAGATTTTTTAAAGAGAGTTAATTCAAACAGAAATTGTGTAAAGGGAGATAATTTAAAGGGAGTTAATTAAAATATAAATTGTTTAAAGGGATATTATTTAAAGGGAGTTAATTCAAATAGAAAGGGAGATTATTTAAAGGGATTTAATTCAAATAGAAATTGTTTAAAGGGAAATTATTTAAAAGGATTTAACTAAAATAAAGATTGTTAAAAGGGTGATCAATTTTAAAGGTTGTAATGTGTCTGGTACACTAGAGTGTGTGTAAGTTTGTGGGAGGATGTGGTGTTACTGACATGGTTGTTATCGTCCCCAGATCGTGTCAAACCCGGATGTGAGTAGCACAGTGTTGTTATTTGATTGCCGTCTGCCTCTTTAGCTGTTCTCTATCTGTATATCCTATCTCATTAGAACACAGGCGCCTAGCTAAAAACCTGGTTCATTTTCACACTCTACACCATGTTTCAACATTCATTCTTCTTTTGTATTCTTGAAAATTGGTAGTGTGGACATATTAAGTTTCAATATCAATAAGTTTATCCAGATTTTCTTTAACTTTGAAGAAGATCTTTGTTTTACTTTCTGAACTAACATCTTGTCAATCAGAAAGATTGATGACTGTTTCCCGAGTAACTCATTGAATATGATATTTTTGGCACAGACATCTTTATCAAATGCCTCAATGTTTATGTAACAAGTAACTGAAAAAGAAAATGTTTTCAAAAGAGCAAGAACTAGAGGAAGTTTTTAAAATCAGTGTCTGTTGGATAAAATCTTCAGATCGGTGGTATCAGGTTTTCAGACTGCTGTGTTACAGACTGATAATATATCATTTGTCGTATTAAGAAAATTTGTTTAACGAGCATGCAATTTAGTTATTAAAGTTTGTGAAGTGGAAACATTTTTTCTTCTTAGATAAGCCATTCTAATATGATTTGATTGAATTCATTGAAGCTAACATGTCCAGACTGACTAATTTCCTGTGTACATCAGAATCTAACCAAGAGTTTGACAAACTAGCTATGCACTTAATAAAACTAATAGCAGAAACATATTGCATTTGACCAATGATAAATACCAGGAAAACCTGAGTACTGGGGTCAACTAATGCTGTCAGAACATCTCAACCTGGGGGCAGCTCGGGTCGGGGTCAGGTACGTGATGAAAACCCTGCACTGGTGCAGAGTTCAACTAAAACAAGAACATTTAAAAGATGTGTGAATATTATCTCAAATACATTCAGTGTATTTCTACTGGAATTTCTTGTTCTCACTTTGCTTGAGAGCGAAACAACAACGTTGAACACGAGAAATGGGATAGTCATGTAGATTGAATTGTAACTTAATTAATTGTTAAATATTTTGTCCCCCGCTTATTTGTAGACATACTTAACTCATTCACCCCTGAAAAAGCATTTGAACTCCTCCATTCAAAGGTTGGAATAGTTCATTATGAAATTTCAGGGGTGAATGAGTAAATTTTGATTCCAATGCGTCTGTCAACAAAGTCATCGCAGCCTCTACTTCAAGTTCTTCATGGGCAGGGCTTCGGTCACTGTCACTATCCTTATATAGGCAGACATTTCATGGAAATTACAATATTTGATATAAGGCGACAGGTGATTCTTCGATTTATATTTTAGGACAGTATTTCTGGAATATGCATTAATTTTGTACAAACCTCTTGGATGTTAACTCATTCACCCCTGAAGATAATTTAAACTCTTCCAATTCAAAGGTTGGAATGGTTCATTACGAAATTTCAGGGGTGAATGAGTTAAATGGATGTATTCAATTGGGACTTGAATTTGATCAAAATAAAATATTTGATGCAGTTACAGTTACTTCCTCCATTGTGATGGGCTATTTAAGCCGGGGGACATTATTACATACAATGATTTAAACAAATAGTTTGGAATTTAAAAAACTAACTTAGTTGTCTTTAACACTGTTTAATCCAGTGTGATCATGTTTCATTAATTCTTGTTTTCCTGATGGGGAAAAACACAGACTAATTTTTATTATTTTCATTCTTTTGTGAGATTAACTTTTTTTCCTTTAAACATTGAGTTAAGTAAGGTTCATTTCTGTTCGGAATCCCTCTACATTTTTGTATCTAGAGCTGTCTTAATGTGTTTTCTTTGAAATTTGTTGATTGGTTGGGTGTTTTGTTGAATTCAAAATAAATGCATATATGTTTTTTGTTAATTTTTTGGTTGTATTAACAAAAATACGTCGCTGTTAGTTTTCAAGCATGAGAAGAGCATGGCTGAACACAAGGTTCTATTCGTGATAGCTCCTGTAGAAACTTAACGTAATGCTGGATTTGTAAAGTTGACAAATAATTAGTCACCAGTATCAGATGTTATCAGCACAGTTACAATGTTGCTTTCAAATATCATATTAAGTGATGCTGTACAGAGTAAAGAAATATTGGATTTAAAAATTGAAAACAAGTTGATACAGTTAGCGAATTTGTTAAAAAAAATAAAAAAATCTTGAGGTTAATTAGATTTTTTTAGAAGATTTAATAATTTTAATAAATTTAATAACAATTTAAGAAATTATCTGAAAAAACTTTGATAAATCCCAACTCTTGTAAAGAATAATTAATCTAATTGCTAATGAAAATAAATGTAAATTTCATAAAACTACATATATCAATGTAGGTTATTTATTCTTTTAATATATTTGAGAGACAAAGAAATTAATAAGAAATTATGTCATAGTTGATGCATCCTCGATCACCAAATTTTAGATGCATGGATACAAAATGACAGTGACATTATATTTGTATCATTGCTATATAAAAAGATATTAATATTATAAAAGCCATTCAGTATAGCACAAGAAATCAATTTGAGCTTCTGACACAATCACAGCTTTTTATCGTTGCAATTTTAAGCCATCATGTTTAATTTTGAACACCGTTTACAAAAGAGAGCTTCCTGTTTTTTGTTCATAACGAAAATTATTTATATATTTATACTATATGCGAAACTGTAACGTACTAATTTTTAGTGGAAATATTATTTTAGCGCTAATGTTAATGTTTTATTAACTGTACACTGTCTTTGATCTGCAAATGTTTTTTTCCAGCATCGATATAGATTTGATATATTGATTCAGATCGAGTTTGAAGCTCGATAATCGAAAGAAGATTTAGAAATAATTTATTGTTTTTTGTCTTATATTTTGTGAAAGTTTGGGGTTTTGTTTTTCGGATCACACACTCCTTATCGGAATTTCATTGCACTTGACCTTGACTCCTGTTGGTCCAATGTCACAGATTTTACTTCTAATATAAGCTAAATATCAGTCTTGTTTGTATGATATATGGCATTATTTGAATTTTAGTTCAATTGATCTACTACTGTGTGGGTTTAACATTTCACGTTTACTAATTGAAGTAAAGTCACAAACAACAAAGCCACAAGCGCAAAAACATCTTGTTTGGTCATCCATGCCGTCCTATTATCTGTGAGCTGTATGCTAATTGTTGCCCTAATCTTTATAAGCAATGGAACATATTGATAGGTATATTCATCTTTCAGTAAACTTGACTAATGATCAACATGACTGACCCTAGGTCAGATCTGAGTACTCGTTCCAACTCGCTCCAGATAATTTGTTGAAACTCATTATTAACCTGCAAAATTATAAAAGATATTTTTAATCTTTGTTTTTACTCATAATAACTTCAAAGGAAGTATTCAGATGAAAACAATGTTGTAATTTGCAGTTCATGTTAAATGATTCAAATAATGAAAAAAAAAATATAAATTTTTACCTGAACTGAATCAAAATATTTCATCCTCTTTTTATTTTCTAAATACTTTTGGTGATAGAGGATAAAATATATCACATTCAATATTGTAACAGGTTTGTTGATTGACAAGGCTGTATGTTTGTTTAGAAATATTAAATTTTTAACTTGTTATGTGCGTAAAACTAATATAGACATTGTACTTTGACCTTAACAGGTACAGGAATTGCCGAGTCCGCCCCGCGCCAGTACCGTGGTCAAAGACTGTGTGATTGCCTGCATGAAGTCTACATACCAGTTTCTGCTTGACAATTGTTACGAGCTCTATCAGCGCGAGTTTCAGACAGATCCCGCGGAAGCTGAGGCAGACCAACAGGGCGGAAACGCCAATAGCCTTGACCTTCTCCACAAGCTCATCACTCTGATCGTGTCTGTGATCGAAGAGGATCGGAACAGTTACACGCCGGTCCTCAACCAGTCAGTGCCTACTTCCTTATAGCAGTTGTCTCCCTTGTGATTCTATACACTTCCTGTTGGCAGTTGTCTCCCTTGTTATTATATACACTTCCTGTTGGCAGTTGTCTCTCTTGTTATTTTATACAATTTCTGTTAGCAGTTGTCTCCCCTTCATTCCCAAAATACTATGCTATGTGTTAAAACCATCAGGTACATTTTGGATATGTACTTTGTGTATAATATCCCCATTTATGATGTCGCAAAGAGTAAAAGAAATTGTTGTTTTTCTTTTCTTTTTTTCAGTCTAATAATTCACAAAGTCAATTTTTTTATGTTTTAATGTCTTTCTAGTCCATTCAAAGTTTTTTGAAACTCATTTAAAAAAAAAAAACTTATTTGAGATTATTAATATCTTAAATATTTGTAAATAAAGGGAAATCCTTTCAAATATAATTTCTGAAGGAAGTGTTAAAACTTTTATTTATGTATAATCCATTAGCTAAAATCTAAATGTATCAGTTTCCTCCAGAACTATTGAAAATTATAGTTCTATATGATATTTGATTAGATAAGGTTGATTTATTAACATGGCTAGCCTCTTTCTTCACACATATATGATTTCTAATATGCATATCTTGATGGTGCACATTGTTTTTTTTCCCCGTTAGGTTTCCGCAAGAGCTCAATGTAGGTCAAGTAAGTGCTGCCAACATGTGGGCGTTATTCTCTCAGGACTCCTGCTATGCTTTACAAGGTAAGTCAAGGTCAGCTTCAGAAGTGTCAAGGTCAAGTTTAGGTCATAAGGTCATATCAATATTTAACTTTCAATTCCTGATAATCAGCAAACTTTTAATCAGAGATAATCAGCATAATTCTGTTTTATCTTAAGGTTCGTTCATTTCAAGATTTTTGGTGAAAAGGTATAAAACAGAAAAACAAGTTAAGAAAACATATTCTGTTGAAGCAAACTACCAGCTTTTCAGGTACTCCCAATCAGGAGATTATAGGTTTGCAGTCCATCCTCCAATCAGTCATCCTTCAGTCAGTCCAAATGAAAGTTCGCACATGCTTCAGTCAGTCCATCTGTCTGTCAGTCCATCCTTCAGTCAGTCCATCAGTCTGTCAGTCAATCCTTCAGTCTGTCCCTATGCAGTCAGTCCATCTGTCTGTCAGTCCATCCTTTAGTCCATACATCAGTCAGTCAATCCTTCAATCAGTCAATCCTTCAGTCAGTCCATCCATCAGTCGGTCCATCTGTCAGTCAGTCCATCTGTCTGTCAGTCCATCTGTCTGTCAGTCCATCTGTCAATCAGTCAATCCATCAGTCAGTCCATCCATCTGTCGGTCCATCCTTAGGTCAGTCCATTTGTCTGTCAGTCCATCCTTCAGTCAGTCCATCAGTCTGTCAGTCAATCCATCAGTCAGTCCGTCCATCTGTCGGTCCATCCTTAGGTCAGTCCATTTGTCTGTCAGTCCATCCTTCAGTCAGTCCATCAGTCTGTCAGTCAATCCTTCAGTCTGTCCCTATGCAGTCAGTCCATACGTCAGTCAGTCAATCCTTCAGTCTGTCCCTATGCAGTCAGTCCATTTAGTATCTGTCAGTCCATCCTTTAGTCCATCTGTCAGTCAGTCAATCCTTCAGTCACTTAATCCTTCAGTCAGTCCATCCATCAGTCGGTCCATCTGTCAGTCAGTCAATCCTTCAGTCAGTCCATCTGTCAGTCAGTCAATCCTTCAGTGAGTCCATCTGTCTGTCAGTCAATCTATCAGTCAGTCCGTCTGTCAATCAGTCAATCTATCAGTCAGTCCGTCTGTCGGTCCATCCTTCAGTCAGTCCATCTGTCTGTCAGTCAATCCTTCAGTCTGTCCCTATGCAGTCAGTCCATACGTCAGTCAGTCAATCCTTCAGTCACTTAATCCTTCAGTTAGTCCATCCATCAGTCAGTCCATTTGTCAGTTAGTCAATCCTTCAGTCAGTCCATCTGTCAGTCAGTCAATCTTTCAGTCAATCCATCTGTCTGTCAGTCCATCTGTCAGTCAGTCCATCTGTCAGTCAGTCCATCTGTCTGTCAGACCATCTGTCAGTCAGTCCATCTGTCTGTCAGTCAATCCTTCAGTCAGTCCATCTGTCAATCAGTCAATCCATCAGTCAGTCTGTCCGTCTGTCGGTCCATCCTTCAGTCGGTTAGTCAATCCTTCAGTCAGTTCATCTGTCTGTCAGTCCTTCCTTCAGTCAGTCCATCTGTCAGTCAGTCAATCCTTCAGTCAGTCCATCTTTCTGTCAGTCTGTCAGTCAATCAGTCAATCCATTAGTCAGTCTGTCCGTCTGTCGGTCCATCCTTCAGTCAGTCAATCCATCAGTCAGTCCATATGTCAGTCAGTCAATCCTTCAGTCAGTCCATCTTTCTGTCAGTCTGTCAGTCAATCAGTCAATCCATCAGTCAGTCTGTCCGTCTGTCGGTCCATCCTTCAGTCAGTCCATCTGTCAATCAGTCAATCTATCAGTCAGTCCGTCCGTCTGTCGGTCCATCCTTCAGTCAGTCCATCTGTCTGTCAGTCCATCCTTCAGTCAGTCCATCTGTCAGTCAGTCAATCCTTCAGTCAGTCCATCTGTCTGTCAGTCCATCATTCAGTCAGTCTGTCTGTCTGTCAGTCAATTCTTCAGTCAGTCCATCTGTCTGTCAGTCCATCTGTCTCTGTCTGTCAGTCCATCTGTCTGTCAGTCCATCTGTGTCAGTCCATCTGTCTGTCAGTCCATCTGTCTGTCAGTCCATCTGTCTGTCAGTCAATCCTTCAGTCAGTCCATCTGTCTTTCAGTCAATCCTTCAGTCAGTCCATCTGTCTGTCAGTCCATCCTTCAGTCAGTCCATCTGTCAGTCAGTCAATCCTTCAGTCAGTCCATCTGTCTGTCAGTCCATCATTCAGTCAGTCTGTCTGTCTGTCAGTCAATTCTTTAGTCAGTCCATCTGTCTGTCAGTCCATCTGTCTCTGTCTGTCAGTCCATCTGTCTGTCAGTCCATCTGTCTGTCAGTCCATCTGTTTGTCAGTCGATCCTACAGTCAGTCCATCTGTCAGACAGTTCATCCGTTAGTCAGTCCATCAGTGCATTAAATTTTCTCTTATGTTTTCTGTGAACTTCAATTGTCAAGTTTCATTTATTTATTTATTTTTTCATTTAAACATATTTTATTGCCAATATGATTTAGCAATGGGATTGGACAAGTTTTGTATGCAAGTATCTCTTGGGATGACAAAGTGTCGCATACAGAAATTTGGTCCCGTTCCCAATCACATGTTCCCAAGCATATACAAGTTATTGTTTTGTGTTCATTTGTGCTGCTTCAGTTTGTCTGGGGGTGGCAAGGGGACAGCAGTTTGCTTTGTTTCAAATAATTTTAAAGAAAAGATTTTTTTTCATTTTCTATTTCAGAGCATGAAGTAGAACGGTCCTGTAAGAGCTCTGAGTATATGAATCTCCACTTCAAGTTAAAATGGCTTTACACCAAGTATATTGCTGATGTGCCTCAATACAAGGGGACAGTCCCGGAGTATCCACAGTAAGTCCGATAGCGTACATATGGGTTGTAAATTGGATTATTTGCCTTCACGGAAAGGCTATTTTTTCATTCCTGTGAATGTATGACAGAAATGTCCAGGATTAAGAAAGGAGTGAAAGAAATTGCTATTTTACACCCAGTTTCACGTATGTGCAGACGTCACAACGGGATACCAATGACATGACATCATGAATTTGGGAACATTCCGATGCGGGGATGCAGACATTGTGACACCTTTTGTGGTTTCTGAGTTAATTCTGTTGATTTGAATCAGAGAAAAATACTCTCTCAAACCTAGGGGTGTAGGAAAGGGAAATTCCACCCTCAGGCTTCTCAGATTAGGTAAAACCCTCAGATTTTTAGATTGGTGCTAAATCCACTGCAAGCCTCAGGTTTTACCCAATTTGAAAATCCCTTGGGTAGAACTTCCCTATCCTACACCCTTATAGGCATGAAGGAGTCTTATAATCTCATACACCTGTATGTATATATATATATATCCAAGGGGACGATCTGGAGTATCCACAGAAAGGTGAATTATTGTCACCCTTCTATATATAAGGGGATGGTCCCAAACTATAAACATTAAAGAGAAAGAAAAAAAACTTGTGTTCTATACCATATGGGATGATCCCCGAGTGTCTACATTAAGGAGAAAAGAATCTCAAACTCTTTTGTGTGACATCACAATTATATAAAGTATTATGTAAACAGTTTAACGGGTCAGTTAGCCTTTGTTCTTTGAGACTTGTGTTGTTGGTTTTTTTAAATGGGGAAAAAAACCTGTTGCGTATTTATTTTTTCAGATTTGAATCCTGAAAATGACCCTGGAATAGTACTGATCTAGCAGTATCTTAGTTTGTTGTACTGGTGTTGTGCTCCAAGTTTACCCGTACCCGTGTTTTCCTTTGTAGATGGTTTGAACCATTTGTAATGCAGTGGTTGAACGAAAATGACGATGTTTCCATGGAATATCTCCACAGTGCCTATGAACGTGACAAAAAAGACGGGGTGAGGGAAACAGAGTAGAAGCTTCAGAACAATTCCGTTCATTTATATTTTATTTGGTCTTGAAGAGCATAATTTAATATCCTAATTATCTAACTTTTCTGTTTCCAAAATCATTAATCATAGACTTAACTGATTTGTTTTTGTTCAAATTCCAAAAGATTTTCAAATACTGACTAAGTACATGTATAATAGTTTATGTTCGAATTCTAAATAGTCTATATGTGATTTTTGTGGTTTCAGTTCCAAAAGAGTTCCGAGCACTCTCTGTTTTCTACGTCGGTGGTGGATGTGTTCACACAGCTCAACCAGTGCTTTGATGTCATCAAAAAGCTGGAGTGTCCAGACCCTGAAGTGGTTAAACGCTACATGAGGCGGTTCGCAAAAGTAAATGAAATATTTTACGTGTTTTATTTTATTTTTAGCTCAGTTTTCAGAATGTAGTGTTGTACGGACTTCTCTGTATTCATCTGGCTACATCTTTCATGTCTGGACCGAGATTTCTAAGCTGATAATTTCGTAGAAGTGTTTGTGTGATGTTGGTATATGTAGCATACAGTTTTTAGCTCACCTGCCCGAAGGGCAAATGAGCTTATGCCATGGTGCGGCGTCCGTCGTCCGTCAACTTTTCCTAAAAATTGGTACTAGTCATAAATGACTGAGTAAATTTTGACCAAATTTGGTCAGAAGCATCCTTAGGAGAAAGGGAACAAATTTTGTATAAATAGTGGGTCTGGCCCCTGGGGGCTGAGGAGTGGGGCCAGATAGGGAAAATATAGCAAATTCTCTAAAATCCTTCTTCTTCTGTAGGATTGAAAGGATTAGTTCCATATATGGTCTGAAGCATCCTTGGGTGAAGGGGAACCAATTTTGTATAAACCGTGGATCTTGCCCCTGAGGAGCCTGAGGGGCGGGGCCCAATAGGGAACACATAGTAAATTCTTTAAAATCCTTCTTTTTCTGTAGGAATGAAAGAATTTGTTCCATATTTAGTCTGAAGCATCCTTGGGTGAAGGGGAACCAATTTGTATAGCTATGGGTCTGGCCCCTGAGGGGCCTGGGAGGTGGGGCCCAATAGGGGAAATACCGTATAGCAAATTCTTACAGCCCTTGGACTCATTTTGAGAATATTTTGCCATGATTGCTTAGATTTCCAGGTGAGCGATACAGGACCTCTGGGCCTCTTGTTTGTATGTATAATCCCAAATCAAAGTTGTAGCAAGGAGTTTAAGGTCAAATCAATAATCTTCTTAGTAAGTGTTGCTATGATTATTCCAAGGAGGGGACTGTAAGTTTGTGCTCTGTCAGTCTGTCAGTTAGTTATTCCTTCCATTATTTTGTCAAGGGCTTATCTCATATGCTCTGTAATGTATATATGACAAGTGTCTCTTAGGATGAAATTGGGTCTCCTTCTGTCCTATATACAGAGTTACTACCCTTTTTTTCAGCTTTGATACCAAGCTTTGTCATGCAGGGAGGAGAGACTATGGATTTCTTGAAATACCTCGCCTTATTTATAAATAATTACGTATACATTACAAAGAAACAACATTTATCACATCAGATTTTAAATATCATTATATTTTGCATATATATAAATATGCATTCTGTTTACTAAATCTGTTTGTTGTTGTTTACTTTTACAGACAGTCAATAAAGTACTTCTCACCTATGCAGATACAGAGAAAAAAGATTTTGAAAAGTACACAAACAATAACCGAGTGGTAAGTGTTTCACTGAAACAAATACGCTACATTTGATATATTTCATTGAAATATTAGCAAGAATTTTATGATATATTTGAAATATTAACAAGATTTTTAATTTATATTTTAAAATATTTTGATGAAATTTTATAAAAATAATATCATGTTCTAGTTTAAAACAAATATATATCAAAATGAATTACTCTTGGTCTTTGCAAAATTAGGAATTTATGTGTAGAAATTTTATATTTTCATTTACTTGGTATGGACTTTTTCTCAAAAGCAATGTTGCTACAATGAATGTTTCATATAGTGTCAATGTGTCCAGTGAGAATTTCTTCTTTTACAAAATTCAGGCAATCAGAAAACAAATATAACAATGAAACCTGCTTTGGAGACCACCTGTCTATAAAGACCACCTGTTCGTCTATAAGATCCCCTGTCTATAGGATCCCCTGTCCATAAGATCACCTGTCTTTAAAGATCCCCTGTCTATTTCCATAGAATTATACCTTTAATGGTTTCTTTTTGATAACACTCTGTTATCATGTGCCACCATCCAGAGTATCTTTCTATAAAACTTGTCTATTACGAATTTTCTCTCATTATCCATTGAGTTGTCTTTATGAATAGGTTTGATTTATAGAATTGTTTTTCTCTCGACATTTTAAATATATTTCATACTTTTATCCTTCAGGCATGTATTTTAATGAACAACATTCAACAGTTACGAGTACAGTTGGAAAAAGTGTTTGAATCCATGGGAGGAGAGAAGGTATGTAGAAGCCTCGATACTCAGTATCGTCAAAACTTTCCTTTCATAGTTCTGATGTAAGAGAAATAGAATCTCATACACTTCTTATGGAGGCCTCGATCCTCAGTATCGTCAAAACTTTCCTTTTATAGTTCTGATGTAAGAGAAATAGAATCTCATACACTTCTGATGGAGGCCTCGATCCTCAGTATCGTCAAAACTTTCCTTTTATAGTTCTTATGTAAGAGAAATAGAATCTCATACACTTCTGATGGAGGCCTCGATCTTCAGTATCGTCAAAATTTCCTTTTATAGTTCTTATGTGAGAGAAATAGAATCTCATACACTTCTGATGGAGGCCTCAGTCCTCAGTATCGACAAAACTTTCCTTTTATAGTTCTTATGTAAGAGAAATAAAATCTCAAACACTTCTGATGGAGGCCTCGGTCCTCAGTATCATCAAAACTTTCCTTTTATAGTTCTTATGTAAGAGAAATAGAATCTCATACACTTCTGATGGAGGCCTTGGTCCTCAGTATCATCAAAACTTTCCTTTTGTAGTTCTTATGGAAAAGAAATAGAATCTCATACACTTTTGATGGTAGCCTCGATCCTCGGTATCGTCAAAACGTTCCTTTTGTAGTTCTTATGTAAAAGAAATAGAATCTCATACTCTAAATAATGGGATATTATTTGGAAATTACAAGTTGAGACAGAGTTGATTTAGACTTTCACAAATGTAGGTTAGCATTTGCTGTCATTTTCAATATTAGTGTTTGTAGTGTATAATGATGTAAAAATAGGTAATGAAATGGCATTAGCTTGATCATAGTGTTAATGATGTGAGACATCCCTGTCCAGAGGGAATGAATTATACCTCATCTATATAGTGTTAATGATGTGAGACACCCCTGTCCAGAGAGAATGAATTATACCTCATCTATATAATGTTAATGATGGGAGACATCCCTGTCCAGAGGGAATGAATTATACCTCATCTATATAGTGTTAATGATGGGAGACATCCCTGTCCAGAGGGAATGAATTATACCTCATCTATATAGTGTTAATGATGGGAGACATCCCTGTCCAGAGGGAATGAATTATACCTCATCTATATAGTGGTAATGATGTGAGACATCCTTGTCCAGAGGGAATGAATTATACCTTATCTATATAGTGTTAATGATGGGAAACATCCCTGTTCAGAGGGAATGAATTATACCTCATCTATATAGTGTTATTGATGTGAGACAATTCCCTGTCCAGAGGGAATGAATTATACCTCATCTATATAGTGGTAATGATGTGAGACATCCTTGTCCAGAGGGAATGAATTATACCTTATCTATATAGTGTTAATGATGTGAGACATCCCTGTCCAGAGGGAATGAATTATACCTCGTCTATATAGTGTTAATGATGTGAGACATCCTTGTCCAGAGGGAATGAATTATACCTCATCTATATAGTGTTAATGATGTGAGACATCCCTGTCCAGAGGGAATGAAGAATAATTTATACCTCATCTATATGAATGTTTGATTGGAGTATATTATATACATGACAGGGAAATAAAACATCATATTCCTCTCACACACTCTAGTTTCACTGGTCATTTTTTCTTCATTCAGACCCTCTCTAGATAAAAGGACCAGAGCTTACCACATCTGAGTTCTCAGAACTGAAGTAAACAACAACAATGGCGTGTCAACTACATCATCTTATCTGTAACCATGTATTGTTCTGTTGGCATAATAAAACAAGTATTGCCCTTGTTCTAGGGAAACACAAAGTATTTACCTCAGTTGATCATGTTTCACTCAAGCTTTGCCCTCATGAAACACGATTAATCTTGGGAGAAAAATAAGTGTGTTTCTCTCCCACAAGGAGAATAAATGTATGATATTATTTGACGTATAAGTCTTTGATCCTGTGACTGATTAAATTATCTGTGCGCTATTTAACAGCTGGATACCGAAGCTTCACAAATGTTGAAGGAACTGCAGCAAAAACTCAACACTGTGCTGGATGATCTCGCTATGATATTTGCCAAAAGTTTGGAACCTCAGATTCAACAAAGTATGCAAGAATTAGGGACTTTATTATCCAAAGTGAAAGGTGCAGGCCAGGTCTCCTTGGCCCAACCCAGCCAGAGGAACAGTATCCAGCAGGAGTCCGATATGGTGCTAGGTCCCCTTATGGACCTTCTTGACGGCAGGTATGTGTTGTGATATGGTGCTAGGTCCCCTTGTAGACTTTCTTGACGGCAGGTATGTGTTGTGATATGGTGCTAGGTCCCCTTATGGACCTTCTTGACGGCAGGGATGTGGTGTGATATGGTGCTAGAACCCCTTGTAGACCTTCGTGACAGCAGGTATATGTAAAGGTATTGGGATATGGTGCTAGGACCCCTTGTAGACCTTCTTGACAGCAGGTATATGTTAAGGTATTGTGATATGGTGCTAGAACCCCTTGTAGACCTTCTTGACGACAGGTATGTTTTGTGATATGGTGCTAGGACCCCTTGTAGACCTTCTTGACAGCAGGTATATGTTAAGGTATTGTGATATGGTGCTAGAACCCCTTGTAGACCTTCTTGACAGCAGGTATATGTAAAGGTATTGTGATATGGTGCTAGGTCCCCCTATGGACTTTTCTGACGTCAGGTATTTGTAAGTATTGTGATATGGTGCTAGAACCCCTTGTAGACCTTCTTGACAGCAGGTATATGTGTAGGTATTGTGATATGGTGCTAGGTCCCCTTGTGGACCTTTTTGACGGCAGGTATGTGTAGGTAATGTGATATGGTGCTAGATCCCCTTACGGCCCTTTTTGACGGCAGGTATGTGTAGGTACAGTGAAACCTCCATATAATGCCCATTATTTCATTTGCCACCTTGCTTACCGCCAACATAATTTGAGGTCCCTCTTTCTAGTTTTTCTAAAAATTCCTTTATATATTTCCCTCACTGTATTGCCAACCCCCTCTAAAACATAAAACAAATCTGCACAAATGGTGACATAATAACTGCATTTTACTGTATTGTGATAGGAACCTATTCCTATTCTGTATCTTCTTGACAAACATGTTTCAAAATCATTTCTAGTATATACAGGAAGCACTGGTTGTATACAATAAAATTAATGCACTTTGGTTGTAATATGGCTTATAGCTAGTAATTCTGTACTAGGTATTTCTACAGTATTAACGGAAACAATTCAAAAATTCATGTAAGTATGCTCTTTGTGTTTTCAGCCTGACAATGTTTGCTCAACTCTGCGAAAAGACTGTGCTAAAACGTCTCCTGAAGGTTCGTGCTTTGTCTGAATATTAAATCAATATTTATCAAGGTTTCGCGAATTGAGATAAAGTATGTACAATAAAGCTTACATTTCCAACTAAATTATGATGTGAATTGTCTAATTTTCATGAATAGTGAAAATAAGATATATTTAACTGTTAGAAATTGTAAAAAATTACAAACGGTAGTCTAGTGGTAGGACACCGGGCTCATGACCGAAGGGTTGCAGGTTCGAGTCAGGGCACGGCACTGTGTTGTACCTTTGAGCAAGATACTTTACTTCCGCTTGTTCCAGTCTACTCAGCTGTAAATGAGTACGTGGTTGGGCATTGCTAGAATTGTTGAATGCTAGCTGTGAGCGCCGAAATGGCAGCATCCGGCTGTATGCTCCCTAGGGAGTTAAGAAGGTATTGGCTAGTTGCAAAGGCCCTATAACCACGGATAATAGTTTGTGAACCGGTTTGAGACGACCTACTAACTAGGTTGTGATAATTTATTTATTTACCTGACCTGTTTACAGGAGCTGTGGAGGATAGTGATCTATACAATGGAGAAGAAAGTTGTGCTTCCGCCCCTCTCAGATCCTCGACAGGTAAGAACCTACATAAGATTTGAACCTCTGAATCTGAATAAAAATAATATATGAAGACATACTTTTTTTTAAATGGAGACAACTGCAAGTAATTACAATTAATTTAGTAAATGTGTTGAACTTTTATAACATACAAGAAAAAAAATCATTTTGAAAACTTTTGTAATTGCTCTGAAAGTATTTCAGATTACTATAAATAATATTTCTTTGATGATAAAGTAACTTTTTATTGATATTTCTTTACTCTATAAAACACTGATACATTGTTTATTTTATAGGAGAAAGGCTCAAAATCAGATGTCAGGGTATATAAACACTATCCAACATTAGTATTCTGACTAGTATACATGGGTTTAAGACCATGTTATCTAACACAGGATTCTGATTTCTCAAAAATTGGGTTCAGGCTTAAGTTTTCTTAAGAGAAATATTTGTGATCTATTATACAAATACACATTTTTTCTTTCTTTTTCTTATTTTCCTCAAATCTGAAGTTTCAAACAAAAATATCTGACATCTTTTACAAATATGTATTAATCTTTAGTTATTGATAAACAGAAATTGAGATTAAGTAACAAAATTATGTAAAGAAAAGAGTTAGTCTGAACTAGTTTTGATATGAGAAATTCAGAATCTGATATTCTACTAATGTGAGTGATGGTTGTGGGAAAAGAAGGAATTGCTGTGTCGCTTGTCTTAAAAATGGGTAGCCCTGGTGTGCCTTTACATAAGGGAGAAAATTCTAGTTCCAAGAGGAGATAAATAAGATGAGATATCTGTTGTTTTAGAGGAAATCAAACAATTTAGATGCTGATGGATTAATTTTTGGATATCGTAGGTAACTCTAGATTTAAGGGGAGGTCATTTTGGAAATGGGGAATAACTCTAGATTTTAGGGGAGATAAATATGTAAATATTAGATTTTAGAAAGGCTTCACTCAGATGAATATGGAGTTTTTTTAAATGAAGCATTTAACGTGAATCAAAATTTTAAAAAATGTTGGCAGGAGGAAGGTTAGAAATGATCCCTAACGTTCTTAACCCTTTTTCTTTGATTGACAGGAACAGTTTGGCACTTATTGATTTTGATGCTATAAGCATGGGAATTGGACTGTACAAGGGTCTGGGTTTAAATTGCCTTTTTTTCTTGTTGCAAACTCACAAACAATGACAAATTCTGACACAATTTGTTTTTTGTATGTTATGAAAATAAAGGACCTTGGATCATTCATTTGATTTCTTATTAAAAAGAAAGAACACTATAATTTAAAAAGAATGAAATTTGTGAGCAGGATTTGTGAGTTTTTGTGTTTGAAGGGAATTATAGAATGGAAAATATAGAATGTGAAATAACCATAATATGCTTACTTATATCCCTTGCTTTCACCCAGCAGGGAACATTATTTTCAGCGTCCAGCTCTAATATTCCGTACTAAACAGTCAACTGTGCTTTTCATTCTTTACATTCCTAACATTAATATTTCAAATGGATATTGGCCCAAGATTCCTTTGTTTAGCTGGCAGTACTTGGTTCAAATCTGAAAAAGAACATTTTTTGCGAATTCTTTATTACAACTTGTAACCCTTGTTTGATTGGCCAAAGGTATTTCTGTGTGCGATGACTTTCTTTTCACCGGCAGACATTAATGTAGCTCTTTACACTCTTCAATCCCTCCATCGTCATTGATGAATGTTTTAATTATTCAAACAATATCTTTAAGATCAGTTACAAGGATTTTCACCAAAAGTCATCCTAACAGTTTGGACATTCATTCTTCAAATCTTATATTTTTCAACAGTAGGGATTGTGTCCATAAAAGATCATTGGAGTTGTCACAAATGGTGTTTTAGAGTTACTTGCCCTTGATTTTCCTGTCTTGAGTTGTATACCTATCGAGACTCTACCATTAGATGGGTCCATATCCAACAACCTGTCCTTGATGCTGCATCAGATCTTTCTTTTCATTTACCTCTGATTTAAGCCCGTAAAATTATAGGAGTCAATATTAGATAAATGAAGAGAATGGTTGGAAGTCTTTGAATCATAATCTAATAAGCTTAGTTTTGATTTGTCCTTATAATTAGTGGTATAAAGAAATGGCTTTGATAGAACTAACTGTTTTTCCTAAGAAAGTTCGTAAATAATCATTCTTAAGAATACCAAACTCAGTGAATAGCAGTTGTACCATTTTTCTTACATCAACCTTACAGAAGTTCCATTCCCTTTAGACGATGTGTCAGCTTTAAGTCCCTTCGTCTGTTCATCAAGGTGTTCGCCCTCTCTGTATGTCCCACTGCGGGTTTCTTTTGACTGTTTCCTCTTCTTTTTTGAATCCTCTGACTTTCCGCATGGTCTCAGGAACATTCTAGAAAGTTTAAAACCTTGTCTTTATGAAGGACTGTATCACTGTTTTGAGTATACCTAATATTAGACTGATCATGTCGGAACTTAAATCTTTGAATTAAAAAAAAAAAAACTCCTATTTAATGATAATTGGTTCTCCTGTTGACCTGATCTATGTGACCTGCGCTTAGGGATACTGATTTGAACAGGTTGTGAACTGCCCCAAAAATCACTCTCACATTTTCGTTTCCTACATAAAAAAACAGGAGGGTTGTATGTGTATTTTGTGACCCACTGTCAAGTTGATTTGATTATACAAAACTTGAAAAAATTATTATCTGCATATATTTAGCTCCAATTTTGCATCATAACATGGTGTCAGAAAAAGATGTCGGAGTGTCCCAATCCCCATACATGGATGTAATCAACTGAGAATTTTATTTCGGACATGGAAATGAAAAGTGGAGAGATTGGCTTTGGTAATTCCGGGGTAGTTCTCAACCTGTTGGATATGATTATTGACGAGTATTTTGCCATGGTTTGTAATTGCAGTTTCTGTCCCTACCTGGTAAAGGGAAAGGTTCCATTCTTGATGATAAACCCAGGTTTTTGTTCTTTGTTGGTGTAAGTCATGAACTCTTCAGTAAATGTAGCTTCTTCAACTTTAACCTCTGACCTCAGGCTTGTTATGTATTGTACATACTCTGACCTTTAGCTGACCTTATGTGACCTCTGACCTATCTCTATGAAGGCACTCACTCTATGGGATCTATATGCTGGTTTCAACAAAAGTTTGAAATTTCAAACCCTAATTTATCAGAAACTTGAAATCTTTCTTATTTTTGTATATCAGATATTTGATGATTAGCAATTGATTAAAATGCTTTGAATAGACTTGGCTTGTTAATCTGAAATAAGAAAAACTGGTTTGGCTACTTTTTTCTTGCGCATTGTATCCCATGGAGTGTATGTGTGTGAAAATCCAGCACATCTCTGTTCTGCTCAGAGCTTTGAGTGTCACCCCATCACCCCAATCCCCACCAAACCAAATGTCATGGAATCAGTTTTGACAAAGGGCTGTGCATTCTTTTGATTTCATCATATGAGGCCAAGCAAAATTAAAATTAATCAGTAGTTCAGAAGAATAGATACAAGACTAATTTGAGGATTTCACAGGTGTATTTTTCATTACTTACTTTTGTATTTTAAGAATCTTTCTAAACGTTTCATTTTTTAGAAGAATTGTTTTTGATGAAGTCTGAGATTAATTTAACCGCAAACAACAAAGAGTAGATGTTTGCCAAGTTTTTATTTTTTTCTACTGTTTTTTTGGTAGTTCTTTTTTGAATAATTCTGATACTAGCTTCTTCAGAGAGATCTATTCTGAATTTGAAAATTGAAGAGTGAAATAAAAAACCAAAAAGGACTTTGTTCCTCGTAAAAATTGTCTGTGTTTGTCCATTCCCGTGTGCTGACCCCCTGACCCCTCTAGAATCCTAATAAACCCTTCCGCATCTGTATGGACTTGTCCACGTCACTGGCAAGAGGTAAGAGTGGGTCAATGTCGTCTTCCATCTAAAAATCCCAGTGTTGAATGTCGGGGTAGTCTAGAAATTGTACTAATCCAATGACCTTGAACTGATCAAAGTCACTGACATGGTCAAGATCATGGAGCAGTATAAACATGTCTGTGTGTCTATATTGTGTGTCCTGTAGGCAGACCAGATGATTGGTCTGTCAAATCTGTAAGCACTAGCTGTTTCCGATTGGCTGCTCAACATTTAGAATGGTTTAGTTTCCTGTTCTGACTGGTTTTTGAATCCCTGTTCTTTGATTGGCTGGCTGTGTAACAGAGATAAAGTACAATGTGTACTCATGATTGAATTTGTGATGTGCTGCAGTGAACTGCCATTTTGTCCATCATGTGACTAGACTTTTTAAATTAGTTAGTTCGTGGTGACATCACTCTTACTTGCGACAGCAATCAGATTGGAATTCCTTATGACACTGCTAAAAATGTCCTGCGCTGGCAATAATGTCATCGACATCGATGAGCCACAACAACAATGGCTGTACCCTGCAACAGCTGTCGAAACTGCAGCTAATATTTATTTTTTTAGATTTGAAATGACAATGATGACTTCCCACGACTACTGTATTTATTACAGATGACAATCTGCAAAATTATAAATTATGACATTTTAAGGTAAAATTATCCAAACATGAAAAACATATATATATATTCCAAAAATGTTGAAATGCACAATATTTCACAAATTTTGAACAAGGTGACATTTTAAGAACATTATTTTCCAAACGTCAGGAGCAATCATGACATTGACACAGCATCGGAGAAGGATGAAACACCCGCATGACGTTATTCTAAGGTCATGTGAAGTTGGTAAGATTCTGCAAAATAGTCCCAAAGACGCGGGTGTGACATGTATCGCTTATCGAGAGTCGTCCGTCCTTTTTCAGCTCCTGCCTCTACCTGGTACAGCCCAAGCTAAGATAGAAGATGTGTCCCGTTTGCTATTCAACAATGTCAGCCAATTGCCCATGAATGTTCCTATGATTCAGGTGAACCCACGCTTCCATGTCCATTGTGATTGTTGCATCCTAGTCCCCCCCCCCCCGAGTCCTCAGTTTTCTTCGTGTTGTTAAATTGGGTCGTAACACAGTACCACCTTTTATTTTGTCAAGTTTTTACTTGTAGTAGTTAGTATTTCTTACATTCCCCTTGCTTATCTATCTTGTTTGCTTGCTTGCTTCGTTGTGATTTGTATGATATATTGTATAAATGTATACTCTCATGCACAAAGTACAATGCAATTCTTTCATATTTGTTTGTAATATACTATGAATAATATACTAATTTTGTAGATACTATTACAATATCTATTTATTTAGAGTATTTTTCTGATTTGGTGAACATTTTCATTTTTCAGTTGCTAATTTGACGTTTAGTTGTATCATTAAAATTTCATAGATTTAGTTCTCTCTCTCAAATTCCATTAGATTTTTGATACATGGTTAATATTGTGTAGATGCATCACCAGTGTTTTCAAGTTTGTTATTTATTTGATTAGACAACTGCAAAAAATGCCTGTTTTCAATTTCCTATTTTCTTCATGCAAATTAAAAAAAAAATGTAAGTTTATCAATTATGGAAAATGCATTTTGGCAGTTCTTATGAATATTTAATTAGGAGGACAAATTTGAATTGTTGCTATAATTACTGTATAAAATAACTTTAAGTGAGGTTTAATTTTCTTCAATATTAGAATTTTATTTCAAATGTATCCTTTTTAGGGAATAATATAATAAAGTGTACGTAGTGAATAAAATAAGTTTTCAAATTTGATTTTATGATCAAACTGTCTTGTCACATAATGTTTTAAGAGCCCACAAAAATTGGATGTAATCTTATTCTAACAGAGGTTCATAGATACCTGTGCATCTAAAAATAAATATAAAAAAAATCACTCTGTTTCAGTTCATAGAATATTGAAACCTTAAGATGCATGCTATTGGTAAATTCATTCATTTGTATTTAAACACCTGCATTATTTCTGTAATAAATTTTAGTATTTTGTTATTCTAAAATATGTTTGAATGGAATTCAAAGTGTTTGAAATCAAGTGATTTTTTACAGGATATCTAAAATCTATAAAAGAATTTACTTAATGGATAATTGACAAAAATAACTGATTTAAAAAAAAAATCTAAACATTAAATTTTGTTTTTAATAGTGCCTTACACACTGAAATCTGTGCTTTGTTTTTTTGCAAAACTTACCTTTTTCTTTAAAATAGTTCACTACTTCTAGTCCCTTTTTCTAGTCCCATGGTGTATTTCAAATTATAATCAGTTTGCATTATTAATTAATTATTGATAAGTTTAGGAAGGTAGGAGAATAGTATCATATTAAAAACAAAAAATAATACATTTTTTTTCTCTTCAATGAAAAATCATTATATGGAATATTAACAAAAAAAATCCACTGCTTGTTAAAATATTATGTTAAAAAAAAAGTATTAGAAAAGGCAAATTTATTTTATAAGTAGTTATATCATTTTAAAATAGTACAAATTGAAAAGAAAAAAATTGACATTTTGACCTTGAAAATATTTGATAACCTTGGTCTGCTTTACCCATTGAACAGGATATGTCAAAAGAAGCAGAAAAGAACCTGAGTCCAAAGCAATGTGCCGTTCTGGATATGGCCCTCGACACAATCAAACAGTACTTCCATGCTCAGGGTAAAGGGTTGAAGAAGACATTCCTCGACAAGAGTCAGGAACTCCAGTCACTTCGCTACGCCCTTTCCCTGTACACGCAGACGACCGACACGCTCATCAAAACATTCGTCAGTACACAAACGTCGCAAGACCAGCCAAGCAATGAGGACCCCGTAGGGGAGGTATCTGTGCAGGTGGATCTCTTCACACATCCCGGAACTGGAGAACATAAGGTCACGGTCAAAGGTGAGAATTTCTGGTATTTCCCTTTAGGTATGATTTCTCCTCCAAAACCAATTAAATCTTCATCCTATATATTTCTTTGATATCTAGATAAAAAAGGGACTCTGAGATGTTGTACTATGCATAGGTGTACAATTAGTTCAATTTATTAATCCAATCATTACAATTATGAGGATTTTCCAGAAACTAACCACTGGTCCTATGGCACCTGGCTATATACCTCCACATGTGCGCATGCTTGTTTGTGTGTGTGTTGGAGGCATATTGATGTGTTCTGTAAAGCAATGGGACTATGCTTTCAATTCATCTTTTCTTCATGGTTTCACCTCAATCTGATGTCACATAGTGATGGGCTGATGATCGATTCCGATTATCGATTACAAATTCCATAATCGATATAATCAGTCCATCTTTTAAATCACAGTATTTTAAATGTCCTCTATGTAAAATGTGCTTTGAAAGTCTTATATTGTTATGATCTATACTATATGATTGATAAAAATGCATAAAAGTTGCTCGATATTGATTCATTATAAAAGAACGAAACCAAATGTATAGTGAACAAACTCTATCTATTGATGCTCACTCCCAGAAAAAATGAAGTTTGTAATTAATTTGTATATGAAACCAAAGATTATTGGTGTGTGTTGTTTGTGTGGAGTCTAATCTTATCTTTACTGTTTTGGTCAGTTGTGGCAGCTAATGACCTCAAGTGGCAGACGTCCAGCATGTTCCGGCCATTTGTGGAGGTCAATCTGATCGGGCCACACATGAGTGACAAGCGCCGCAAACATTCCACAAAGTCCAAGAGTAACAACTGGTCGCCAAAGTTCAATGAAACCTTTCACTTGTGAGTATACTCTTACTGTAACATATTAGAGCTCCAATACTAAATCTAGATCCTGCTCAATTTATGGGGAGAAAATGCAAAAAGAAATCCTTTCTCTTTCAATACCAAAATAATGTGAACAGTTTTTAGAGGATTTTTCTTTTTCTTTCTTTCTTTTTTCTTTTTCTTTTTTGTCAATTCAGGTGGCTGTTACAACGGGCAGGCCCTTGGGCCTCTTGTTTTATAAGACAAAGATTAGTGAAACATGATTTCACATCATTATGACTTCTCACTATCGGTCAATGACACATCTTCACAACTGATTCCATGGGTCAAGGCTATTTTTGCTAGGTTTTTAGGTCACTTTATTGACTTTTGTTTGCTGAAGTGTTACCTTTGAATGATTTTCTGTTTCAGTATTCTCGGGAATGAAGACGACCCTGATGCCTATGAACTACACATCTGTACGAAGGACTACTGTTTTGCGCGGGAAGACCGCCTGATAGGTGTGGCGGTCATGCAGTTGCGTGACATAGTTGAGCAGGGGAGCTGTGCATGCTGGTGCTCTTTAGGTCGGCGAGTCCACTTAGACGAAACTGGCTGGACCATTTTACGAATTCTATCACAAAGAACTAATGATGAAGTAGCTAAAGAGTTTGTCAAATTAAAATCAGAAAGCCGGCATCTTGAGGAGGTGTCCTGAAGCTCATTCAGTGATATTAGAGTTCATTAATTAATATTGTATAGAATTTTTTGGAAACTTTGCGGTTGAGCTGCCTGACTAAAGATCTCATTTTGTTGACCGTTTCATTGTGTCGCATTCAGTGTGATCCTGTCTCTGATGGCCAGACGGTCAGACGATCTCACACGACAGGTGCCAAGTCAACAAGTTCATATGGATGTCAGTATGTCTACAGTGTCACCAGTGAGATTGATTTCACTATAAAGAGATGTTTGTTATGTACAGTGTTCCTGTCTAGACAGGTGGTTGTTGTACACAGGTGATTGCTATTCACAGGTGCCGATATCTTACTACAAATAAAGACATTGCACTAGCCACTTCAGACTGCTTGTCACTTAACAGTCTGTTTATACAGGTGGTTGCACTACACAGGTGTCCTTGTTACACAGTCTATGATAAAGACAGGTTATCACTATACAAATGTGGTAGGTATACACATGTGGTCACATAAGATAGGTGGTCGGTATACACAAGTTATCTATATACTGAGGTTATTACACTGTATAAACTGGTCACTATTCAAAGGTGGTAAGTATACAGAGGTAATTTCACACAAGTGATCACTATACAAGGGTAGTCACTTAAACACAATTGGTTTTTGACTTAAGATGGTTTCTATACACAGGGGTCATTATACAAAAGTGGTTGCTATTCAAAGGTGTCCTTGTTGTGCAGTTAACATAGTGTGCCATGCTTCCACAAAGTCCTGTGTGAACAGGTCAGCTAGGATTATGTTTTGTACATTTTTGTCAGATTTATTTCATTGTCAAAATATTTTTGAAGTAGTAACATGCTGGTAAGCGGAGACAGATTTCCTGAAGTACCTATGGTACTTAACTTGTGTTAAACCAGAAAAAAATATAGGGACATTGGATTTTTACCTGAATTGGACCGAAAGTGCTTGCTTTATAGCTATCCTGTTCTGTTAAACTAGTTTACGAGAGGGTTGGACTTATTACAGTAAATCATAGAATAACAAATGCAAGTCTAAGGGAAATACGCACATGGAAATTAGTGCAAGTCTAATGGAGATAACATAGAGGGACTTGTGCAAGTCTAAGTTTGGCTGTGACTTCAGTAAAAGTTTATGAGTGTGCATATCAAGTAGATTACTTTGTTGGTTGTAATAGCTGATCTCCACAAACTACATTCCCATCTACCATGTTTTCAAACAAGGGGTAAGGGACCAAAACATTTATATATCATTTGCTCCTTTCCTTGACAGTATAAATCTTTAGACTCCAATGTGCTAGTCGGGGGTTATATTTTGGTTGTGAACAATGTTTTTCCTATCAATATATGATAAACCTTTTACTTTTTATTTACATGTACATGTGTAAAGTCTTATTTAGCAGGGTACAACATGATCTACATTTCAGTTGGTTTTATATTTGCTGCAAACATTTCATCAACCATGATTTATCATTAACATTTGGATATAAATTTATTGTGATCAGTTTTACATTAATAGTTCAACCATCTTTAATTTGTAAATATAATTTTGGGGGAATAAAAATAGCATACATAACCTTATGTGAGTTGTCTCCCTTATAAAAGAAATTTTGATTAAAATAAATTCATTCGTTCTTTAAAAAGATTTCCTTTTTTTATGCAATAAATTGAACCATTTAACTTTTCACAAACATCAAGGTTGTGAATAAATTCCTATCAACAGCTATTTGTGTATGAATTTAATTTCCTGGGTAGGGATCCTTTGACCTTATGGAGAGGGGCCTTTCACTACATGTCTCAAGGTTTCTCGAAAATATGTGCAATTTCTCAACAAACTTTACATACATGTATTTTGTGTGCTTTTCAAAAAACATTCCTTACTGAGCAGTTATTTTGTTTTTTTTACATACAATTCCTCAGCAGTGCAATCTTGTTGTGATTTGACTTCCATCTTGTTACCTCTGACAGTTGTGAAAAGAGAGAATTTGAAATCCAATGGTTATGCTTTACCAGGGTCTAGAATTTCCTTGATGCAAGGAAAATACATAATTATTTATTTAGTAAATGTTTCTCACTACTTTAAACTGAGGGAAGTGCCAGATAGCTCGACTTATTTACAGATGTTGAAAGATATGAATAAACGATGGACAAAAATAATTATTAGGTGTTCATAGACTATTATACCAAAATGCATTTTCATCCAGTCATGTTTCGTAGAAAAACAGATTGAAGGACCAATAGTACGTTATTATTCCTATAACCAATGCATCTACATATAAATATAGATTTGCCTTCCAAAAATTAGAGTTACCTCCCTTGGTGAAATCACATTTTATCAATAATTAATTTTAAGATATGCATGTTTATTTCTGCTATTGTGAAATACACTGCTTCAAGTCCATTATTTTCATTTTAAATATGTTTTTGGTTTCGGGTAATATGTAAATGTAGTGATTTATAAATATAAATATATCAATTTCAATTTCATTTATTCGTTATTCACAAAACATTGAACAAATGTGTTGGGCATATCCATAAACAATTTATCAATGTTTCACTTTTCATACATTTTGTAAAAATTCAGATAAAAACTCATTTAATCATTATGTAAAATCTACCAAGGGAGGTAAATAATCATGAAGAAAGGATAACTCTTTATACGGAAATTAAAATAAAATTATATTGAACTGAAAACCCAGCATAACTTAGTGATATAATTATTAATTAGATCATATTGCAATTAATGAAATCATGGTATGTTTACATTGTTATGTTATTACAGTTGTACCTTTGTATAAATGTTTTGGTTGACTATGCAATTATCTTGCATAAACTATAGCAACGATTACCTAGGTTAAGTGGACTGTTCCAAATCAATTCCTTGTTTTTCACTTACAAAATTTTAATCAGAAAAACTTGGTTATTTTATTTCCTTGTTAATAAGAAATTATATTTGTGGCATGAAACCACGGAATTACTAGCAGATGAAACAAAGTCTAAAGCACCCGTAAAATTTCATAATGAACTATACTTACCTTTTAATTGGAAGAGTTCAAATGTGTCTTCAGGGGTGAATGAGTTCATCACTGCATATACAGTACAGTATTTTCACATGTACTTAATATCGTGAACTGCATGTTTTATTTGCGATTATGTGAATCCGCAAATATTGGATGCCATTGATACTGTTGTATCGCTGGAAAAATAAATATCAACAAAAAATTAAGATAAGCAAAAGAGTTTCTTTTACCAATCAACATGAAAATTGATCTCTTATGAAAAAATTCAGAGATTTGCTGTGTACAATTTTGTTTGGTAAATATATATTCCATAATTTCAATAATCGCTAATATTGATTGAAAAAATCTACAATAGAATCCAAAGCCCATAAAAAAACACAGGAAAATTTAAAGGATTTTTTTATTATGTATATTGATATAAACAAAATGAAAAATGTATTTTTGTTTATTAGAAACTTCATTTTTGACAATTTAAATGTGAAAAAACAAGAAATTGATTTGGGGCGGCTGAAACAACATATTTGGAAAGGGGAGGTAACTGGGTTTGTCTAATGATTAAAAAAAGATGTTTGCTGGTTAATGGAGAATGAGAGACTATAAAATGTTGTAGAACAAACATTGATCTCAATCTTTAAACAAACCAAGTTATCATCTGGAAATAATTTACATTACTAGTTTCAACTTTAATGTTGAGGTTGTATTTTTGTGTTATGTTTCAGTGACACGTGATGCATTCCATTAATGTGTTGATTCCACTATCTGATTGATTCGTGTAAATAGTGTAGATTGTACAAAATATTTAAAGAGAAGCTGTTAGGAAAAACTGGTTTTTAATTTAAGACTTTTCAATTACTAATGTTAAATTGATGCCTTTTGTATGTTTTGAAAAAAGTGTTAATGTATTTGTATCATAAAAATTTAATTAATTCTACATAAAAGTACATGTATTTGCTGATGTGTTAGGCCAAAGTGTTTGGTTGAGTCGGGTTTTTTTACTTTTTGTTTTTTGTTTTTGATGTTTGAATTGTCTCCCTTTGGATATGTGTGTTTCATTCATTGATGAACTACATGTCATGTGATAGATTATAGCCAATCATGTTGCTGTGAGCTCCATCCCACAGATCACATGTGATTTGTAAAATTTTGTTTAATAACATCAATACAGAATAGCATGCAGAAGTAGAACATTGATAGATTTTTTTTCTTTCAGACTTAATTTTGGATCATGGCCAATCAAAATCATTCTGGGAGTTTTTCAGTCAAACTGCAATACCAGACTATTTATCAGAACTGTGGTCAACTTCAGAAAATGCGGTCCATGTAACATACCCTGATGTATGGAAATATTGTTTTGCACAATGTTTTCCTGTGTGATTGTTTAAATTAATATCAGGTGGACAATACAGGCCTTTTGAACCTCTTGTATATACAATAATTTCACATGGGTTGAAGGGTACAATGGTAGTGCTATATAGAGCTTCATATAGAAAATATATCATTAATATAGGAAAGTCCAGATTGTGGAATTGCATTTAAATTTACAGCGTTATTTAACAATTTAAAATCTACATTCCCATAAGATTAATATATGGACATATTGTTCGCTAAACTTCAAAATCATTTATCTTTGTAGCTTTATCAAATTTAAAAAATTAAAGTATTTTATGTATCTTGATTCTTTACAAAAATATTGACCTTATCATTGACCAAGTTTTTAAGCTTAACCAAAAATATATAAAGAAATAAAAGTGAACATATTGGACAGATGTATTTTACATTATAATCTTCTTTTTGAAATATAATACATTTGAACAAATTTTTTATTTAGAAAAAACATTCTTAACTTGAATTTTTACTAAGTTATTGATCTCACAATATTCATTTTGAAGTTTTGTTTTGCGATTAATCAATATATACCAAAACTTACAGCTTACAGCAGAGGATAGCATCTCCAATCAGTTCTGAAATGATTTATTACAAAAAAGCCACACATACCTCCTGTTTATTTTGTTTACATGGAAAGAAATCCCATTCATATTAACTACTCAATCATGCCTTAGCCTATATTTTAAAATATGTTTGATTATTTCTTTATATATGAAATCCAATATACTGTCATTCCAAAATCAATATTGTTAAGTTTTTGTTTATTTTTTTTATTTTTATTTTTCCTTTTGTATTTATATTAATCTTACCTTTGACCGGCAAAGTGGAACCCTGGATATATTTGAACATTTCTGGTTTTCCGATTTAAAATGTGATCTGTTAGAAATTATTTCATGGATGTATACAAGAAGACTTGTCACTTAAGGTTGTAAGCTTAGTGTAGTTGTGATATGTGTAAGATTTATCTCCCTTGATTATTTTCACCAGTACCAAATAATCCAGAATTATTTAAATATAATTGATACATTTATTGTCAAATAAACAAATTATTCAAGTCAGAATGACGATTTTCAAAAGGTGTTTTGTAGGTTTCCTGAAACAGAACACTATATCATAGTTCAGTTGTATAGCTTATTGCAGTGAAATTATTTTTAAAAGTCCTAGAATTTCAATCAGTGTCAAGAAATGTCAGTTTTCCAGATGATCTTTATCTAGTAATCCAGTATTTTAGACCAACTTGATCTTGAAAGCTTGAATTCTGAGTATCCAAGCCTGGAAAGGTATTTATTGTAGGGTATCTGGTTCTGGCTGAAGTTGGTTCCACTATATATATTGCCATGTTCTATATAGTTTATCCTAACTCTAACATTCCTTCATTACTTCCTGTTATGAACAATATTGCTTAAGTTTTATCATGGGGTGTTTCTAACATATTTACCCAGTACTTATTACAAAATTTCAAAACTTTCAGCCATCATGGTACATACTAACATAGTCTTTCTTTTGACCTCATTATTGAAAAGATAAAAATGAAACGATCATGGATTTTTTGATTTTTTTTTTGTAATTTCTACAGTTCCCTGAAAAATAAATTATGTTGTAAAGAACGCATGTGTAGTGAAAGTAAATCAAAGCTACAGTGAAATTTTGTGACCTTAGAAATTGTTGAAATACAAAATAAATATTCCAGTGTTCAAAGTTCGTAATTAAGAGGTATAATTAAACATGTACAGTTGGTTTGGCTGTATTAATAATCAATTAGCACAAAAATACGTAAAAATGTAGTTGAAATTGCGAAACATTTTAAGACTGGAATATCATTCCTGCATCATTGAATAAGCATAACAGAAGGAGACATGCTAATTTGAAAATACATATTTCAAGATTTGAATTGTATATGGTATGACAATATATTTTAGAAAGTTAATATATATATATATATGTACATAACTTAGAAAACAAATTTTTCAACAAAGTGCATCCTAACATACAGTAGCTATCTAGATGCAGTAAATCTTAGTCAACCTCCCATAGGACTACATACAGTTTTCAATCAAGAATTCATAATTTTTTGTTATGAGCATGTTTCTTGTGTAATAGAGTATTACAGTTGTATATTAGAATTTCCATATAAAAGTCTTTCAGCAATCTTTTTTATTATTCTATATGAATATATATATGAAGAGTTCTTTTTTCTGTTTTTTAATTTTAAATGTTGACGTCATATATATACATATGACATAGATCTAATATTTATATTATATATATTGATAATTCATACAAAAATAGTATCTTTCTATTGCAATTGTCATCCATCTTGTTTTACGATCGTGTCGATTCGTTCTGTATAGGAGACGTGTAATTACGGATGTAGAGATATAGGTGTCAAATCGTTCTGAGTTCCCCGTTTACCACATCCATTACATACATTATATAAATGCCATGATATCTCGTCATGTCTTTTTACCTTGTTTGAATAAAGATTCCTGCAACATTGAATTATTTTCTGAATTTTTGTTTTTTATTCAAAACATTTGTTGTGGCACCTGCCAATCGACATTCATCGATTGTAAAGTGTCATCATCTTACAGTAGAGCTGCAACGATACATCAACATGACGATACGATATGTATCATGTTACTGTGGTCACGATACGATATGTATCATGATAATAACTTTGAATATAAACTATATCTCGACCTTGTCAACATAGTCTTGTATAGCGTTAACAAAATTTAGAGTCTCTTCTCATTGTTTGAGTGTTGAGGTAGGCCGTTGGCACAGACCGAACCCTATTCCTTATGCGAATCGTACATGTAGTTGTTGTGGGGTTCTAGAGGACGAGTATCATTTCCTTATATGGAGTGTACCTTATATTCTAACATAAGACATGTATATCAAGAGAAGGTATTTTCATCACCCAAATAGACCTAAGTTCCTGGAATTAATATCGACTACGAGCAGGAGTTCATTGAAAAATATTGCCGCTTTCATTTTCATCAAATTGGAATTTTAATTTAGAAAATATTAAGTTTACCTTATTCTCAAACTTAATTAAGACTAATGTAATGACAAGTCTTTGGTAATATTAAGGAATCTGAAGCAGGCATTGAGAAGTGTATGTCACCTTGTTGGTGTAGCATTTGCAATTTTTGCAAAATATAGCAACTTAAATTCAATGTAAAACTAACTGAACACAGATGTTGATGCTGAAAAATAACTGGACCAAGAAACAAAGGTCATTTCAGCATCCGAAGCAAGCAACCAGAACGAATACCAATGAATTATTCATGAGTTTAGTTGGTCCTGCATTTATACTCTTGTAGAAACAGAGCTAAACTCAAATATTTTGGAGTGATTAGGTAACTGACAAAGTTGATGGACTGCACAAACTAGGACTAATGTTTGAATCCATGTACTGCCCAGGATGTATCTTCGGTGCAAGTTTAGCAAGTGTAGGATTAAACCTTTTTGAGATGCAACACAAAACAGACAGGTAAACACAAAAAACATTGATGAGGATGCTAAAAGTATCTGACCAGGAAGTGTAGGTCACATTCAGTATCTGACCAGGAAATGTAGGTCACATTCAGTAACTACTGCAAATTGCAATGAAGAAGTCAAGATTTTTATCAATTTTGTAACATTTGTAAACAAGAGGCCTAGAGGGCCTGTATCGCTCACCTGGATAATAAAGCAACCATGGAAAAGTTATTCTTATTATGAATAATAATGCAACTATTTCCAAATATTGGCTCTGTATTAAGGAAAAGTTGACGGACAGACGGACACAGCGAAATGGCATGAGCTCACCATGATCCTTCTGACTAGGTGAGCTAAAAAAAACAAAAGATAAAGACATCTCCCTAAAAACCAAAAGGCCTAGAGTCTTGATAGAGTCATACCAAGAAGACCAACCAATAACAGAACAAATGTGTATTTTTATACAACTTTTATTAATAATATAGTCTTACAAAAGTAAAAACATGAAGTACAGTAAGGTATAAAAATTACCTTTTGTCATCACTTGGATATAACATAGCTTGATCATAATTCTAGCTGCCATTTTTATCTTTCTGCACTGGACTAATGAAAATCTGATGTATTTTGAGGATAATATATATGTTACTTGCGATAATCAATTACTAAAGGTTAAATACCATAGTAATAATAATACATTAATATTATTTAATAACTAATCTCTGTTTACACATAAAATATAAAAAAAAATATAATGTGAAAAAAATCACAAACACACAAATACCGATATGTAAAAAAAACAACATAAATAAATCTACTATTAGGAATGCCAATTAAAAACAAGAACAAGTCAGACGGTGGGCGTATTAAAAGAAAAGTTCTTAATAAGGTTTATATATATATAAACAACTCAAGACTTAGAATTGAGCCATTTATGTATGGCACCTGATGTAAATTTATGCCCACATTAGATAGTCAAGACACTTGATAGTTATTGTGAAAACCAATTTTAGGAAATGACTTACAATTTCTTCAATCAACAACACCAATTCCAACATAATTTGTTATTTAAGATCTGTTTTCAGGCAGGGAGGCTGAGTGTCTATACTTACAAGATATAGTATCGAGGCAGTTTTACTGGGACTAAACAGAGTGATCTCCCTTAACTTGATCTCAGTAACGCCTCTGCACTTTTATCCCGGACACTTACACAACTATTGTCGAGTACATAAAACCGGTAAGGTTTGTCTACCCAGTCCTCAGCATACCCTATGTTAATCCTTTTACTGGCCACTACTTGACGGTCATCAATATTTTCTCCGGCTACCATCCAAATGTCCGGAGAACTGACCAGATCTTGTTTGTTGATGGTGTTCTTGGTAATGGCTAGAGCCTGACAGAATTTGGATGGGCCGTTACCCAGTTCTTTGCTTTTCAGGGCCTTGGCAGTTTCTTTGCGCTGTGCACTGCGGTTGCGGGTCATAATTTCCAGCCCCTGAATGGGTTCTATGGCTCGAAGTAACACGGCCGCACCTTCACCTGAAAGTGATCAAGAAGAAGAAAGGTCAACGTCAGATTTAAATAGAAACTTAAATTATTTGCAACGACATTACAACACACTAAATGATACTGATAAGCACTCACACAAAATCATGACAACAAGAGTAAGTTTTATGGATATTTGTACCACTGCAGGCGACACAAAAGTTTGACAAAGTATGGTTTTATTTTCAGGAATGATTTAACAAAGGTATATAGTCATGTCACAAAACAGTTTATATATATATATATATGCTTAGTCACAGATTTTTGCAGTAGTATAGGGTTTTTAACCCTTTCAACACTGTAGACCATAATGGACTCATCCAGATCAACGCTTGGTAGAGTCTACTAAAGTTACATAGGGGTGAAAGGTACAAAATCTTTGGTAAGGTGATTCATAAGGTTTTTTACAGACTTAATGTCACATTTTCACAAGTCATCAAAACTTACAATATTTGTTATTGTTTTTGCTAAAAAATGCTCAATGTAAGCAACAAGTGTATAGGACATCAATCTCTTAAACTTCAGTTCCGAAGGTTAATAAGATAGCGATTTTCAACAAATACAAAACCAAAATTTTGTGGTTTTGAATCAAAGCATAAATTAAGCAAAGCATGTTTTGAAGTATTTTTTCTTTTTATTTTGTTTTTTTCATCACCTTTCTAGAAATGGAATCCCATTTATGTGTACTGTATATTTGACTATATTAGCAGAAAATTATATATATGTGCACCCGTCCTGCCATGCACTGATGACCACACTTGATGTTGCCTAACTATAGACAGAGACGTATATTACATATGTCTCTACTATAGAGCAAGTTTGCCAGTAAGGCAGTATTTTCCCCTCTTCCTTGGCCGTTACACTTAATAAAATGTACATACCTTCACTGGACACATTAAAACAGCAGTACATTCCGTAGATGTTGTACACGTAAGCCGTCCCAGGGTCCATAAACATGGCGCTGTTTTTATCCGTCTTTTTCCCTTTATACGAGTGTGCTGCCTTGTCCTCCCTTCCTAGGTAGGCCTCCGTCTCCACTATCTTCCCACACAGAAGATCTCCGGAGGTGGGACATCTTCGTACAAGGACTCGTCCGAGAAGATCCTTTGCTAATTGCAAACAAGACTTTCTATAAAATAATGCAGGAAGCCTTTTATCTGCTTCAAAGCCAGAGTTTACTGCTTTCTTGGATGGTCCTGGGTTAGCAGACGGAATTGTTTTAGAATCAAAATCGGGGCTTTTCACTATTTTTTGGTTGTTGCTGTCAGCCTCTTTATTTTGACATGATTTCTTGGCTTTACTAGCATCTTCCTCATCATTTTTAGCTTTTCGCTTTAATTTAGGCATCCTGAAAGGGAAAATTAATCATCAGACCACAGGCTCTTGTTGTTATGAGTCACAAAAACTAAAAAATAATATAAAATCTCCAGGTCCTTACATGTAAATTAAAACCCTTATGATTATTTTTAGATCACCTGGCACAAGTGCTGCCATTACAGCGCTCACAGCTAGCATACAACAATTCTAGCACTGTCTAACCATGTACCCATTTACAGCTGAGTAGATTGGAACAAGCTGAATAAAGGATCTTGTTCATAGATACAACACAAGTGCCGTGACGTGACTCGAACCTGCAACCCTTTGGTCACTAGCCCTGCGTCCTACCACTAGAATACTGTGCCTCCAAATGTGTTAAACTTTTAAACAATTTCTTCTGAATAACCAAGAGGCCTAAAGCAATGATATTTGGCCAGTAGGTACCTGGGACAGATTGCTATCAAATCACATGGGTCAAATATGCAAAATAAATCTTAAAACAACTTTTTCTGCATAAACAGGAGGTCAAGAGTAATACTACTTGGCCAGTAGGTACCTTGCATGAAGTGCTATAATGTTTCCTCAAATAAATTACCTTGACCTACTTTAAAGATCACAAGGGTTGAATGTGTTCAAAACCTCTAAATGTCTTCTAAAGAATTACCAGGAGGCCCAGACTACTGTTATTTGGCCAGTAGGTACCAGGGACAGAGTGAAAAAATCTCTTCTCAAAGAAATGACCTTCACCTACTTTCGAGGTTAAATGGGTCAAATATGTAAATATCTTTACACAACATCTTCTGATTAACCTGGAGGCCCAGAGTAATGATACTTGGTCAGTAGGTACCAGAGACAGATTGCTTAAATTTTCCTCAAATAAATGACCTTGACCTACTTTCAAGGTCACAGGGGTCATATATGTAAAAACTTTCAAACAACTTCTTTCGATTAATCAAGAGGCCAAGAGTAATGATACTTGGCCAGTAAGTACCTGGGACAGAGTGCTATAATGTTTTCCCCAAATTAATTACCTTGACCTACTTTCATGGTCAAAGGGGTCAAACCTGTAAATATCTTTAAACAACTTCTTACGCGAATACCAGGAGCCCCTGTGTGATGATATTTAACCAGTAGCATGCTGGAATAGAGGAGCACCTGTGCTCTGGGCCTCTTGTTTAGATTTTGTGACTGAAGAAAAAATATCACTTACTTGCAGTGCCTGTGATCTTATAAGCAATTTATGTTTATTGAAATATATAATAATTCTAGGGCTAAATTATTGCAATCATCTTACTTAAACTGATAGTATTCAACACAGAACACACCAAGTTTCTTCATATTTGATAGACAGATTAAAGAGGCAACACACATTGCATTCCATACAATATCCAAGATAATCTGGTGATTCCATAACATGCAGTTACCACAGGTATATTTATTTAGTCTCCTCACCCAATCGTCATAAGCTAATATAAACCGGGTAACATTACTTGTCACCTGACAAAACACCTCTGTACTGTAACAGTCGATATAGTGCCTGACTCTCGACTCTAGCAAACAAAACTTGTTGAGAATTTTATATTAATCTTAATTCTTCAGATGTCAAGTACAGAATGTATATGCCAAAGAGACAGGTATCGCCTTGAACGAGTTACCTGTTATGTTCCCGACCAAATCTCACCTTCAACCTTTCTCTAAATAAAGCACATGCTGACCTGTCATATTTGTTTTGATCATTGGAGTTATCTCCCGTGTCGACAGGCGGCGCTACACTTCCGGTCTACAAAAAACAAGCATGCTAGGGGGACAAGGCAACATCATCGTTCTTAGTGAGTATTCTTCCATTTTAAATCGTTTGAAATGTATTTCTTTAATTACAATAATTACATGAATATCTTATTTCCTTACAGACCAGAACACCAAGCGGGAATCCGGCAAGAAAGTCCAGCAGGGCAACATTGCAGCCGGCAAAGTAAGCAAGCATGGTTCTCACATGGTCGCCATGGCCGTCCCAGAAGCTTCTAGACTTGTCTAGATTTGTTTTGGTCTTGGAACATGTTTGGTTTGGATCCATTCAAAATTCGTTTTTTAGTCATATTTGGTCTATGATGTGTGGCTGATTTTGTTCTTAATTTATCACAAAGCTATATATGTTTTTTAATAAATATTCAATAAAATGCCGGGATTACTGTATCATTTGACATAAATAACATCAATTTATAATGATACATAGGTTTTAGTGTATTCTCCGTATTACCCCATGTTCTTTACATTAAAATATGTTGGGTATGAAATGGGCCGGTGAAACCCTGACACACTGTTTAGATAAAATTCCGTAATCGACAACGTTGACTGAGGAAGGTTCCCAGATGAAAATGCCCCCCCCCCCCCCCCTTTCTCCCCTCCAAAATATATACTCATTATGTCAACAATATGTAATATTGGTTGTCTTCTTGGTTTCCTTTTTTTCAATACTGAACATGATGAATTGTTGATAGAGATTGGTACTACATTAAATTGCAAGTAGTTTTCATATTGCAAAATTTAAATTCTACTTGTATTATGGCCGGTATCCGGCTTTATTTGTTCCGGGTAATTTTACACATTTAAGAGGTTTTCATCGACTTTTTATAAAAATGCAACCCCCAATGAATATAATATAGGAGAAGGGAGGTAAACTCTTGGTGTCAAAAAATCAACCCCCACCTTACTTTCTTGAATCAAAAACCACATTTCTAGTTGACGTAGGAAAAAATGCTTAGGTTCTTTAAAGAGACCCTTGGCTTGGCACAGCCATTTTCCAATAAAATAGCCAGCCAATCAACACTACATGTTTCTGCAGATATTATCCTGAACACCTTAGTTTATAGCTTTTAACAAACTATCAGGTCCTGTGATGCCAACCAGTTTCACCTGTTTTTATTCTATATAGAAATTTAAAAAGTATTGAATGATATATTTGTAGTGTAGTGGGACTGGACAGGATGACCAACAGATTGCTCAATAAGTTGGAATGTCCATCTTGAGTTTTGATGTCCTGGACATGAATTCTGTTCTCCTCTCATGTTAAACACTTGTTTCAAGAACTATGTGTGCACTTTTCAAAAGGATACCTGAACCTAGCTTATAAAAAGTGTTGTCTTTGGGAAAAGACTTAGAAAAATGTGGAAGATATACATATTAAGCAGAAGGACTACTACATGACCTGATAGTTAATTTTTATAGAACTTCGGAATATAATTTTTAAATCCTGAAATGGACGTGTGCTGCAGTTTCCTTTTCTGTTGTAGTAGCATAAATCGGTATATATGTGATGTTTCTCACTGCTTTTTAACAGGCAATCGCCGACATCATCAGAACATGTCTAGGACCAAAGTCGATGTTAAAGGTATGTATAGTTAAATAGGATGCGCAAAATATTTCAGTAACATATTATGCATCTGAAATTATTGCTCATGTTAATTTGGCTTTATAATGTATAGAACAGCGCAAATGTATGTGATTTTGATGTCCTAATACTTTAACACAGAAAAATAGGTACTTGTCAATAAAAATAGTGATTGAGCAATTACATTAATTTCTTTATTGTTAAAATTCTAAGAAGAGGAAAGCGTACATATATACCTTTTGACAACCTATGTCTGTCTTGAAACCATGAAAAGATTGTTCTTGTCATAAATTTCTTCACCCTTAAACAGTTCAGTGTTCTCGGTCACTTTTGTAATTGGGGGGGTTTGTAGGCAGTACCCAAATCAGATCACTTTTGGCAAAAATACTTATACATCAATAAATGTGCCAAAAAATCAGTTATAACAATGATGTATTCTTAGCCAAGCAGCAGTTTATTTCTACAGATGATTTGTTTCTAAGTTCAAATTGCACAAGAAAACGTAATTCAAACTCAAATGTCTGTGTTTTGATTTCGTTTTTAAAAAATGGCGCGTATTACTGAAACAGAGATCATGTAACTTATCCACACTGGGCACAGACAGTCATTATGTAAGAATATGAACTGAAAGTTGTCGTCTTTAGCTGACAATAGTAATCCAAATATCGTCTGCTGGGTTTTTTCCCGTCATTCATGTTCAATTACGCAGTATACTATAGTGATACTCAGCCCGAGGATTTTCTGAATATCATCATTTAAAATACAAAAATGACATAACATTGTACAAAATTATTATGCGTATACTCACGCTTAGTATGATGAATTTATGCGTGCAAAGGTGTTTACTACGTGTGAATCACGCAGGATTCTGCGTGATCGGGAACACTGGTTCAAGGGATAAGTGACATGTTCTTTTGATACAAGGAAGATTTGAGTTATGTTTCTTTGAACAGGAATTTTACCAAGTTCTTATTTACCAAAATATTCCGTTAACTTAATATTTATGTATATATATTTTTTTACATTTCAACAGATGTTGATGGACCCAATGGGAGGAATTGTCATGACCAACGATGGCAATGCCATTCTTCGGGAGGTATGTGTACATTTTATCCAGCTCTTTACTGCTCATCTGTCTGTTTGGTATTGGAATTCAAGTACTTTTAGTACTATAAAGTATAAACCAGGAATTGTTGGTCATGTATAAATGCTGCTGGTTTTCGTGCTTGTTGTAGAACCACCAAAATGAATACAACAGATTTGGTTAATATACTTGATTATTGGCATACAGGAGCGTTTGTACCACCAAATGACCTTAATTGTTTCAAACCATGAAAATATTATACCAACAAGCATTTCATGTTAAAGTAGTGTTTTCTTAAGATGTAGAAATTCTCAAAGTTCTCAAAACAAATTAGTACTTGTTTTACATAAGCACTGTCCAACTCAAACTTTTATCACTATAATCTTTGTAAAAAATATTTCAAAATAGTAATATTTGCCTTCCATCCTCCTACCTTATAATGGACAGTTTGTTATGTACATAACAGTGTCTGATAAGCCAACACAACTTTGACATATATGTGGTCAATTATTAAAGTTCTCATATAAAAGAATTATTTGATGGGGAAAAAAAGAGCACTGATATATTGACAGTGTTTATCTCTATACTACAGCTGATACATGATGAATGTTATAATGCATGTTTTTAATTCAGTGCTTGGAACTTTGCTGAAGTTTTATAATTGCTGAGATCGTATGTTTCAAGCATTTATTGTTAAAACATCCTTTTAGATCACTGTCCAGCATCCAGCAGCGAAGTCCATGATTGAAGTAGCCCGCACACAAGACGAGGAAGTTGGGGACGGAACGACCTCCGTCATCATCCTGTGTGAGTAAAGTACACTGTTGGTCCATCCATCCACACAACGTCTTGGTTTGACTTTGTGTTCAACTCCATTGCTCTAAATCTAGAAGTCCAACAGTCACTAAACATGATAACTATATTGGTGCATCTAGACTACTACACCCGTATATCTTCACTGACTTTGGGTAGAATTGGCATACGTCTATTTTTAGGTCGCCTGTTCGAAGAGCAGAGAGCGATAGCGATACACCTGGCGTGAGTGTTGGCGTGAAAACGTTAAAGTTTCACCTGCAAGTTATTTAGAAGCTTGTCATTAATTAAATTTGTGTAGCAGAATGTTGATATTTGGCATGGGGGTTCCTGTGGGGTTTAATATTGATGTAGTTCAGTTAGAATTAAAAAGTAGTTTCACTCAAATTTTGATAAAAAAATTTACCTGTTTTGTACTTTGGGTGCAAGTTTCTCGGTTAAAGTTTCGGTGCAAGTTTCTACAGTGGTGTACAGTGGTGTACAGTGGTGTAGTGTACAGTGGTGTACAGTGGTGTACAGTTCAGTCCGATCATGTGTTATTGTTCTTATTAGGTACTTTAAATATCAAACAAACAAAAAATCATTGGATAGGCATCCATTTGCGGTGCTCCTGTTTTAAATTTTTGTCTTTTATCTTAATAATAACGTTTTACAACAAACCAATTTTTAGCGACGATAAATTTTTAAACAGGCGAGCATTTGGTGGCTTTGACCCCATCTCTGGATATGTAAAATTTGAAGTACAATACATTGCACTATCTTAGGCAGTATTGGAGTGTTAGCGTGGTTGGTGTTGTTTCCTATCAACAAGATGGATGGCATCAGTTTGAATTTTGGAAATGGATGCAAATTTGGAAAAAAATCATCTGAGCAAGCTTTGAAAGTTTTTCGGCATTGATAAATTCTAAAAGAAATTTTGACCTTATCATGATCATTCTTGTGTTTGTACAATGGTTGAAAAGTATTAACAGAAATATTTAAAAATAACTTTGCGTTGAGCTCCGTTTCTCTTAAATTCTAATTCAGAATGATTAAGTTTATTATCACAACCCAATGCTTTCATTGAAGAACCAATGTTTTATTCTGTAACATATCTGCTATTGTTCGACAGCGGGTGAGATGCTTGCCCAGGCCGCCCCCTTCCTGGAGCAGCAGATGCATCCGACCATCATCATCAGTGCCTTCAGACAGGCCCTTGAGGATCTGGTTGACATCCTCCGCAATCAAATTAGGTAAATGTTCACAAAAAAGTCTCCACAATTTCATTTTGACACACACTGATATGACCAAAGATTACAAAACATTTCAGGTTTTTTGGAAGGACTAAAAACAATGTTAAAAAATTGTTCATACATATCCACTAATTGTTGAAATTAAAAACAACACATTTAAGCAAATATTATTTGGTCAAATAGGCTCTGAGTGACGGAATCGTAATGATGCATCAGCAAACAGTATTATCGTTATGTGTATTGATTATAATTATCATAGAATGCACCTCAAAGAACTTGTCAAGTCCACATGGTTCTGCAAGAAAGAACAGACTTTTGGGAAAGTCAGAAAATGCTTAACTACTGAAATGTTACCTCAGAAGCAATATGGTCAAATCTGTGAGACAAAACCTTGTTAATTACCCACAAGCTCAGCTAGTGTAAATGAAGACAGTGCTCCAAACCCAGCAGACACACTGATCTTACTTCGTACATGTTCACTTTCCCAGTGGATTTTCATTGTTAGGGTTTCCCCTTATTTGAAATAACTATTCAGCATTATTTGTATTGAGATTGGGAATATATTCCTCAGTGTCGGGTCATTTTGGGAAAAAAAGGCACTTTTAAGCTAAGGGAAACAGTCTGTATTTGGCAGTAAAACTTGACCAAAAAAATCACTGTGTGTTATGGCGTCATTTCCAAACTTGTACAAGGAGGCATCAGCAATTAGCAAACATACATATGCCTACATGGTTTATAAGACAAAGGCTTCAATTGAGAATTTCCTTATTTACATTTTCTATATTTCAGAGAAGTTAACAACAGCTAATTTTCACAGAAATCATTGTGTAATATACCTTCCATTTCTTTTTCTAGTGTGCCTGTAGATCTGACAAACAAAGAAGACATGATGAAAATAGTCAAAAGTTGTGTCGGCACTAAGTTCATTAGTAAATGGTAGGTATTCAAAAATAGATATGATGGAAAGTTCTGACTGTAAATGGTAGGTATGCAGCACCTTGTTAGGCCATAAGATACGAAAGGTTGCGTTACCGCACAACGCACCAAAAATTGTGTGCGCACACAGTTCCCACACTGGCCACACATGGTGCGCACAACTGTGCGATATAACAATCGTTTGTCCCATTGTGCGATTTGGTACAATTTGAAGATCAATTTTACAGGATGGGGGAAAACTATGGAAAGGTTGTATGCAATAGTATATATATTACTGTAATTAGGGCCCCGTATCGGAGATACGGGTGCCCTATAGTAATCACTCTGTCTGTCTGTCCGTCCACAAATTTTGTTCCTGGCTGATAACTTTGGTATTTATTGACCGATGAACATGAAACTTGGTCAAGATGTTTAGTTCACAAAAATACACATTGAGGTAAAAAGTCAAGGTCAAAGGACAAGGTCATTAGGTTCAAAGGTCAATGTCAAATTTTACATCTTTTCACTGATGAACATTTTGTTATGACATTATGAAGCAAAGTTGATCAGAATTAAACAAGGAGTCAACTGACCAAAGGCCAAGGTCATCGGGTCAGGGGTCAAGGTCAAATTTTGTAGTTTTTCACTGGTGAAAATTTCGCTATGACATTATGGAGCAAAGTTGTTCGAAATTAAACAATGAGACACACTGAGGTAAAAAGTCGAGGTCAAATGTCAAGGTCATTAGGTTCAAAGGTCAAGGTCATATTTTACATCTTTTCACTGATGAACATTTTGTTATGACATTATGAAGCAAAGTTGATCAGAATTAAACAAGGGGTCAACTGACCAAAGGTCAAAGTCATGGGGTCAGGGGTCAAGTCAAATTATGCACCTTTTCACTGATGAACATTTTGCTATGACATGATGAAGCAAAGTTGATCAGAATTAAACAAGGGGTCAACTGACCAAAGGTCAAGGTCATTGGGTCAAAAGTCAATGTTAAATTTTGTATCTGTTCACTGGTGAACATTTTGCTATGACATGATGAAGCAATGTAGCTCAGATTAAACAAGGAGTCAATTGACCGAAGGTCAAGGTGACTGGGTCAAAGGTGAAGGTTAAATTTTGTATCTTTTCCTTGATGAACTTTTTGTTATGACATTATGAAGCAATGTTGTTCAGAACTTAACACAGAGTCAACTGACCTTAGGTCCAGGTTACAGGTTTCAAAGGGTCAAGGTCAAGTTTTGTATTTTCACTGATGAACATTTTGTTATGATATTAAGGAGCAAAGTTGGTCGGAATTAAAGAATAAGTCAACTGACCAAAGATCAGGGTCACTGGGTTAATGGTCAAGGTCATTTGGGTCCAAAGGTCAAAGACAAAGTGGATCTCTGACTTTGACCCTGGCTCTTGATGGAGGAGGTATATAAGGTGAAATAAAACAAATCAAAGCTAACAAATGAGTATTGCACCGGTATTTACATTTCTGTTAGCCCAGCAAATATGGAGGTGGAAGGAAACAAGACTCACATCATAGTACATGTAAAATGTATATTTTGCTTCCTTGCGATTCTTTTTGAAGTCCANGACGGGGCCCTTATTGACCTGTCAGTGTTCTAGTTTCTCATCACAATAATTAAGATTCTGTATAATCTACAATGTGTGTTAAACAGCATTACAGTAATCGTTAGACTGTCAGAAATTGGTTTTGCTCTAAGGTAACAACAGGTAAATAACAATTTGAGTGACCAGAGTTTTACCTAGCCTGACAAATAGAGCTGATATGTTATACCGTATGACCGTTATGAAAACACAACTGGACGTTAAGTATTTGATATTAACAAAAACGAAATTTCTAAGTTTGTTCATTTTAAGAGTTTTCTGAGTTACAGCACATTACATAGAAATGTAATGTAATACAATTTAGCTCTAGTGGCAGTATCGATTTTATATGAGTGAATTATGTTTGACTAATAATTGCAATTGTGAATACTAGGGACCACTTTTAATTGCTAGGTAATTATAACTCTGGCTTTGAGAAGTTGGTAGGTCCTTGAGAAATTGGTAGGTCCTTGAGAAGTTGGTAGGTCCTTGAGATGTTGGTAGGTCCTTGAGAAGTTGCTTGAGAAGTTGGTAGGTCCTTGAGAAGTTGGTAGGTTAAGAATGTTTGTATATAAGTCTGGCATGTTGGATCACATCTTGTTCATTTTTTATTATTCCCCGCTTTCACCGAAACGGGGGATATTAATTTGGGTTTGTCTGTCTGTCACGCTTCGTTTCTGTGGAAGCGTAAACCAATTTTTTTCAAACTAGGTCACAGGGTTAAACGCCTTAAGGGCTCGGCCAAGTTCGATGACAACTTTCAGCAGACCCCATTTGGCGGAGTTATGGCCCCTTAAATAACGAAAACATTATCTACCGTTTCTGTTCATTAACTCTCGCAAATATTATCCGATTGTCTTCAAACTTAGTAACATGGTTCAAAGCATTAAGGGCTCGGCCAAGTTTGACAACCTTAATAACTCTAGCAAATATTAGCCAAATTCCTTCGAACTTGATAGCAATATTTGCGTTCCTCTGTCTTTCCACCCATCTTGGGCACTCTTTGGTTTTCGTGTGATAATTGCTGTAGATATTGTTAAGATGTTTCAACCTTATTCCTTTAATGCACATCCAACTCATGCTAAGTTTGCCAACCGATGTGATTTGTGCATATTTACGGATAATCAATGGGGTATAGGGCTCTTTTTTTTCTTCAAGTTTCAAGGTATGCATTATGTCTCGACAGCAAGATACTCAAAATGTTTTAACCTAATTACCTCAATAATGTTAACCTACAATATGTCCTGCAAGCGGGGGATATAAATTCCACGAATTTGCTTGTTTCAAATCTACTTTTGAATTGGTTTCCAGGTCTGAACTTGCTTGCCAGATTGCATTAGATGCCACAGCAACAGTTGCCATAGAGGAAAATGGCCGACGGGAAATTGATATCAAACGATACGCAAAAGTAGAAAAGGTAGGAACTGAACTTGATGCTGAACCACGCGAATGTCTGGATAAGAGCATCCTCACAATATAAAATGTTTATTCTATACATGTTAAGTATATTTTAAGGGCAGCATGATTCTTATGGATAGAGCACCAATCATAGCAGGTCATAAAGTAAGCAAATAAGGCACTGTGGTGGATGAATGGTTAAAGCATCTGAATGTCTACAATCAGTAGCCCTCCACCACTTGGTCATGGGTTCGAGGCTTGCGTGGGGCAGTCACCAGGTACTAGTACCAGTTTCTCTGGTACTCCAGCTTACCTCCACCACCAAACCTGGCACGACCTTAAATGACCATAGCTGTCAATAGGACATAAAACACAAACAAACCAAACACTATAAGTCAGCACATTGCTGAGGAGTTGTAGCATTTCTACAGAGTTATTGCCCTTTGGATACAGAAAGATAGATTTTCTTGCAACAAAATATTTCTTTTTCCAGGTTCCAGGGGGAACAATGGAGGACTCGAAAGTATTAAAGGGAGTTATGCTCAACAAAGATGTTGTTCACCAGAAAATGAAACGGTAGGTTTGGTGAATGTCATTTTCTAATATAAAAGACGAACCATAAAGTTAAAAATTAAAATTTGACCACAATGCTGGTGATCCTGAAAGTTTCATTGACATAGATTTTATCACATATATGATTATAGTAAAGATTTTATTTATCGTCAATAACTCTTTGAGTCAAAGGATCTTTTTTATACGTGGTCAACATAAAATGTATAGTATACAGCAAATTATTTAGTTAATTAAGTTTTTATGCATTTCAGGAGGTTAGAAAACCCTAGAATAATTTTACTGGACTGTACATTAGAATACAAGAAAGGTGAAAGCCAGGTAAGACAAAAGAAAATATGTTAATTTGTTCTTGGGTCAAATTTTCAATTTATATCATCCAACAGAATTGTAACAGAACATGTATAAGATTTTCTTTTAGTTTGTAATATGTGTACGTGGTAATATATATAAAAAAAACATCAGGTACAGAAATGTTTGTAAGAAGTGGGAACTCTCATTGCTATCTTTCTATTGCAGACAAATATTGAGATAACAAAGGAAGAAGATTTTGCGTAAGTATTATTACACTGTCAGAATAGGTTCTCTCAAGCCGTGCTAGACAGTGTGTTACTCATTTCATCAATGAAAACTGAAATTATTAAAAGTTTAAAGGGTGAATAAATACATCATATCTGCTTTCAAGCATAACATAGTTTGGCGTGGTTTTGATTGATTAAAGATTATTTAAATTTTAACCGATAGAAAATAAGATGTTTGTAGGGTATTAATGGTATAATATGGAAGTTATCAAGTTCTTCAAGTAAGTTTGAATAGGGTGATTTGAAGGATGTTAACAGGAATATTTGAAGTATATCATTGATGGTTTGTCTTGCAGTAAGATCCTTATGATGGAGGAGGAATATGTTAAGAGGATTTGTGACGAAGTCCTCGCCTATAAGCCCGACTTGGTCATCACAGAGAAGGGTGTGTCTGATCTAGCTCAACACTTTTTCGTCAAAGCTGGTGTCAGTGTAATCCGACGAGTCAGGAAATCCGACAACAACAGAATTGCCAGGTAGGATGGCATTCATTTTAGTGATTTCTAGATATAGGTAGCTCTTCAATATCTGTTCAATTTAATGCCAAGTTAACAAAAAGGTTGGCCCTGAAAATAGTGAACAAAACCTAAAATTAACTGTATTTATATATGGCGATTTATTTTTAAGAAATCTTATAAAACTAGGCACAGGAATTAATAGGATTTCATTTCCAGAGTGGTATAATATCAAGGACTGACTACACATCCTTGTGTACCTTCAAATCTAACATCATTCCTTATGTACTTTACAAATCTGTCATCGTTCCTTGTGTATTATACGTATACAAATCTGTCCTCATTCCTTGTGTACTTTACAAATCTGTCATCATTTCTTGTGTACTTTACAAACCTGTCATCAGTCCTTGTTTACTTCACAAATCTGTCATCAGTCCTTGTTTACCTGTCAAATGTGTCCTCTGTAAATCAATCGGATCCAAATTATGATTTACAAACAGATGTTGCACAAATCCTTGGAAAAGAGATAATCTCAGTTATCCTTAAAAAAGAAAACCTGAATGTTTTATTTTTTATTTTTCAAGCATTTGTAAACTAACTGCATTGATTTTTAAACCTGTGTTCAACGATGCAAGACAATTACTATCCTAAACAATGGCTTGTAGTTCTAGTTTTGTTGTGCGAAATTGTCGTTTTACATTCTGTATAATAAATGTCTTATACACTGTATTTAAATTTCTACATTGTGAATTAATTTACAATTCATTAAAGAAAATGACTCGTGTTGAAATTGTCAAAAAGGATTTGATAACATTCGGTATAAATTGTATTTTCAGAGCCTGTGGTGCTACCATCGTTAACCGTACAGATGAAATCAAGGAAGAAGATGTCGGAACAGAGTGTGGTCTATTCAAAGTCGAGCAATTTGGTGATGAGTAAGTTTCAACATTCTTTAGAATTTTCTTGCATATACAGCAGTTTTTTTGTCTATACATAGATGTGTATAGTGGATATACAGTGTTGTGTTTTGTCTTCGTTTTAATACAGAATTTGTAATTGTGAAATAATGGCTCATCTGTATTCAATTTAATATGAGTTCAATAAAAATAATTGTTAAACAGAGCCGCTAAGGAAATATTTAGAGGTGGTCGCCAATATTGAGACACTTTTCCCTAATATGAAAGACCTCCATGCCCACCAGTAGAAAATACAACGATCTGATAGAAGAGGTGTTGCCCTAATACTTACGTTTTTCTATGAATAGTTTTATGTGGTTTGATCCTCTTCACACACACTTGAGCTGGTGTAAATGTGGAGGCGAGTTACCTGAACTATGATCTATTCAAAGATCACTTGAAAGAGTCTCCATCTTGTCTGTGTGGTGATGCTTATGAAACTGCTACACATTATCTTTCAAAATGTCCAATGTATACTGATGAGAGACAAACTTTAATAAATGAGATTTTTGAAGTGTGTCCGGTTAATCTTGATACTAAAACACTTCTTAATGGAAGCACTGTGTTAAACAATACTGAAAATAAATCTATACTTGATAGTGTTCTTAAATATATATACAACACAAGAAGACTTGTTTAATCAATCAAAGCAATCTATAAATTTTGTTTTATATAGTCGTAACTGATAAAATACTGTCCTTAAACCATTATGTGATTCTACTGATTGTTATATATACATTGATGTTTTAATATTATACACCTAAGGGATTAAGCTTTGTGTGCTGTTTTTACTGATGGGTGCAATAAAGTAAAACATAAATGTGCTAAGTTTGAATGCTTAGTGTTCTGTGGTTTAATCTGGATTCTTCTCGAGTGGATGATATGTGAACGGTAGAGGCCGTTAGAGACTTCTTGTCTGAAACTCGATGGGATGAAAGATTTACACATAGAACACTGGCAATACATCTTACACATAATAATTATACTACATTTTCAAAATCTTCTAGCTGAATTGCCTCATTTTATGTTTTTCATATTTTGATGTTGTTGTATCCCTTACTTTTTATCACTCCTACCAATGGTATATATATTGATACTAAATGGTTCTATACTTCTAACTACTTCATGCAACAGCAGCAGGGTATGAACAGGGGGCGCTAATGACTTGCAAAACAAAAAACAAAAAAATAATTGTAGCAATTTCTCTGTTTAATATATCATTAGGGCATTGCTTTCCTATTACTAATTAATTATGATTGACTTTTTAATATGAGCATTGTATAGCTAAAAATATCAATTAAATATTTATATGTAATTGAAACATACATGGAATTATCTCCCCTATACCATCTGCTATATATATATATATATGTCTATGCTACTTATTATATATGATTTGCATCAATATTTTCTTACAAACCATTTCATTCATATTTGTCTTTGTCATGTCAACCTAAGGAGAGAACTTATATAGGCCTAGCCTGCTGTTCAATCCTATTGTTTACTCAATAAAATATGATGAAATGAATGTGGTCCTGGAATTTTGCTTTTGGGCACCAGGTACGTGTTTGTTAATTAGATAGCTTTGCTCAATTATAGGTACTTCACATTCCTGGTTGAGTGCAAGGACCCCAAGGCATGTACAATCCTTCTCCGCGGGGCCAGCAAGGACATCTTGATGGAGATCGAAAGGAACCTCCAGGATGCTATGAACGTCGCCCGTAATGTGATGACAGAGCCTCTCCTGGTCCCCGGGGGTGGGGCTGCAGAAATGGCTCTCTCACAGGTAGGGGTGCAGGATGGTGTTGGGACACACAACAAAACACATTATAACAAAATTTGTATATATTGTAAAGGGGTTGGGGAGAAAAGTAGAGTGGGGGAGAATAATTTATGTAAATGGTAGAACAAATGAGCTAAATCCTTTTATCATAGGGAATACTCATCCTATATAAGGCATTTAGCTTCTACACTGTCAAGTGGTTACAATTCTAAAATTGCTTATATATTTTAGTCACCCCAGTGAGGACTATTAATTTCGGTTTCAGCCCCAGATTTTGACATCTGTTGCCGACCACTGTTAAGGACTTTCATGTGTTTGCTTCTGTCGCTAATTACAAGCTCTTGGATAACTCGGGATATCAATGATAAAAAAATGAAATTATTTGCAGTGTTTGTGTTTTATGGTCATAAAACATAGAACATTTTCTTCAAGTAAATCAACCTCATGCTTTCTTATTTTATCCATGTGTTGGCATGGTTACCTAAACAGCATGTATGCATATATACCTGGTCATTGCGCTGGTCATTGTTACACCATTTTGATTGACAGGTGGAAGTATGTCAGTTGTAGCTTGGACAATGATTTATTATACTGAAAATAATCATACAGGAGATGGGGTGACTTTCATGTTATTTCTAGTTTTCTCCCATTACCTGTTGTACATGTATTGGGTAATGATGTATTTTCATAAATATAAATCTAAAAATTGTGTAATACTTGCATTGTGTGGCCATTTATCATAAATGAGTTTCCAGATGAATGAAGATCAGTCACAAATGATGTTTGTGACAAAACTATTACTGACTTTAAAAAAAAAGTAATGTTACCAGTCACTGTTGTGTGTATTGTAGGCCCTCAATGAGAAGGCCAAGAGCATCACCGGAGTCCAGCAGTGGCCGTACAGGGCTGTAGCCAAAGGTCTGGAGGTCATTCCAAGGACACTCATCCAAAACTGTGGCAGCAACCCCATCAGAACACTCACCGCTCTCAGGGTAGGTGAAATGATCTTGACAAGGAGTCGGGGTGGTTTTCAGATCTTTTTTTTTTTTGCTCTTCATTTCTTGTTATATTTTCCCCAATTTGAAAGAGAGAAAAAACTAAAAAATATGAAATATTTAAGAATTAAGTAATAAGTATAATTGAAAGATCCCTGAAAATATTCATGTGTTACGCTAATATTTGTACTAATGGCCGTACTTGTTTATAGGCGAAACATGCAGCAGCCAAGTCGACGTCGTGGGGTATCGATGGAGAGAACGGCAAGATCGTGGACATGAAAGATTACGGAATCTGGGAACCATTTGCTGTAAAAGTACAAACAATCAAGACTGCATTAGAGGTAAATATTGTTCACACGCATGTAGGTATCCTGCATTAGGTGTGGTCTTTGAAAGACAACAGCACACCATGGTCCTGGAGTCTGTTGTTTGGAAGAGGTTAGGGGAATGCATGCTACATTTAAACATTTATACAGAAGGCACAGTGTTGGTTGACATGTAAATTGTCAAATGAATTTCTTTGAAAGGCAGAACTTAAAACATTGAGTGTTAGTTTTTAATGTTAACTTGTAAATATTGGATTGTACAACCCTGTTAATCATTTTAATACTCAGAAGATCAGTATACTAGGTAGAATTAATGATACCAGCAGTTATCTTGAGTCATAAAACATGGTGGGGACAGAAATAGTACACTTAAAATATACGACATAACATTTTCTTTTCACAGACTGCTGTGCTACTTCTAAGAATCGACGACATTGTCTCAGGCACTAAGAAAATGTCGGATGCTGACATGCCAGCTCCCCGACAGAAGGACGAGGAGGCTGCCCCTCAACCTGAGGGACCAGAATAAAGAACCAAAACCTTAGGACTAGGATTTTCACGGACATTTCACTGATGGAGGCATTATTCTGGAACATTAGACAATTCCATATAAACCTATTTCTGGCTGAACTGCATTCTACAAAGGAAACAAAATGTGTTCATATTCCTCATTGTCTCATCAGCCGGATGCAATATTCAAAAGCTTGTTTGTTTGTTTGTGAATGTCAAGTTCTTTTTGTAAAATGTCATTCATGAAATTGCATTGTTTCATTAGAAACAGAGTTGATTTTGCTAGTGCTGAGAATTAATGATTTGTTCTTGAAAACTTGAATAACAGTACAATGAAGCTAAAACCGTGCCCTGATGAAAATGTAACTAGGCTTCACTGCTAGTGAAAGTATCAGAAATCTCGTAAAAATCGTATTCATATCGTACGACATTGATAGAAGAGTGAAGGGACAAATAGCTGGAGTGCTTTATTTATTTGTGATGAATTTCTATGTGAAACCCAAATATATACATACTTGTCTTTTATAATTAAGAACAAAGGATTAAAAATGTGATCCCTATATTGGTTTGTTTTTGTCTTATTTTAGATACACTAAAATTCATGTGGATTAAGGGAAAAGTTTTAGGTATCTTAGTTATATATTTTATCAAAAAAAAACATCAAAATTTTGATGGTCATTATTTATTCTGAGGGTATTCTTCTAAATTTCAGCTTTATTTATTTTACAACAATTATCAAACAAGTTTCACTCTTGTTAACCCAGATGTTAGCGCATGCGGGGCTTATTGTGGGTGGAACTCTGAGAAAACCCACATGGTGGGGCAGGTGACCTCATACCTTTCCACTACTGATCAGGGAATCGAACCCTGGGCAGTGGCTGCCATTGTGAAAGTCAAGTGCACTCTCAACTTTCACCCGACCACCCTAGTAATCATCTAATTCAAGTTAAAATAACGAGTTCAGTTTGAAGTGAACTTTGTATTTCTGTACATCACCACACCAACTATCTTTTTCTTAATTTTTTAGAGAGAAAAAATGTTAATACAAATTCAAACCTGAATCCTGAGGCAGTCTTCATTTTTAGTCCAAATCTCAAGTTTGAAAAGAAAACTTTTCTCCTGAAAATTGTTCTTAAGGTTAAATTGTCTATAATATGTAAAAACAATTTTTGATATGGAACCCTAATTCAAAAAAATTAACTTGGGTCAAACATTTCAGCTCATCTGGTCAAAAGGACTTCTGACATGGAACGGTGTCTTTCATCTGGCGAAATCTTTTCCCTTTTAAAGCACTAATCCTCCTGAACAATGAATCGGATTTCAACCGCAATGTTGTATCCTTGGGACCAAGGAAGCAAACGAATTAAGGAAGGATGTGGTCCTACTAGGGGCTGAGGAGTCCTACTAGGGGCTGAGGAGTCGTTCATACTAGGGGATGAGGAGTCGGTCCTTCTAGGGGCTGAGGAGTCTTCAGTCCTACTAGGGGCTGAGGAGTCTCAGTCCTACTAGGGGCTGAGGAGTCTCATTCCTATTATGGGCTGAGGAGTCTCAGTCCTACTAGGGGCTATGGAGTCTTCAGTCCTACTAGGGGCTGAGGAGTCGAACCTACTAGGGGCTGAGGACTCGAACCTACTAGGGGCTGAGGGGTTGGTCCTACTAGGGTCTGAGGAGTCGGTCCTACTAGGGGGTGAGGAGGATTCAGTCCTACTAGGGGGTGAGGAGTCTTCAGTCCTCCTAGGGGTTGAGGAGTCGAACCTACTAGGGGCTGAGGACTCGAACCTACTAGGGGCTGAGGACTCGAACCTACTAGGGGCTGGGGAGCCGGTCCTACTAGGGGCTATGGAGTATTCAGTCCTACTAGGGGATGAGGAGGCGGTCCTTCTAGGGGCTGGGGAGTCTTCAGTCCTACTAGGGGCTGAGGAGTCGGTCCTACTAGGGGCTGAGGAGTCGGTCATACTAGGGGATGAGGAGTCGGTCCTTCTAGGGGCTGAGGAGTCTTCAGTCCTACTAGGGGCTGAGGAGTTGAACCTACTAGGGGCTGAGGAGTCTCAGTCCTACTAGGGGCTGAGGAGTCCCGGTCCTACTAGGGGCTGAGGAGTCTTCAGTCCTACTAGGGGCTGAGGAGTCGGTCCTACTAGGGGCTGAGGAGTCTCAGTCCTACTAGGGGATGAGGAGTCCCAGTCCTACTAGGGGCTGAGGAGTCTTCAGTCCTATTAGGGGCTGAGGAGTCTCAGTCCTACTAGGGGCTGAGGAGTCTCAGTCCTACTAGGGGCTGGGGAGTCTCATTCCTACTATGGGCTGAGGAGTCTTCAGTCCTACTAGGGACTGAGGAGTCTCATTCCTACTAGGGGATGAGGAGTCTTCAGTCCTGCTAGGGGCTGAGGAGTCTTCAGTCCTACTAGGGACTGAGGAGTCTCATTCCTCCTAGGGGATGAGGAGTCTTCAGTCCTGCTAGGTGCTGAGGAGTCTTCAGTCCTACTAGGTACTGAGGAGTCTCATTCCTACTAGGGGCTGAGGAGTCTTCGGTCTTACTAGGGGATGAAGCGTCTCATTCCTACTAGGGCCTGAGGGGTCGGTCCTACTAGGGGCTGAGGAGTCGGTCCTACTAGGGGCTGAGGAGTCTTCAGTCTTACTAGGGGATGAAGAGTCTCATTCCTACTAGGGCCTGAGGAGTCGGTCCTACTAGGGGCTGAGGAGTCGGTCCTACTAGGGGATGAGGAGTCTCAGTCCTACTAGGGGCTGAGGAGTCTTCAGTCCTACTAGGGGCTGAGGAGTCTTCAGTCCAACTAGGGGATGAAGAGTCTCATTCCTACTAGGGGCTGAGGAGTCTCATTCCTACTAGGTGCTGAGGAGTTGGTCCTACTAGGGACTGAGGAGTTGGTCCTACTAGGGGATGAGGAGTCTCAGTCCTACCAGGGGATGAGGAGTCGGTCCTTCTAGGGGCTGAGGAGTCTTCAGTCCTACTAGGTGATGAAGAGTCTCATTCCTACTAGGGGCTGAGGAGTTGGTCCTACTAGGAACTGAGTAGTCGGTCCTACTAGGGGATGAGGAGTCTCAGTCCTACCAGGGGATGAGGAGTCGGTCCTTCTAGGGGCTGAGGAGTCTTCAGTCCTACTAGGTGATGAAGAGTCTCATTCCTACTAGGGGCTGAGGGGTCGGTCCTACTAGGGGCTGAGGAGTCGGTCATACTAGGGGATGAGGAGTCGGTCCTTCTAGGGGCTGAGGAGTCTTCAGTCCTACTAGGTGATGAAGAGTCTCATTCCTACTAGGGGCTGAGGGGTCGGTCCTACTAGGGGCTGAGGAGTCGGTCCTACTAGGGGCTGAGGAGTTGGTCCTACTAGGGACTGAGTAGCCGGTCCTACTAGGGGATGAGGAGTCTCAGTCCTACTAGGGATGAGGAGTCTCAGTCCTACTAGGGGCTGAGGAGTTGGTCCTACTAGGGACTGAGGAGTTGGTCCTACTAGGGGATGAGGAGTCTCAGTCCTACCAGGGGATGAGGAGTCGGTCCTTCTAGGGGCTGAGGAGTCTTCAGTCCTACTAGGTGATGAAGAGTCTCATTCCTACTAGGGGCTGAGGGGTCGGTCCTACTAGGGGCTGAGGAGTCGGTCCTACTAGGGGCTGAGGAGTTGGTCCTACTAGGGGATGAGGAGTCTCAGTCCTACTAGGGATGAGGAGTCTCAGTCCTACTAGGGGCTGAGGAGTCTCATTCCTACTAGGGGCTGAGGGGTCGGTCCTACTAGGGGCTGAGGAGTCGGTCCTACTAGGGGATGAGGAGTCTCAGTCCTACTAGGGATGAGGAGTCTCAGTCCTACTAGGGGCTGAGGAGTCTGATTCCTACTAGGGGCTGAGGAGTCTTCAGTCCTACTAGGTGATGAAGAGTCTCATTCCTACTAGGGGCTGAGGAGGCTCATTCCTACTAGGGGCTGAGGAGTTGGTCCTACTGGGGACTGAGGAGTTGGTCCTACTAGGGGATGAGGAGTCTCAGTCCTACTAGGGATGAGGAGTCTCAGTCCTACTAGGGGCTGAGGAGTTGGTCCTACTAGGGACTGAGGAGTCGGTCCTACTAGGGGCTGAGGAGCCGCTCATACTAGGGGATGAGGAGTCGGTCCTTCTAGGGGCTGAGGAGTCTTCAGTCCTACTAGGGACTGAGGAGTCTCAGTCCTACTAGGGGATGAAGAGTCTCATTCCTACTAGGGCCTGAGGAGTCGGTCCTACTAGGGGCTGAGGAGCCGCTCATACTAGGGGATGAGGAGTCGGTCCTTCTAGGGGCTGAGGAGTCTTCAGTCCTACTAGGTGATGAAGAGTCTCATTCCTACTAGGGGCTGAGGGGTCGGTCCTACTAGGGGCTGAGGAGTCGGTCATACTAGGGGATGAGGAGTCGGTCCTTCTAGGGGCTGAGGAGTCTTCAGTCCTACTAGGGACTGAGGAGTCTCAGTCCTACTAGGGGATGAAGAGTCTCATTCCTACTAGGGGCTGAGGGGTCGGTCCTACTAGGGGCTGAGGAGTCGGTCATACTAGGGGATGAGGAGTCGGTCCTTCTAGGGGCTGAGGAGTCTTCAGTCCTACTAGGGGCTGAGGAGTTGGTCCTACTAGGGACTGAGTAGTCGGTCCTACTAGGGGATGAGGAGTCTCAGTCCTACTAGGGGATGAGGAGTCTTCAGTTAAAATAGGGGATGAGGAGTCTCAGTCCTACTAGAGGATGAGGAGTCTTCAGTCCTACTAGGGGCTGAGGAGTTGGTCCTACTAGGGACTGAGGAGTCAGTCCTACTAGGGGATGAGGAGTCTCAGTCCTACTAGGGGATGAGGAGTCTCATTCCTACTAGGGGCTGAGGAGTTGGTCCTACTAGGGACTGAGGAGTCGGTCCTACAAGGGGATGAGGAGTCTCAGTCCTACTAGGGGATGATGAGTCTTCAGTTCAAATAGGGGATGAGGAGTCTCAGTCCTACTAGAGGATGAGGAGTCTTCAGTCCTACTAGGGGCTGAGGAGTCTTCAGTCCTACTAGGGGATGAGGAGTCTCAGTCCTACTAGGGGCTGAGGAGTCTTCAGTCCTACTAGGGGCTGAGGAGTCTTCAGTCCTACTAGGGGCTGAGGAGTCCTACTAGGGGCTGAAGAGTCCTACTAGGGGCTGAGGAGCATTTCAAATATATTTCATAGACTAAAAAATCAATCCACGATTAATATTGTAAATCAATGGATTTAAAAAAAAAAATGTTATATCATTGGTTATTTAGTTTCTTGCAGAAAAATGAAATAGATATGATCATGCATTCACGGTGAGACTGTACACACAGGAATATGCGACAAAATATGTTTGGCCGTCCAACATATAAAATTTATATAGAAAGTTTTCGCCAGAAAATATGCAATGACTCATTCTTATCGAGTGTAATTATATTTTTTATGAATTATGTATATACACAATATCGCATTGGCTTTAAGATTCGTGAAAAAAATATTAATTTTGAACGTATTCTAACTCGCGTGTCCATGAAAGGACGTGAATGTCATTATTTGACCAATCATGATAGCTCATCATACATACTAGCTACTGGCTAAATCACGCTTTAAACCTGTGACCCTGAATAGAGGTTTAAGTAATCATTCAAACAATTTGATAGCCTTGCATCTTAGCTACCCACTTGATAGCATGGTCCTATGACTTTTAACATTTAAAAGAATTCGTTAGAGCATTTAAACACGATTGACAAATGTGACATTGAAGACGGTAGATGTAATTTATTTAAGCGATTTTGACCATGGGCATTATGGGTTTTGAGAAAAAAGTTTTGTGAGACTTTTAACATATTTGACCCTATTAACCTTGAGGTCAATGTCACTTGTTTGAACAACACATTCATTAGGTTTTATAGTATGCACTTTGAACGCCGTTAGCCCAGAACATTTATGTTTGTGTTCAACATGGCGGTCATGGTGGCCTTATTGGATCGTGAACCGTTCCTTAAAATCTGACTACTTCAGGAACCTTTACTTACGAGTTTGTCGATGGAAATGTCTCGGACAATCGAGGGCTAGAGCGGTTGAGTTAAGGCGACCTTTGATTTCATATAGACTTGAAAATAACGACATGTAATGACGAAGTTATATGAAACACCAAGTTGATTTCAATCCGTTAAATAGAAGTCGAAAATAACCGATTGGTAAACGTCCGTATGGGAATAAACAGAACGACGAAGTAGAGGGAAAATTGAAATGGATAACTACCTCTATCACCTTAGCAAATACTAAATACAAATACTATATACAAATACTATATACAAATACTATATACAAATACTAAATACAAATACTATATACAAATACTAAATACAAATACTATATACAAATACTAACTACAAATACTATATCTAAATACAAATACTATATACAAATACTAAATACAAATACTATATCTAAATACAAATACTATATACAAATATACAAATACTATATACAAATATACAAATACTATATACAAATACTAAATACAAAAACTATATACAAATACTATATACAATTACTATATACAAATACTATATACAAATACTATATACAAATACTATACAAATACTATACAAATACTATATACAAATACTAAATACAAATACTACATACAGGTGAGAAAAAAATCCGATTTTAAAGACTTTCATATGTTGCTAACTTAGAACATCAAAATATAAAGCTGTATTGACAACCATTAAAGATTTGGAATTGTTTAGCATTACTTGCCCATATCACAATAATTTGGGCCCATAACATCTGCCCAATGAAGGGCACTGTGCCAACCGAATTTAACTTAAAACAATAAGGGGAAATCTGACTAAATAAAATACCTACAGCTAGCTAGAGGAGACTCTAATATACATAATAAAAATAATAAAAAAAATTAAACCGACCCGAGGGTCCACTTACAGAATGGATAGCACCATTTCAACACAAGTATAAAATATCACAGTCAGTTATGCATGTGACACGGACTAAAAGATACTCATATGTAAAACAAAAGGAATTAGTGATAGTAAATATTCTTTAACCGTACTTTGAACTCGGCTAGAGAGGAACGAAACATATCGCAGTATGGTGCAAAATCAAGAGAGTTGAAATTACATTGAATCCTGTTTCTCCGAAAAATTCTACATCTTCTGTTTCATTAAATGATGATATTAAAATTGAAGAAGGGAAATGCTTCCTAGCACTCTCCTTGTTTGAGGTAAGAGGTTTACCGTAAAAAAAGGTCGCAGTGACCTAGTTTCAGTTTGGATAATATTCTGCCTTTCTTAGATATACCAACGTACATGTACCTAGTAATTTTATTATCCTGCATGATATGATTAAGACTGTAAGAGAAATGCATCGGAAACGGGCTTTCCTGCAATTAGTTCAAAGGTGAAAAGGTAGATCGCAGTGACCTAGATTTGTTACACGGCACTTCCTCTTACCTACATGTGCCCACATACATAAAACGAATTGGAGAACACTCCGAAAACCATTTAGACGCGATCACGCTCGCAATGACGGGATGATGCGGGGTAATAAATTGAGAACGGATAACAAAATCCATTCAATAAAAGGTCAAAATGCAATTCTTCGTCAGGAAAACAAAAACGGGTCGAAAGAAATGTCCATGTACAGAAACTGAAAAAAGATCAAACGACAATTACATAAAGTAGAACAATACAATATGTTTTACGGAGTACAATTACGTGTTGAAAGATAATTCCATGCCATGAAAGTAAAAGTGAGTTAAAAGACCATATTATTAGCATAAATTTGGGAGCGAAAATGTTAAAGCATTGGTTCTATTCTAGTATATCTAAGCATTCGACGCATACAATCAAACGGAGGAAAGAAAATTCTATCCAGTTTAAGACGATTTCATTGCTGAAGGTCGAGATAAGACAATAACTGACAAGTTAAGGCCATTCCCTGTGATGTTGTGTAGAACTGCGATGTCGGCATTGTCATGTTGGCGACAGCTCTACCGGAACACACGTAAGTGTCTCTGTAACTCTGGAGCAGACGACATTTCAGGTTTCCACAAACAGCACCAAAATAATAACGGTTATCAGCACAACTTACCTACACAATGCTGGGGGACTATTCTACACATTGGACAAGGGAATTTGCAGAATATCGACCAAGACTTAGAAATATTACACCTTATACCCCGATAAGTGTGCTGCGGTTGAAATGATACAATCATTCCTGTACGGCGACAATTTCAGTACGGTGTGTGTTAAGTATTGACATTTTGACAACACGCTGTACCGGCCGACTTCGCGCGAAATATTAGATAAGCCGTACCGTATGACAAGACTCTCGATGGTGCTGCCAACGCCATCTCGTTAGAGGTTGCTGCTGCTGAACACTCTAGAAGCCTACACAGAACACGTCCATTACCCGTTTTCCTAGCCATCGTGGAGTTCCATCCAAAGTCATGTGAAATCTTTTGGTTATCTACTATAAGCCCAGTTAAAACGATCTCCATGACGACGGGCTGATATCCACGGAAGGATGATGTGAAGCTTACTGACCATACTAAAAGGTAGGTGGTGATTATTTAATTAAAAACGATTGTTTTAACAAGGAATCATATGTTCTTTGCAAAACTTATATTTAAATTCTGCCAAACTCACGCAATTGTATTTATTAGTAATTTAAAAACAATTTTCGGCAGATGGGCTATCTGTTAATTAGTTCGGGCCTATTGTATTCCGAATAATCCGAACACGGCTTACTTGATTTCGGATAATATAAGATCGGTTTATTGAATTCCGGTTTATTGCGTTTGTCATATGAAAGATATATCTTCATACGAACAAAAATGGATCCTGTGAGTGGACATACATTGGGAGTGGCAGATTGAAGTCGCGTCTCGAATGAAAAATGAACCTAATGCTAAATTAGATAGTATCAGCCCCTCCTCTCCCTTGATTATTATCATTATTTTTTTTTATTTTTTTGTTTATTTTTTTTTGTTATTGTTATTATTTCTCTATCGCTCATCCGTCCGTCTCCATCTTTACTGTTATCGTGCCCCTGACATGACGTCTGAACATTTTAAGATTTTTCATGGAACATCGTACAATCACGTATAAACGATATTGTGTATTTATCATGATCAATTTCTTGACATAATGTAATATCATTTTTTCTGCATTCTGCGTACTCCTGATATATTGTTCAAAAGTATTATATGTATTTTTTTTTAACTTTTAAACTGTATTCATGTTTTCAGTCTGCATGACAGCATATATAATGCATTTTAAAATCGTCAACTTTTAATATGAAATGCTTTCGGTGTAACCATTATACCGATGCTACATAATACTTACGTATCATACACAGACTACTTTTATAGAGGGATACACAGCTTAACTGTCCATACACAGACTACTGTTATAGAGGGATACACGGCTTAACTGTCCATACACAGACTACTGTTATAGAGGGATACACAGCGTAACNAAACTGTCCGTACACAGACTACTGTTATAGAGGGATACACGGCTTAACTGTCCATACACAGACTACTGTGATAAAGGGATACAAGGCTTAACTGTCCATACACAGACTACTGTTATAAAGGGATACACGGCTTAACTCTCCATACACAGACTACTGTTATAGAGGGATACAAAGCTTAACTGTCCATACACAGACTACTGTTATAGAGGGACACACGGCTTACCTGTCCATACACAGACTACTGTTATAAAGGGCTACACGGCTTAACTGTCCATACACAGACTACTGTGATAAAGGGATACAAGGCTTAACTGTCCATACACAGACTACTGTTATAGAGGGACACACGGCTTACCTGTCCATACACAGACTACTGTTATAGAGGGATCCACGGCTTACCTGTCCATACACAGACTACTGTTATAAAGGGATACACGGCTTAACTCTCCATACACAGACTACTGTTATAGAGGGATACACAGCGTAACTGTCCATACACAGACTACTGTTATAGAGGGATACACAGATTAACTGTCCATACACAGACTACTGTTTTAGAGGGATACACAACTTAACTGTCCATACACAGACTACTTTTATAGAGGGATACACAGCTTACCTGTCCATACACAGACTACTGTTTTAGAGGGATACACAACTTAACTGTCCATACACAGACTACTGTTATAGAGGGATACACGGCTTACCTGTCCATACACAGACTACTGTTATAAAGGGATACACGGCTTAACTGTCCATACACAGACTACTGTTATAGAGGGATACACAGCTTAACTGTCCATACACAGACTACTGTTATAGAGGGATACACAGCTTAACTGTCCATACACAGACTACTGTTATAGAGGGATACACAGCTTAACTGTCCATACACAGACTACTGTTATAGAGGGATACACAGCTTAACTGTCCATACACAGACTACTGTTATAGAGGGATACACAGCTTAACTGTCCATACACAGACTACTGTTATAGAGGGATACACAGCTTAACTGTCCATACACAGACTACTGTTATAGAGGGATACACAGCTTAACTGTCCATACACAGACTACTGTTATAGAGGGATACACAGCTTAACTGTCCATACACAGACTACTGTTATAGAGGGATACACAGCTTAACTGTCCATACACAGACTACTGTTATAGAGGGATACACAGCTTAACTGTCCATACACAGACTACTGTTATAGAGGGATACACAGCTTAACTGTCCATACACAGACTACTGTTATAGAGGGATACACAGCTTAACTGTCCATACACAGACTACTGTTATAGAGGGATACACAGCTTAACTGTCCATACACAGACTACTGTTATAGAGGGATACACAGCTTAACTGTCCATACACAGACTACTGTTATAGAGGGATACACAGCTTAACTGTCCATACACAGACTACTGTTATAGAGGGATACACAGCTTAACTGTCCATACACAGACTACTGTTATAGAGGGATACACAGCTTAACTGTCCATACACAGACTACTGTTATAGAGGGATACACAGCTTAACTGTCCATACACAGACTACTGTTATAGAGGGATACACAGCTTAACTGTCCATACACAGACTACTGTTATAGAGGGATACACATCTTAACTGTTTATACACAGACTACTGTTATAGAGGGATACACAGCTTAACTGTTCATACCCAGACTACTGTTATAGAGGGATCCACACCTTACCTGTCCATACACAGACTACTGTTATAGCGGGATACACAGCTTAACTGTCCATACAGAGACTACTGTTATAGCGGGATACACAGCTTAACTGTCCATACACAATACACAGACTACTGTTATAGAGGGATTCACAGCTTAACTATCCATGCACAGACTACTGTTATAGAGGGATACACCGCATAATTAACTGTCCATACACAGACTACTGTTATCGAGGGATCCACAGCTTAACTGTCCATACACAGACTCCTTTTATAGAGGGATACACAGCTTTACTGTCCATACACAGACTACTGTTATAGCGGGATACACAGCTTAACTGTCCATACACAGACTATTGTTATAGAGGGATACACGGCTTAACTGACCATACACAGACTACTGTTATAGAGGGATAAACAGCTTAACTGTCCATACACAGACTACTGCTATAGAGGGATACACAGCTAAACTGTCCATACACAGACTACTTTTATAGAGGGATACACAGTTTTACTGGCCATACACAGACTACTGTTATAGAGTGATACACGGCTTAACTGTCCATACACAGACTCCTGTTATAGAGGGATACACGGCTTAACTGTCCATACACAGACTCCTGTTATAGAGGGATACACAGCTTAACTATCCATGCACAGACTACTGTTATAGAGGGATACACGGCATAATTAACTGTCCATACACAGACTACTGTTGTAGAGGGATACACAGCTTAACTGTCCATGCACAGACTACTGTTATAGAGGGATACACGGCTTACCTGTCCATACCCAGACTACTGTTATAGAGGGATACACATCTTAACTGTTTATACACAGACTCCTGTTATAGAGGGATACACGGCTTAACTGTCCATACACAGACTACTGTTATAGAGGGATACACAGCTAAACTGTCCGTACACAGACTACTGTTATAGAGGGATACACAGCTTAACTGTCCATACCCAGACTACTGTTATAGAGGGATACACAGCGTAACTGTCCATACACAGACTACTGTTATAGAGGGATACACGGCTTAACTGTCCATACACAGATAGGTATTGTACGATACACGTCTTAACTAATCAACAGAAGTGTTTTCGAACTTTTCAAATATATATTTGTGTACTAAGTTCTTTATACTACCCATACACAATCGTTATCGGAGCTTAAACTCACGGATCTATTTCATACAGAACGAATCCGGCGATGGAAAACATGGTATGCTTGACTCGTTGAAAATGTTGTCCAGCTAAACACAAAATTATAAATGTAGTAAAGCTATAATACTACATTTTTAACGCAAATTGTTCGAAAGGATTTGTAAACATGGGTGTAAATAAATCACAGAAGATGCAATTGATCTGCCTGCGTAAGTTTTCAGTGTGAAATTGATTTGTAAGCTGACATGGATTTCTGGAGTTCTTCTTGATGACGTATTCAGCTTATCTCAGCGCCCGTTCCCGTTAGGTGAATACGACGACTTCGTTTATTTGTAATTCATGTCAGTATACCGAATAACAATTTATCCGTTTAAAATTCAGGATGAATATCACAAAAAAATGTTCCCCGTGGCCAACGTCCTTTCTTCCCTACTTAGTACGTATTTTGTACGACCTGTAGGTACACGTAGCATTGTCAGCTTTTTACATTAAATATTTTGAACTATTTTCTTGTTGTTTTACGTTTGTGTGTGTGAAAAGAGTCTGTAGTTTCTCAATTCCTCCGCCACCCCTCCCCCCTCCCNATTTTAAAGTTATGTAAAATGTTAACTTTTGAAATCAATGCGATCATATTTTAATATGAAGAATGTTGTTTTTTAAACACCTATCGAAATTATTTTAGTAACGTAAACCTAACGAAACTTTGGGGTGAAAAGACACAGCTGTTCGCGGGCCAGTAGCTGATGTAAAAGCTCTCTCGTATCAACGCCTTTGTAAATACGTACTTGTACATAGGTATGTATTGTTGTGATTTCTACCTGTGAGGCGACAACAACATAAGGTAGGACAGATATTGTTTGTTACGTGTATTGCTATTTTCAGGTACACGAACCCAACGAAAAAAATGTACTCGATAGCTTTTTCTGTACTGTACCTTAAATATATAATGATCGTTATTTGTAGTTTAGCTTTCGAGTTTTCAAAACATACGTCCCATCCCAAACAAAATACATTTACATATAAAAGTCTCCCTTTTGGATGTTGTTGATATTGCCGGCAAGTGGTGATATATAAGTTCGTAGTCGGACTTCTGCTTAAGAAAATAGGTTGAACTATCAAACAATCATTCTTGTTTTGAATGTCAGAAAGGGTCTTCAACCTTCTCAGGTCCCTGTATTTTATTTACCCTTACCTGTATATAATGACAT